TGACAACATATATCAAGGTCAAAGTCATTGAAGGTGCATCCTCTATACTGCATAATTATCGCGAGACTTTGCAAAGTTCGTATCGACAGGCAGTTCTTAGAGAGAGCGCGAGCTCTCAGAAATCGGAATCGATCGGGGAGCGGTCTCGGTCCCAGCGGAAGACGAAGGGAAAAGAGGGAAAAACGCGCGGATCCTGGGCGAATTTACGAAAAGGAGCAGCCCCGTCAAGGTTCCCCGAAGTCGCGATCGCCGACGTGACATTGGATGACGTGACGCGCGAGGGAACGAGACGAGTCTCCTCTCTGCGGTCGCTAATATCCGTTATAATAAGGGGCGAACTCGATATACGCGGCTCGATTTCCCAGGCAAGTCGTACGCAGCGGCGCGGCGTGTTCTTCAGCAACAAACGGCTCGAGCAGTTGGAGCGGGCTCCTGCGGCTCCGGTAATTCGATAGAACTGTGTCAGTGCTCATCTGAACGGGCACAGAAGGCGGCTTCGGTAAGGCCGGCTTAAAAGCAACGCTTCTCACGTGGAGACGAGCTATAGACGTCGCTCTTTTCCCCGGAAGGAGGATCCTTTCGCATGACGTACAGCCGGCCTCGCATCGTCCCTTCGAAATCTACCTCGTTGTTAACGACCCGTGCAAAGTTCGGACACGTGACCGCTCACTGATCTAGTCATTCTCTCGCGAGGAGGTCAGCGCGAGCAGGACAGTCGGCTTTTCCCTTTTCTTGAATCCGGAATCACTCGAGAGCTCGGTAGCGACTCGTGTTTGCACGCGCATTTGCGCGCTCGCGCGCGCGCCGCGAGTCAAGTCGCAAGGACGAGATCACATCTAAGGGAACTTCCGCGCGCGCGATTTTCAACTCGGTCGTGCGCGACTCTTTCGCGGCAAATCGCGGCGAGAACTTTGCGACGAGAGGGAGAAATGAACGCGCGACATTGTCGGGACGCGACGACGAGTACTTATTCGCACGATCCAGCGCGCGACACCGCTTCACGCAAGCTGGAGAGATTCGGAGACGCGACGATGTACGGAAAATCCATAACGAGCGTTAAAGCGCGAACTTGACTTTTGCGGTCGTTGGCGTCAAGAGGGAGGAAGATGAAGTCGAGTATTTTCTCTCTCTCTCTCTCTCTCTCTCTCTCTCTCTCTCTCCCGCTCTTCGCGAGCACGACGTTACTTCTTTTCCGCGTCTCACGCTGAAGTCAGTAACGACAGATTTATCGAGTGAAAAATTCACGACTGGAGACGCGATGCGCCGCGCTGTCTTCGGTTTCGGATTGCCAAATGGGAAAACGTTGTTCCTGTTGCGGCGAAATTGCTCGGCCAACGTCAGTCTGGCCGGGAAGCGGGTAGGTGTACGACGCGGCCACCGCCGCAGATAAATCGATGCGACCGATATTCCTTTCGTCGGAGAGCCCATCTCCCTTGGAAAAAGATTGCTGTTTACAAAGGCTAGAAATAATTTTGCGTTGGTCGTGCGGCACAAGCTGGTTTACTCCAGCCACTCCTCCGAGCACTCTCTCTCTCTCTCTCTCTCTCTCTCTCTCTCTCTCTCTCCCGCTTCTTTCTGCTTTTATATTTATTTACGATACTCCTGGCAAACAAACACGAGGAACGATTTGGTCGTTGCTGTCGCGCAGCGATATAGAAAGGCAATATTCTCCCGTGCGAATGAGCTGGAAAAATTACTTATTTTCTTCTTAAGCACACCGCATATATCGAGCTCGATCGTCGCGCGGCATCTCCTTCTTATTCGTCGAAGCGGAATATAACTCGTGTCACATGTAGCGCACGCAAAGACGCTAAAGCGCCTTCTTGTTCCGCGTCGGACTTTCGGCTCGACTCCGCCGACGCGGCGCGAGAAAGAAGAGAAGACGCGAGAGACGCGCGGATATCGGACCGTAAGAGATACAAATTATACAACACGTAATCACCGATCATGTGCTGATTTATTGGTTTATCAGAGTGTCCGACAGGAAAAATACTTGAGAATTCCGGACAAGTGCGACTCGTGTCGAGGGCAAAAAAAGTCACTCGCTCGAGAGGAACATGCTTTTGCTTTACGCCGCTACTTCCACTGTCTACCGACGTCGCTGTATGTGTGTGTGTGTGTGTGTGTGTGTGTGTGTGTCCCTTTTCGATATCCTTTTTTCGGTTTTGCCGGGCCGAAGTGCTTATAGAGACACGTCCGGAGCGAGTTTTCGACGGGAGCGCGCGTCGGCTGGACTAAACGCCGCCGATTCTCACCGTTTAAGCTTACCCGGAGGACGTTTCTATGCCGGAACGTCTGGGCCTTTCTTTTGCTCGCGACATCCGGAACGACGATTGTGTTCGGGCAGCATGACGAGGCGAGCGGTGGGTGGGATATCGCTGCGCCGCGGATATCGTTAAAAGAGAGAGAGAGAGAGAGAGAGAGAGAGAGAGAGAGAGAGAGAGAGAGAGAGAGAGAGAGAGAGAGAGAGAGAGAGAGAGAGACACGTTGAATCTGCGATTTCGATCGTGAGGGGCCTTAATGGACGCGCGTGACTAACCTCGTCCTCTGCCTCGTCCGCGCGGCGCGTTGTCAAAGTCGTTGACACCGGAGGAGTCGAGATCATTGATCGCACGTCGTTTGCACATACGTGTACCGAGAGCTACTCGAAAGAAGCTCTCCTGTGCAGCCCGCTCCAAGCAGACGGGGTCGATACTTCCTGCCGCCGGTAATTCGCAGCGACCGAAAGTCGCCGCGAGCGAAAGAGCGTCGAGGAGCGGGAAAAGGGTAGCTGAGCGTTCGCGGCTCTCTCTCTCTCTCTCTCTCTCTCTCTCTCTCTCTCTCTCGAAAAATCGCGCCCGTCGGCGAATCGCAAGCTCCAACTGCGAGAGTGGATGTGTACGTGTGCGTGTGTGTGTGTGTTGATTCAGATAATAATGAGTTTGCACATTTGCCATTTACACATGTTTCGTTGAGCGCAACACGCGCGCGCGCGAGGACTCGGTGAGACCTGAAGTCCTGATAAATTGTCCCTTCGTCCGCGTAAGGAGGTGCACACACTCGTTGACCCGAGCCGCGAGATGGGTTTGCTTACCGCGTAATCTTGATTTACCGATCTATGCAAATCGGGAGTAATCCAATAATCTCGAGTGACTGGTATAATTCCCATTCCCATGCGCGAGGGGGCAAGCCGTGACTCACGTGCCGCCGGTCAATTACATAAATTGGGGCGCCGCGAGTTACTTTAATTAAGCGTTTAATTCTTCGTTAATCCCACGGAACGGCCTTGCGTCACGTCTTGCGGCCCTGCGAAGTCGGCGTTTCGACAGTGCTAAATTTCGCGCACTTTAACACACCCGAGCGGTCCGAGCGGAGGACGACGGACCCCAGAGCGAATATTGCGTTCTGAATATTTTAGCACACCCCTCGCGGGCGCATTGTTTTGCGATCCATATTTAATTAAATGTCTGATTTATGCCGGCTCGACGGCGCGCTTCGGTGTTCCTTCGATGAAGGGAAATATAAATTAATTGGAGTAATTTCATCGACTTCAATCGTCCGCGTCCTCTCCTGCACTTTGCGATCCTTCGAGACCCGGTCCACTAGTAAGTCCGCGAAGCCGACTTGAAAAATGCACGCGTCCCGCCGTCTGTCTCGAGGACGATAAATAAATAAGGTGGCTTAAGTACCGCTGGGGAAAATTAGAATTTCGATGCGGTGTACGGCCAACGCGTGAACACAATGCGTTGGCGGTACGTTTGCGACAATTTACGATGCACTTTATAACAGCGGGGAGACAAGTAAAACCGCAATGGAGAAGTTTTGCCAGGGCGTTTTATCACCGGCCGATAGACTTCACGTCGGAGAGACGCCGTCCGCGGCGTAGGACGCGGGCCGGCCGAAGTGTATTTTTCACCGGCGGCGGCTTCCATCTCTTCCGCCGTAAGGGCGAGTCGTCGAGTGGCCGAATTACTTGGCGGTAAATAAATTTTCACTCGCAACAATAACTTTTCGCCCGCGGCAATTTGTATTTCGCGGCCAATAAGCTTGCAGATGAAATTCTCATTGAAAATCAGACGAACAAAGCCTTTATCGTGCTCGTCCGCGAAGCTAAAATCTGATCCTTTGTTCAGGCGGCGCCCGATATTTCTATGAAATATGTAGAGAAATAAAATACGCAATTGAAAATTTCCACGAAGGAAAAAGCGAATTCGTCTCCCGAAAGGACCGCTTCCCTCACTCCCTTTCTCTCTCCTCTCTCTCTCTCTCTCTCTCTCTCTCTCTCTCTCTCTCTCTCTCTCTCTCTCTCTCTCTCTCTCTCTCTCTCTTTCTCTCCATCTCTCGGTTTTTTCGGTAGCTTTCAGCCACTTTGTAGGAACGAAACAAAAGTTATTTGGTTTCGCGACTCACGCTCCGACAGACGCGAAAGAGATTCATTTTGTAGCGGGCACGTCCGCCTCGTTGACGACCATCGCATCACCATGCGCCCGGCGGTCCTACGGTAAAATTTTTGCGGCGTAAACGCGTCGCATACTGCGCGTCGTCACGATGCGGCCGTATATTACGCTAGCCCGCGGAATTATTCAATTTTAATCCCACGTCACCACCGTGCTCGCGCGCGGTGCGACCGCGTCAAGATCCGCCATGTGCTCGACGGGGACGTGTCTTTTTTCCACTTCACTCGCGCTGCCACTATCGCCAGGAGTATAAGCCCTCCGGACCTACGTGCGTGATACCACCGTGGTGGTTCAGAAGCCGGCATAATTGAAAACGAAGGTAACTCGATCACGCCAACTCTCGCGCGCGATCTCATTTACTCGACTCTCTGTGTGTGTGTCTCTTTTTCTCTCTCTCTCTCTCTCTCTCTCTCTCTCGCGCGCGCGCGCGCGCTCCATCTCTCGATGACGACGCGCGACGGAGCTCAAGGGCGACGAACTCCCGGTCGCTGCTCGTGGCGAATCGTCGCGAAGCGGCTTCGCGAGCTTCACGGTGTCGTAAAGCGCGTTTTCTCTCATTTTCAGGAGTCTTCAGCGCGTGTCCTCTGCCACCGTCGCCGGAGAACGGCAGGATATTGAAGACCATGCAGGACGGCACTCAGCACATCATGTTCAGGTGCGAGCCGGGCTATAGGGTCAAGGGTACCAAGGTGGCGACTTGCGTCGGCGACAAATGGGATCAGCCCGCCCCGACATGCGTGCTCCTCAGTAAGATATATCGTATACCTACTTGAGCTCGCCGCGCGCGCGCGCGCACATACCGCGTCGATACGTACCTCGTTACGAGAGATTACTCGCGCTCGTAGCTCGTAGACGCGAACACGCCGCGTCTAATCCATCCGGTACGCGCGCGCTGCCTAATTTGTCGCGCTTCTCCCTTCGATTCGTCGCGCGCCGCCATTTCCTCCGGCCGCCGTACGCAACGCGCTCGGCGATCTCGGCTTAATATCTGCAATATTCGCACACAAGCGCGCGCAAGCACGGAGACTCGTCCGCGCGAAACACGTCTCGGGCCCGTGCGTGCCCTCGTCGGATTACTCGGCCGCGATCGCGATTCCACGTCGATCTCCGTAATCGGCCACGTCACGCGACTCGTTTCGACTCAATTGGCAGTCCCCGCGATGCGTACCTCCGTCGCGCGACTTATCGCGATCTCCTCGACGATTGCTCGTAACGTCGACCCAGACGTAAGCGAACCGTCTCGAGAGACAGGCGGACTCGTTCCGTACGCGCGCTGTCGCGGAGTTACGATCCTCTCGCGGCACCGATGAAAAGTATCTCATTGCTCGGATCAATTAATCCCTTTCCGCCGCTCCGGATGTTCCTCTCCTCTTCCCTCGCCAGCTCACTCGCGCCGCCCTCGCGAGCGATATCGTTCTCAATCCGCAATCTCGGAGTCCGCCGGACTCTGGGGATGTTCGCGCGCTAAATAAAGTATTTCCCCTCTCCCCGCGCGCGTCACCCTGTCACGCCGGCCGCCGATTGCTCTCGCTCTTGGGATGAATTCGCTCGGCGCGAATCCGAGCGAATGGCGCGCGTGTATCACGGTCGCGCGGCGCATCGCGCATCGCGCATCGCGTCGCGCGCGCGTCATTGTTAGCGACTGATCGACGCAAGTCAATTATCCGCATGAAAGGGAGCCTAACTCCTTGCGCCTGGCGGCTCCTGAAGCCCCGACGCACGTGTTCCCTGGACTGACGGACAAATCCGTTTACCGCGAGACGCTCGGCGTCCGACGATAAATAAATAAAGGGAGCTCGGGGAAGAGGGGGGGGGAGGGGAGTGGATGAGCGAGCTCTCGCTCTTAATATCGTAATGTGAGCCAGCCAATCGCTCACGTCGAATCGCGACGATCGAGACATCGCGCCGGTCGATCGACCGATCGACCGAGTTAACCGGTCGGCGAGTTCGCGGTCGCCGCTCTTTCGCGATCTTATCGCGCGCGCGCTCCAGAAATAGACTAGTACTCCTGCATGCGCATCGAAGAACGTTACGTCACCGGGCGCGGTGATGCGCGAGTAATTATCGAGGAGCGAGCGAGAGGAGAGGAGGAGACGGGGAAAGGAGGAGTAATTTCGCGACGCGCGCGCGGAGTGTCGCGAAATGCAATCCGCAATCCCCGTGATCGCCGGCAGCGCCGCGGAGCGAGACGTCGCGTTAATCTTCCGCGGCGGGATGATATTTAAAAATGGCGCTTTTATAAACGATACGTCAGAAAGCGGCGGGAAGTTTTGGAAGAACAATTCCGAAGCGGGACGGCCGCTTTTCCCCGGTGATTTATGGAAACACGACTCCACCGTGGGATTCAATTTTCACCGATGCTCAAGTTATCGGCATATCTTAAGCCGGGGGCTTGGCGCTGTTCCCGACTTGAGATATATAGGGTGTCCTCGTGTTCTTCGCTCGCAGTTTCCTTCTCGCAGCCCTCACGGAGTCTCGATAGACTCGGAACTTTTCGTTTAATCAAGAGAACGAGACCGAGGAGACCCGCGGGGCGCAGCTCCCCGCAGAATTTATCCCCGCCCCACCTCTCGTCCTTCTCCTGCTGCTGCTGCTGCTGCTGCTGCTGCTGCTGCTGCTGCTGCTCCTCCGCAGCTGATTCCCCGCGTATCGTCGAATGATCCATTTCATTTCCGTTGCACGATGCGGATCGCCGCGACGGAACAGCGCGAACGGCCGCGCTGAAATCGCGGCGTTCGCAACAACGGCGACGCCGTCGATCGCAAACACGGTTGCCCGGTCATCTCCCCTCGTTTAGCCCGAGCCGAGCCGAGCCGATGCCGAGTCGGCGGTCAGGATTCCGGGGGCGAGGCGGGAAAATTCGCGGAGAGTTTCGGGGTGCTTCAGGAACGCGCCTCGTTCCATCGCGCGTGCTATCGGCGGCACGTAATTCGCCGACATGGCATAGCTCACATTCGCCTCGATGCAGATAAGCCGCCAAGTCATACACCGCCGTGGACGTTGCACGCATACGTATATATCGCGCACGTTATTCCCTCCCTTCCCTTTCGCCTCCTCCTCTCTCTCTCTCTCTCTCTCTCTCTCTCTCTCTCTCCTCTCTCTCTCCTCCTCTCTCTCTCTCTCTCTCTCACTCTCTTTGGATTTAGCCTCGGCCAGGAGGCCACGGCGCATCCGGTGCAACGGAGAACCAAGCGAGCTTGCAGACACGCTTGCGAGCTTGTCTTCTGCTCAATTATTCCGCGCGGATGCCCGGAAGTCGTTGGAGAAAACGACGCGAGAAAGAAAAAAAGAAAGTAAAAAGGAAAGAGAAAAAAAACAAAGAGAGAGAGAGAGAGAGAGGGAAGAAAAAGAGGAGAGACAAAACGACGAAAGGAAGACAAATAAAGTGGGCAAGTGGCTGAAATATAAAAGAAATGTCCGAAGGAGAGACGCGGAGACCTCCGCGTGTCAAGTCGCGGCACTCATCGGTGATGAATGATTCCCGAAAGTAATTCCCCTGAGCGTCGCGACGAGCCGTCCGTTAAAGAGAGGAACGACGCGTGTGCCCCTTTATGCAAACTAATTCCGGCGAGCTAATGCGGGCGCGAGCGCGTGTATATAGAGTACGCCGGTGCTTTATGCATCATCCAGTTGATACGGGAACGCGCGTAAAAGATTCATTATCTGATGGCAATCTCATCCGCACGGTAAAAGACGTACCTGTCCCACACATTGGACTACCGTGTATATCTGATGAGATTAATCCTCTGGCGCGCGCGCGTGCACGCGCGTCTCGCCATAACGTTACGCTCGAATATCTCTGGGAACATTTTTGCTCGCTGCAAAGTGAATATCCGATTTAAAGTCCATTTGATGCGCGCGCGCGAGTGTCGACGATTTAATTAAAATTCCTTTAATTATAATTATGAGATGAATATTTTATTTGCACGAGCGCGCGCCCGCGCGCGTTTGCAGTTCGTGGCCGATGATTTCGCGCTGACGAGCGAACACTCGGATCGAACACTCGACTAATTACCTGGACTCGTTCAAGCCGAGACGGCAGCTCGCTCGATCGCCGGCTGCTATTATCTCGGGCGACTATTATCCCGCGGAAAGTAAGAAACCGCTCGGCTGACGCTTCACATTGTGTTCGCTTGTGTGCAGATACATTGCGCTTTTTGCGCCCGGACATCCTCGCCGGCGATGAACCGGCCAGGGACAGAGAACGCCGAGAGAGCGAGCACCGAGAGGGCGAGCCCCGAGAGAACGATCGTCAAGGGAGCAAACCCCGAGAGTTCGAGTTGCAAGCTGCAAAGGACCGCTCGCAATCGCAGGATGAATCGCAAAGGGACGCACATTACAGAACGCACACCGTAGCGAAGAAGCACCGTAGGACGCGAGAGCACAGGAAGAACGGAGCGAAGAGGAGGAGGAAGACGAGCCAAGAGAAGCCTCTGTCAAATGTACCTGGCGCGACGAAATTAAACGAGACGCTGCTGTCTCAATTAGACACCAGCTGCACTAAGAAAAACCCCAAGAAGAAATCCCTCAAGGCCCCTGCGATCGAACACGCTCATAAGCCCAAATACGCTAGGTCATTATAGCCGCATATCTTAAGATTAAGCCAATTCCGACAGATTCCGACGTGACGACAAAAAGACAAGCAAACGGAAAGAACGAAAAGAAGAAAGAAAACAGAAACGGGGACGAGAAGGGACAATTGACTCTGACAGAGAATTCGAGGCTGCGAATTATCTGACATTTGACTATTGTGTACTACTACTCTCTCTCCTCCCTCTCTTTCTCTCTCTCTCTCTCTCTCTCTCTCTCTCTCTCTCTCTCACGTACGATAATTATACGATAGAAACGCTTACGACAATAGTTAAAGCTGATGAGAGCGCGCTGCTCGAAGGAGAAACGCGAAATGATCGGGCGCATCGTTTCGTAGGAGGAGGAACGTACTGCCGCCGTATAATCGATACCTCGTCGCGGTTTACAAGTGCGCGGATAATTACGTTTTCATGGACTCGACTACCGACAGACTTTTCTGCAGCAACCGCACCTGGCTTGGTCGTCGACCGAAGTGCGTGAGGCAGAGCCGTAAGTCTGTTCGGAAATCATTCGATTATCCCACGCTCGTCTCATTATCCCGAGCATAACGAGCGTATACACACACACGCACGCACTGATGCATCACACACATTCTCATATACAGATACACATACACACACACACACACATATATATATATATACGTATACACATACACATGGCTGTGGCACATATACGTATACATATCAAGCATACATACATACATATATATATATATATATATATACATCAAGCATACACACACACACACACACATATATATATATATATATATACGATAAAAGTAGAACGTGGCCTCTCTCGCCGCAATTTTATCCCTGCGCCATGACACATTCACAAGGGTCTGTTTGTCTGTTTATTGTCTCGAGCGTTTACTGTCTCAGAGCCGGCGATCGATAAAGCGAAACGTTGCGATCAGGATAGAGGTGAGTGCGAGCACGTGTGCGAGGATACACCGGCCGGTATAAAGTGTTCCTGCTTCGATGGATTTCGAGCCGAAGAATCGTCCTGTATAGGTAATCCATACACGCCAGCCGTGCCCCGCTGTACTTATGCGAACTCGACGTCGCATATATCTCGCGTTTTCGTACTTTTTCGAGGGAGGAACTCTCGCGACACCTGATATTTCCCCACCCCGCCTCCCTTGCTTCATATTCTCACTGAAATAGACTACGCCAACCCCAGCTCTCGCGCCTACGTGTCCGCCGCGGATTGATTTGTCGTGTTTACTGTTTTCTACACCCTGCCGCGATACGCGATATACGTTGCGTCCATCGTGTGCGAAATTACGTGATTCGACCGTGAAAATAATGCCCGCCGCATTCCAAGCGTGCGCGCGCGAGATGTGTTTGTAAGGTGAAAATATAATAAATTTCTGCGAGGCGCTGGGTTGGGCCGCGCGACTCGCAATTTCGGCGCTCCCGAAAATACCTTAATAACGGTATTACCGGTTTTGGCACGTATCGGATTATTTAAGAGTCGGATTGCGCACATTGTTGCGAGATATCAATTGCTATCAAATTTAAATGCTGCGATCGACTCGAATATTCCGCTGTATTTACCAGAATACCAGTTCCATTTTCACTTTTATTACCTTTTTCTCTTCTTCTTTTTTTTTTTCGTTTTTTTTTACCTCCGTCCCGGTTGTAGTATGCGGGGTATTTGCCGATCGTATCGCTCAATCGTAGCTCGATGATTGCCCGATCAACGTGTAACCCGAGAGTCAGTTGCCACGCGCGGTGCTTCTTCGGCCTGTTAATAACGTAACAACGCCTAAATTGTCAACGCTAAATTTAGCTATGATGGAACAATAATAAATGTGCGATCGAAAGATGCTTATTTTTTTTTATCTTTAAGCACGAGCCGATGAAAAGTCCAAAAATCCAGTCCGAATCTGTCTTGCCATCGATAAAAAAGAAAAAAAAATATTTGCACCTTCCTGACCCGCCCGCAGGGAGTGCGGTGTGTAAGTGCTGAGCAGTTCTGTGCGAACAAAAGAAAAAAGGTCAGAAATTGAAGGAAATTGGAGGTCTCTAATCTTTGGCGGTTCGCAGTTGCGAGAGGCGGAATTAACGTCGATCTCATTATCCCTCGTGGTCGTCGATTTGTGCCCCTCTTCCCCTTGACTATCCTTTCAGACATCGACGAGTGTACCGAAGGCACAGCAGGATGCGCCGACATCTGCCGCAACGAACCCGGCTCGTATTCCTGCGAGTGTCATCGTGGTTTTCAGCTCGGCGCCGACGGCCGCACTTGCCAAGGTTAGTGTCGCGCGAAGAGGCTCTTTCGAGAGAGAGACGCACTCATTAAGTCGCGAGTCGCGAACCTCAGACTTCGGGACACGACGTGTTCGTTTATTCTTTCCTTTCCTTTTTTTTTTCTTTTTCTTTTTTTTTCGTGCGTCGCTCCACACACTCGCGTGTCGTCGTATTGTCGCGAATACTCGAGCACAGGAGAGCACGCGAAACACATCCCGGACGCGCGGCAACCGAATTGTCTTTCATTTCGGCCCTCGATTTAATTCGCTCGTGCAAACGTCGGCTGGCACGCAAGAGCGCGATTTCGCGATCAAGCGTTTCGACGGGAACCGAACGGGTTGGTCCCAAACGGGACGAGTTGCCGTGCCGAAGCGGCACGAGGAGCTATATACACGTACGTGACCGATACATTGTTCAGATGTCAACGAATGCCTGCCGAACAACGGGCACGGTCCTTGCCAAGGCGCTTGCCGCAATCTCGAAGGTGGCTACGGGTGCAGTTGCGCGGATATTCCCGGGTACAAATTAGCTGCCGACAATCACGCCTGCGAGGACATCGACGAGTGCGCGCTGAACAACGCCAACTGCTCTCACTTGTGCCTGAATACGCCTGGGAGCGCCTTTTGTCTCTGCCCGGACGGCTTTTATCTGACGGATAATTGGAAGACCTGTCAGGGTATATTGAACAGCTCACGTTGATTTTAAATAGATCGACCTAGGGCAACCCCCGCGCAGCCGCGGGACTCTCCCCAGCTTTGTTTTCAGTTTGTCATGAAGAATTCGTTAAATTGATTTGTATCATTCTCTGACCGAGCGATCTCGCCGAGTGGCAATTATTTACACTCAAAAAAAAGTAATCTCGAAACAATCGGAATCATCTAAATTTTGGAGGGATTTACTCTTACGGCCTCAAGAGGATTCTTCTAAAATTAAGAGGAAAATATTATAAACACATTATTCTTAAAGTTAGAGAGATCATATGTTATATGTATAACGCAAATCTTACTGATTTTAATATAAATTTCCTCTTATACACAAATTATTTTATTGAATCTTTTTTTAAGAAGATTATTATTTATTCTTACTGGTTAATTTGAAAAGAATTTTATAATGTATAGCAAAAAGTAATATATATATATATATATATGTATATATATATATATATAGATGCACTTCTGGCTCCCGTTCTACAATAAGTAGGCATGAATGAAATAAGATTATCATAACAAATAAATTTCCAACTAGTTTTGTTGTTATAGATTTTATAACTACAAAGATGCTCATCATAACCAATTATAATGGAACATGGTTGAAAGGAAGAATATATTATTCAATTTCTTGCAACAGATTATAAACTGCATTTGACCAAATATAAGTAAATTATCTTCGTTATATGTTACAGCAACACACATACCTTTTCTAAAAAGCGTTCCAAATATTCTGACCCATGAGCATATGATTATCTTTTCGCTCATGTTTGAAGATAGAGCATGATTGAACAAAAAAAGGGGATATTCGAATCAACATATTCCTCCTCATGTAAGAGAAAAATTAGTTGAGATAAGAGGAAATCCTCTTGGAAATAAGAGTAAAACAATTAGAATAATATCTAGTAAATTTTAGATGAATGCTTCACTTTAATCGCTTTATCGAAAGAGGAAGCTTTCCCCTAAACTTCGCTTAGAATATGAGACTATGGGAAAAAATCACTTTACAAATAGAATATTATTTCTTTTTGGGTGTAACAGTTTCGCACTTGCTCCCTCTCTCTCTCTCTCTCTCTCTCATTCGCTCGCAGACTCATTGTGGAAGTTGCACAATGGCCGGCGACCGAAAAGATCCCGTGTCATCTTCTTTACCCTCGTAGATGTCAACGAGTGCGAAATCACACCGAGGATTTGCGCCGAGGATATGGATTGCGAAAATACTGTAGGCTCCTACAAGTGCGTCAACAAGGCGCAGCCACATAAAGTGACGAAGGTCCTGCGGGAAGAGGATTACGACGGTGAGGGTGGAGACGGCGATAACGACAACAACAACGACAACAACAACGGCGATGACGACGACGACGGTGACGACGACAACGATGACGACGATGACGATGACGATTACGGTTACGGTGAGGAGATTACCGAAAATCCGCAGAGCCGAAAGTGCGAGGACGGCTTCAGGAGGAACGAGAATTTCGAGTGTGTCGGTGAGTGTCGACCGGACGAGCTCACGCTTTTCTCCCTGTCGGAAACAATGGTCGCGACAATGGTCCTCTAGTGCAATAACTTTGGTGGTAAAACACGTTTCGTAGTAACAAATATTGTTGAGGCAACGAGTCAGAATCTAAACGCTGATACATTGTTTACTCTGCTCGCCCGGAGAACCGGAGAGTAGAGCATGCTTCTGGCATGGAATTGCCTCGTGCCTTGCGCGATACATGCTGTCTCTCTCAAGGATAAGAGAAAATATACATGAGTTCGTCCTTTTGCGACGTATGGATTAGATTTAATTTCCGTCTCGAACAGATCAGATCGTCTACAACGGTGCTCAGCCGATTTCTCTTTATAAGCTCGACGCTCGTCGACATTCGAGAACCACACTCGCCTCAGCACACCGCTGAGGTATTTTCTTTAGTCCGTGTAGCCGAATAAGTGTTTTGTAGAGTTTCGTTGTTGCGATTAATGTGTAAATTTCTAAGTCATTGGCAACAATAAATTGTGCTGCGGTCTCGCACTGCAATAGCGTGTCAACTCTGCGGCATATTGTGACCGTTCCCTGCTCCGAGCGGGACCGGACCCGGTAAGTCCTCTCATTCCGATCGACCTTCCGCAAGGATCCCATCGGAACAGATATGTTTCCGAAGCATGAACGAAGGACCGGTATCTCTCCTCTGTGAGCGAAATTGTCATGGCTGGAGGAGTTACTTTGTACAAGTAACGGCAGAGCTATCGATTAAACCCGTTTTATTGTTATCCAAACAACGTGAACGAACGAATAAATTACTCCGTCGTTTGCCACGATTATTAACCACGAAGCAGCGAAGAGTCCGCCAAGCGGCGGGAAATGACGGGAAATCCTCTAATTGCCGCTAAAACTTATTGAAATTCACCTTGCCGCCCTTCTGGCGAATTTTCTTTCAAAACGCTGTAATTCCAGCTCGCTTCGTCCCATCGCTAACTCTGTTAACGTTAACGAAAAGGATACAACGTCGTTACCGAGAAAAGTATCCCGTAACGGTAACGACGTTGCGAGTAGGTTCGCGTTACTCGCCCACCCCGAAGAGAGACCATCGAGTCGCAAGACTCGCGCAATTTGCACCTTGCTCTTCAGATATAAACGAGTGCATCGAGGCGCACGATTGCCAACACGAGTGCGTGAACGAGCCGGGCAGCTACCATTGCGCCTGCCGCAGCGGCTACGAGGTCAACGAGGACGGCGCGACGTGCAGGGACGTGGACGAGTGCGAGGAGCCGTCGCAGCCGTGCTCTCACGTCTGTCGCAATACCGTGGGCGCGTACGTGTGCGAGTGTCCTCCCGGGCTCGTCCTGGCTCACGACAATGCCACTTGCACGCGGAAGCTGGGAAACTGCGCCTCTCTCGCGAGTCCTTGCTCACATCGGTGCGAGGACACGGAGGACGGGCCGCGCTGCGTCTGCCCGAGCGGCTACGAGCTGTCGCACGACCGGACGACCTGCAACGACATCGACGAGTGCCTCGCTCGACAGCCTTGCTCGCACTCCTGCGTCAACCTGGACGGCGGCTTCGTCTGCACGTGTCCGGACGGCCTCGAGGTCAGCGGCGACTCCGGGCTCGACTGCGTCGACGTGGACGAGTGCGAGCGAGGCGGTGGCGGTTGCCAACAGCTGTGCAGGAATCTACACGGCAGCTACGAGTGCGCCTGCCGGCCAGGCTTCGTCCTGCACGTCGACAATAGGTCCTGCCTCGCGGTGAGCGCGTGCGATCAGCACGCGTGCTCGCACGGCTGCGAGGACCAGGACGTTGGCTACAGGTGCACCTGTCCGCCGGGACATCGCATCCAGCAGGACGAGCGCACGTGCGCCGACGTGGACGAATGCGCGCAGGAGTCGCACGGCTGCTCGCACGAGTGCGTGAATCTGCCGGGATCCTACAAGTGCCGGTGTCCAGACGACATGTCCTTGGATGACACCGGGAGCAACTGCGTGCTTTCCGACGGCTGCGAGCTCGCGAATTGCAGTCACGGCTGCGAGAGGGATCAGAGCGCGTACAGGTGCGTCTGTCCGAACGGCTACGTCCTGCGGGAAGACGGTAGGACCTGCCAGGATTTCGACGAGTGCCTCGAGGATGAGCACGCCTGTTCCCACGGCTGCATTAACGTCCCCGGGAGTTTCGAATGCGCCTGTCCGCGGGACATGAGTCTTTCGGCGGACGGCTTCTCCTGCGAGAAAGCATGTCCTCAAGGACTCCGGCCGGACGACGATGGCCGATGTGAGGACGTTGACGAATGTCGCGAAGACAAGCACGAGTGCTCGCATCGGTGCGTCAATGTGTACGCGGCTTACCGCTGCGAGTGTCCTCTCGGCTCCTGGTTCCTGGAGAGCGACGGTCTCACTTGCGCGAGGATCGATCCTTGCGCCAACTCGTCCTGCTCGCACTCGTGCGCGTCGATGGGCTCGGATTACAGATGCGAGTGTCCTGCGGGTTATCTCTTGGATGAAGACGGTAGCATTTGCACGGACAAGGACGAATGCGAGGATCAGACGACAAACGATTGCAGCCACGAGTGCAGGAACCTCGAAGGATCTTACGCGTGTTCCTGCCCGACGGGGCTCGAGCTCGAGCAGGACAATCGCACGTGCGTCGTCGTCCAGGACGAATGCTCAGAGTCGCAAGGAGATAACGATTGCACTTGTCCCGAGGGATACGCGTACTCGCGGGACGAGCGTGTCTGCAAGGACGTCAACGAGTGCCAGGATGAGCAGCGACACCACTGCTCTCACGATTGCGTCAATACCAACGGCTCTTACCACTGCGAGTGTCCTGCCGACTGGCGCCTACGGGAAGACTCCAGGACCTGCGAATTGGCGAGTGATCCTTGCGCCAAGGATCATGGCTGCTCGCATACGTGCGAGCAGAACGACGGTCAGTTTCGCTGCGGCTGTCCAGAAGGATATCAGTTGCAGGACGACGAGAAGACCTGCCAGGACGTGGACGAGTGCACCGAAGGATCGCACGCGTGCGGTCACGCGTGCGTGAATATCGAAGGCGCTTATTATTGCGAGTGTCCTGCGGGATACCGGCTGGGTGACGATCGCAGAACTTGCGAGGACGCGGACGAGTGCTCGGCGCAGGACGTCGGCTGCTCTCACGGCTGCCTCGATACGAACGGCACTGTCAGCTGCACGTGTCCGGAAGGACACGAACTGTCGGACGACGGCAGGACTTGCGCGCGCCGGAACAAGTGTCTCGTCCGGAATGGCGGCTGTTCAGACACCTGTATCTTCACCGGAGACTCGGTTTTCTGCGATTGTTCTCGCGGCTTCGAGCTGTCGACCGACGGCGTGACCTGCGAGAAGATCGATCCTTGCAGCCAGGATCACGGCTGCTCCCACGAGTGCGTCAGCAAGCCGGACGGCCCTCATTGTCGCTGTCCGTTGGGCTACGCCCTCTCGAGTGACAACAAGTCCTGCGAAGACGTGAACGAGTGTATCCTGGACAACGGAGGCTGCTCGCACTTGTGCGCCAACACGGAAGGAGGGGTGGAGTGCGCGTGTCCCGACAACTACAAGCTGCTGACGGACGACAACAGGACATGCGTCGAGATCAGCGCGTGTTCCATCGACAATGGCGGCTGCTCGCACTTCTGCCATCACGAGAACGGTCGAGCATCCTGCTCCTGCCCGGCCGGCATGGTGCTATCGGAGGACGACGACGGGACGATGTGTATTCACGAGAACAAGTGCCTGAAGGACAACGGCGGCTGCTCGCACCTATGCTACCACGAAGACGGGAACGTGACATGCGCTTGTCCGCCTGGGATGATCCTGGCGGCGGACCAGAGGCTCTGCGTGCCCGAGGACAAGTGCGAGGTCGGGAACGGCGGCTGCTCGCACTCGTGTCACGACGAGAACGGCAATGTCACGTGCTCGTGTCCGCCAGGAATGACCTTGGCGCCGAACGACGACACCCTCTGCGTCCACGAGAACGGCTGCCTCGTCCGGAACGGCGGCTGCTCCGACATCTGCGTGTTCACCGGGGACGCGGCTGCCTACTGCGACTGCCCCTTCGGCTACCGGCTGTCGCCGAAGGACAACGCTACCTGCGACGACGTGGACGAGTGCCTGGAGCTGTCGGACAACTGCACCCACCGGTGCCTCAACACCGCCGGCGGCTTCGAGTGCGACTGCAACGAAGGCTTCCGTAGGAACCCACAGGACCCGGTGCTCTGCGACGACATCGACGAGTGCGAGACCGGCGGGGGGTGCTCGCATAGCTGCTCCAACCTGGTGGGCTCCTACCGGTGTCTCTGCCCGGCGGGTTACGCGCTCAGGCGCGACGACAACAGGACCTGCGTCCTGCTGGACGGCTGCAAGCGCGACAACGGGAATTGCTCCCACCACTGCCACCAGGAGGAGCGAGCGGACGGAGAGCCCGGGACTCGTTGCTCCTGCCCGCTCGGCTTCCGGCTGAAGCCGGACCGCAGGACCTGCGAGGACGTGGACGAGTGCGAGGACTTCCAGAACGACGTCGACTCTGGCTGCTCGCACACGTGCGTCAACACCGTGGGCGGTTACCACTGCGAGTGCCCGGCCGGCTACATCCTCATGCCGGACGACAAGAAGAACTGCGTGGATGTGGACGAGTGCCTGAGCAGCAATCACAACTGCAGCCACGACTGCGTGAACCTGCTGGGTAGCTACGTGTGCGCCTGCCATGACGGCCACTACCTGCACTCGGACCAGTCCAGCTGCCTGGACATCGACGAGTGCCGCGAGGCGAACGGCGGCTGCTCCCATGACTGCACCAACACCATCGGCGGCCACTTCTGCAGCTGTCCAGCCGGCTACGAGCTGTCGCAGGACGAGAGAGCCTGCGTCGATCTGAACGAGTGCGAAAGCGGCGTGGCGGAGTGCGCGCTCACCTTCGAGTGCGTCAACACCTTGGGATCGTGGAAGTGCGTCTGCCCGGAGGGACGAGTCCTTTCGAACGACTCGCGCAGTTGCGTCCACGTGGACCGGTGTCAGGTGAGTGCCAATCAGCGTGTATTCGTAGGAAATAGTCAGCATCTGATATCTGATGACGAGGAGAGAGTGGTCGAGTACGCTTAATTGACCTCGAGCGATTCCGCGCCACGTTGAATCTTGGATAATCTCTCTCGAGTAATATCGGAGAACTCTTAAACGCGTAAAATCTTCCTCCTCCTCCTCCTCCTCCTCCTCTTCTTTTTCCCCCTCGTTCCCCGACGGGCGTCTTAATGGCCTCCTAATGACCTCCGGACGTAAAAACTTTCAACCCGACGACTAGGCGACTCGGCTCGGAGTTTGGACTCGTTTCAAAGGGAAATTCTCACCTAGCTGAACAACGGCGGGTGCTCGCACGCCTGCTTCCACGCCGGGGCGAGCGTGCGATGCAGCTGTCCCGTGGGCCTGCGACTCGACAGCGGCGGCAAGGTGTGCGAGGACGTCGACGAGTGCGCGACCGAGAACGGCGGCTGCTCGGACGTGTGCGTGAACGTCGAGGGCACCTTCGAGTGCCGCTGCCCCGCCGGCTACCGCCTCGGGAATGACTCGAGGAGTTGCGTCGACGTGGACGAGTGTGCCTTCGCCAATGGCGGCTGCTCCGACGGCTGCGTCAACCTCGACGGCGACTACCGCTGCGAGTGCTCGCCGGGCTACCGATTGGCGCCGAACCGGAAGGCCTGCGACGACGTGGACGAGTGCGCAGTCGACAACGGCGGCTGCAGTCACACGTGCGTCAACACGGTGGGCTCCTTCCGCTGCGAGTGTCCGCTTGGCTACGAGCTGTCCAACGGATCCTGCCGGCTGCCTGATCCTTGCCGGCATCGCAACGGAGGCTGCGAGCAGATCTGCGAAGTCGCGGCCAACGGCGGCGCGCTGTGCTCGTGCAAGCAGGGCTTCCGGACAGACCCGGTCGACGGCTTCAGTTGCCGCGACGTAGACGAGTGCGAAGGACAACACGGCTGCGAGCACATTTGCGTCAACAATCCTGGCTCGTACGAATGTAGCTGCAAAGATGGCTTTCGGATGGTGAATTCGACGTGTGTCGGTGAGTACCTTCGACGCGGCCGATTGGACCTTTTTAATGAAAAGCTCGCGAGCGCGGAGTCTCTCTCCCCCTTCCCCCCTTCCCCCCTCTCTCTCTCTCTCTCTCTCTCCCTCTTTCTTTCTTTCTTTCTCGCTCGCGCTTGCATATCGATCGTTTCCGCGTGAGCAACGAGAGATATTCGTTTGTTGCGCGAGATAACAATTTCATAGAACGATATGCGGGCGCATAAGGGGTTGAGAAAAAGAGAGAGGGAGAGGGGAGGGGGCGGAAGGAGAAACACGCTTCGATTCATCCTGGCAGTTCATGCTCACGTGGATGGCCGCTGCTTCTTGCCTGACTGTAATAGCCGAAGTCAATCTTCGACGAGAGCGGCGAGAGTCGCGTCGTGTCGTGTCGCGTCGTCCTGGAAAATTCAAAGGACCTAAAGGAGCGCTCCGGCGCGACTCAGCGCCTCAGCCGCGTATTAGCGATTTTGCCGCGCTCGCGTCCTAGTTCCGACGCTGGCTCGCGCCAATTTGGAATCGCTAACTTGGTACGCGGCAAGTTTTCGCGCGAGCGGCAGCGCGTGTAAACCTTCTCAGACGTCGGCGGATGCGCGGCCGGTGACCTTGAGGGAGCAACAAATGCCATCGGGCGCTTGCTTGCCGTGGCGCGAGGCAGTAAAGGCGGGTTACCGATTTCGCCGCGGTGATGCGTGTGCAAGCTCGTGCGGAAAAAGAGAAGGAGAAGGGAAAAAAGAGAAGGAACAAAAGAACGCCTTCGCGCGAAAAATCGATGTGTCGCTTAATCGCGTAACTGAACCGAGCTTGCTCCCTCTCTATGCGCAGACATCGACGAATGCGTCGAGAGTGCAGCTTGCAGGGAGAGATGCGTCAATACACCTGGCTCGTATTATTGCACGTGTCCTCCAGGATTCCACTGGCGTGGGGACGAATGCATAGGCAAGTCAATGCGCCCAGCGACAAAGACCATTATAGAATACACACATACACACACACACACACACACACACACACACACACGAGGGAGAGAGAAATATAGACAGCAGTATCGCTCTAAATTATTCCTCGAGTTTCTCGAGGATACGTTCAAACTTATGGACAGATCCGGCCGGCGGTATCCGCCGCTTCGAGACAGACCATCGCGCGCGCGATCACCCCCCGCCTCCACTATTTCTCTTTCTTTGCATTATTAATCTCGAAACTTCGACATGGCCAGACATCGATGAATGCGAGTGGCGTCGCGGCGGTTGCGAGCAGGAGTGCGTCAATAACGTGGGGTCCTTCAGCTGCGCCTGCCGCACCGGATTCGCGTTAACGTCCAGGTAAGATACGGCGACGGGAACGAACACTACCATGTGTGATATCCTCACCCTGTCTGATACGTTTCTCTGATACCGTCGCTCGCACGCGATCGGGGCAGCAGGAGGCACTGCCGCGACGTGGACGAGTGTCTGCAGCGGAACGGCGGCTGCAGCGGCGAGTGCATCAACACCCCCGGGAGCTACTACTGCGTCTGTAGCGAGGACTTAATGTTGGCACCCGACGAGAGAACTTGCGTCTCGCCGACGTCGAGGTGTCGCGCCATGGAGCCGCCGTTGCACGGAGAGGTGCGAGAGAGAGGCTTGACAGATCAAGTTGGAGAGAGAGAGAGAGAGAGAGAGAGAGAGAGAGAGAGAGAGAGAGAGAGAGAGAGAGAGTGTAGACACACTTTGTAGCGTTCGCGGCGAGAAACTCGGCCGCGGTTCGCGAGCGCGTATTCTCGTTCGGCAGGAAATTATGAAAAATGTCGAGTCGCGCGCGCTGTGTAACCTGGCGAGCTGGGTCGTCGTTGACGTCGCTCGAGGAAATCCGAGAGCCCCGTTAGTTATTCGTTTACGGTGCACACCGGATACGCGCTCCCGTTTCAATGATACGCGCGCGCTAAATGATAAGAGCTCCCTTCTCCGCGTTTCATAATCTCGTAATTTCGGCTGAACTCTCATTCGCGTTATTTTTAGAATGTCAGCTAAATGCATAGAGTCGAGCGAGAATGGGAGGCACAGAGAGAGAGAGAGAGAGAGAGAGAGAGAGAGAGAGAGAGAGAGAGAGAGAGAGAGAGAGAAAAATACATTCGACAGCCGGTGTGCCCGTGATGTTTCCCAACGCGCAATTCAACCGGATCGTATGGCGAGATTAAAGCGAAACGGCGGAAACGAGGATCGCCTGCCTGGAACGTATTATTCAACGCGCGTTTTCTGCGACTAATCGAGCAGATCAGGTGCCCGGGTCACCCTTCCGGCGCATCCGTCTACCCGCAGGGTGCCAAGTGTCATGTCCGATGTCGTGGAGGATTCCGACTGGAAGGAGCGCACACGAGACACTGCGTTAGCGGCGGCCGATGGAACGGGAAAGAGCCTACCTGTCTGCGTGAAGCTGCGACAGAATCCGCTTACAAGTCAAGTAACTCGTGCCACAGTTGAACAGTTAGCGGGATAACGGGAGGGGAGGAGAAGGAAAGAACGGACGCGGCAGGCGCGCGCGCGCTGGAAGTCTAGCGGAAAATTAATCAGAACGTTTATCCGATGAAATCTTCAACAAACCGATTGCGAGAGCTCGCAGGAGACGCTCCGAGTCGCGGAGGAGCACTCCGCAACTCCTCCTCCGCGGTCTCGCGACGTCGCGTCGCGTCTTGCGGAGCTGCATCTCGGCAGCGGTGTTGAAGTCGCGGAATAAGGTAAACGTACCGAATTACGCAACTGACCCGAATCACGCCACCTTAGCTTGCTCTATGCGTGTAATAAAACACAGCTGAGTAAAAGTGTCTAAAAATTGCCGGAAGAGAGTCATGATAGTGCAGCTCCGCTAAAATAAGCGTACGAAAATGTAACGTGATTTTCCGTGAAATCCAATTTCCAAAGCCTGCATTAAAGATCTGTCACTTTTGACTATTTTCGGCTGAATCTGCTTCTAAATGATAACTAACCTATGAAGTGACATTGTGCCTTATAATATGATAAAATGAGATATTTTTGGGTAGTAATATAAAGTGTTTTAGTTTCGTACGATTAAAATATAATAAAAGATGATAAAAAGGTATAATATTACGAAATTATATAGCTTTTATATAATATAATGTAATATAATATAGAACGGCGTCATTTGGTATATAATCAATAGCGTAAATTGAAACCTATAATTTCAGTGGGCTATTTGCATTTCGGGATATTTGCAGTTCACACTTGATCTTTTATATAAACAAATAATCTGGTTTGTTTCTAATTCGTATATTCGTGTTTTCGTTAATTTACAAAATAATAGCTTTTAGTAAGATTCATAGTCTTACCTCTCTCTACAACGCCACTTTACTTTTTTCGAAATAAACTCTTGAAAATTAGTCTTTGCTTAAAGTGGCGTAATTCGGTGCCTCGTTTACCTTAATGGAGATTTGCAACTAATCGCTGCGATTCTCCGGCGTTGTCGCCCGGCCACTGTCAATACTGTCGAAATTACAGCGTTCATTGCTTTGCGTGCCTGCGACGTTTTCTCTTTTTCTTTTTCAATTCTCCGACTTCTCCTCTTAGCGGAACATCAGTCGGGACATAAGTAAGAGAGTACGTTCAGTATGGAATTTTCTTTCAATTCCCGCCGCGTCGTTTCTTTACGTCCAATTTACATGAGCGAAACGTCCGCGGCGTACGTTCGCTCACGATCGAACCTGAAATATCGCCGGTCCGGACAAATGATCCATGTGCGAGAATTCTCAGGCACGTTAAATTAGTCATGCCGACCGACGGAGAGCAGCTTTTAATATTACAAAGTTCCTGTGTAGAGGCTTCCCGGCTAACGAGATCATACGTTAACGCCGTCCCTTAACGAGCTTACTCGGGCCGACGGCTTTTTACGCGCCGTTCGTCCTCTCTCCACCCTTTCGCTCGCTTTTTCATCCGCCGCACATTTTCGCGGTTCTTCACCGCGACGCTAATTGTTTCGTTTAATGAAAAGGAGATTTTGATTCTGCGCTCGCCCGCTGCCGTTTCCAAGTTTTTACGGCCGCGCACGCTCGCTAATGCCCCCGCGGAAGTAAACTCCTCAAAAGAAGTATTTAAATTAAATCAGTTTCCTTCCGTCCCGCGGCGCGTCTCTTGGCGCATCCTTTTATCGACGTCTTTCACGCGGAACGCGGGGGGAGCAGTCCTCTTGATCTCGCGTCCGTTTTTCTCCCACCGCTATCGGAATAATAATCGCGTCCGCGGTTACCTCGCGCGTTAAAAGTTTACGTTCACGTTTGACGGGATCTCGCGAAAAGAGGAAGTTGCACGAAACACGGTTAAGCAGAGCGCTGGGAGGGAGAAGGGCTTAATTTCAACAATCGGCTCGCCGTACCATTGCTCGTAGCATCGCGGTGTTTCAGTTAACAAAACGATCGATTCGTGCGCGGCTGAGAATTAATTAGCGGTTAAATTCAACGTCGGCTTCCTCTCGCACTCGCCTCATGCACGTCACACACACGCACGCTCACACGCTCGCCGAAGGGCGAACACGTTAGCCGCGGGGGCAGGTAGCGAAGGGCAGAGAGAGAGAGAGAGAGAGAGAGAGAGAGAGAGAGAGAGAGAGGGAGAGAGAGAGAGAGAGAGAGAGAGAGAGAGAGGAGACGGAGGCGTTTTTCAAGGCGACGGAATAATTTCCCGGCGTGAAATAACATTTCTTAGGAGCACAAGCGCGCACACGACGACAACGGTGCGAGGGTGGAGGCGGGGGGGGAATTGCGCGCCAACGCAATTTCTTATTGAGTTACAGCCATCGGAATTGGGCTGTATCGGGAATTTAACAATCGCCTTTATCGCCGTAGACATGCCACGACCGTTCGTGAGCTGCCCCCAGGACATGGACGTCGAGCTACCGGCTAGGCAAAATACGATACGTGTAACGTTCCCGCAACCCAAGTCCAACATGAACTGGTGGAGGTAAGAAGTACGCACACACGTACACACACACACACACACACACGCAAGTACACCATACGTTGTAAAACGGCCGAGACGATCGGCTCTCAAGTTTGATCGTCCGATAGTCCATAAAATTTTGTGCTCATATCGTGGAAGACCTGTAAAATTCGTCATCGTCGTCGTCATCTCTCTCTCTCTCTCTCTCTCTCTCTCTCTCTTTCTCTAGACACTGCCCACTTTACGTGTCACACCCACCCCGCAGCCCAGTTAGAATCTTGGAAACAGAACAAGGCGTCCGATGGGCCCACCCTGTGTTGGAGATATTTATTCCCTCCGAACCTCCTGCGCATGCGTCAATCTACGTCACAAGTTTTGATAAACTCGTGCTTGGATATGCAATAGGGCGCTCTTAGGGCGAAATCAATCTAGCAATGTAGGATTATGGCTGCGTCTCGATATTCACTGTCAGCACTGAAAATACATCATTTGTGTCACGTATACTATAGATTTTCAGTGCTGGCAATGAATATCGGAAGGCAGCTTATACGTATAGAAAAAAAAAATGAAAAAAGATATGGTTCAGGCTCCACAAAAACCCCCAATATTGCATTTAAGTTGCAGGAGTGTGTTAAGCAGCCACATGCGTGACGTAAATTGACGCATGCGCAGGACGTGCGGAGGGAATAAATGCCCTGTAGTTTCTGTAGTATAACTAAAGTCTGCTAACTCCCTTGTATACCGTAGCACAAAATTGATCCCAAAAAGTACGTATTAGATAAGGGAATCAAGCATCTGCGCATGCGTGAAATTGGTAGTCCACAAGGAGAGGGACTACATAAGCAATATGACCGATCCAGTTAGAAGAAATGTGTTTTGACTCAACCAATCAGATGTGAATGTCGAACCACCAGGACGGTAGTACATATTTTTCGGGGTCATGTATTGAGTCGGAGTTAGCAGTCTGGTTATATTATAAAAGTCTGCGAAATGCCCCCAACACTGGGTCCACTCTGCGCACCACTAACGTGGCCGAAGCGCACTTAATGACCGAACAGCCTTGCTTGCACGCTCGCAACGTGCTTACGTTACATCACCGTCGTTAAGCTCGCCTGTAATTTTTCCCTTTTCTTGCTCTTTCTCCTTGTTTCTCGTTTTCAGATACGTACACGCCTCACCCCCGTGGGCGAAGCAATTGCAAGCGGATCTGCCGACGGGCACGACGGTCGTTACCTTCACGGCTTGGTCACCGGTCTCTAATTACACCAGCACCTGTAGAATCGTGATAAGGGTTCGAGGTAAGTCCTCGCGCGGGAAAGAAATGAGGAGTAAAATCCGCCGCGGCGAGAGAAGAGCGACGAATTCCCTTTTTCCCTTCTCCTTCTTCGGCTGAGCCGATTACCGAAAGGAAAACCTTCGTGAGCCGGCGCGTTATGAAGGGACGAGCGTAAGGGACTGCGAATCCGCCTGGTAACGGGAGTAGCGCGGTGTTTTTGAAAATTCCGCTAAGTACACCCCCGAAAGATAAATACTTCTGAAAACGGATCTGAGTTGAAACCGGCTAGAAGTTTGCGTCGAAGCCTTCGCCGGGTCGGGATTTGCTCAACGTACAGTCTCGATCTGCCCCCCCCCCCCCCTCGTTCACAAAGAGCCGATATTCAATTACGCAGATTATGAATTTACGATCCCGCAAAGTCGTCCTCCACCCGTCGCGTCTCCTTATAATCGCACCCTTTTTCTCCTTCCTCCTTTTTTATATGTACCCGATTAGAAATTTATCCCATGGTCCTGATCAGGTTAACCTCATTTGGACATCAGGTCCCAATAAAGTAATACTATCGGATCCTGGTAAGTCATGTAACGCAGCGTGGATATCAGGACCTTAGTAAGGATTCATAGTCAGGTCCTTATTGAGTCACCTTATGGAATCCTTATTACGTTTTTTTTATTTTCAAATTATGACTCCTGATTACTCGCCATAGCTATATTGGATGATGACATTAGAAATAAGAAATGACACGCTGAAAATTCTTTCATGTCCAAATAAAAAGATATTTGCATGAAATAATATTTTAGATCGCTTGAGCATACTTGTAAAATGTTTCGGAAAAGAAACATAAAATGAAATATCACAAGATCATAAAGTAGATCATAAAGTCACAAGGTGACAAGACATGAAGTAGTGTTAAAGAGAAAAGTTGCATGTCACGTTAATTTTACAATTATTTATTGACTGCTAAAAAAAGGATAGTTCCTATAGCATTTTACAAACATGTTCGAGTGATCTGAAGTGTTTTTTCAATGCAAACATCTTTATATTTAGAAGTGACACTCAAGAATTGTTTTGTTAAAACTTGATAATGCAAATCATATTAGGTACAATGAATAGCATCCCGACAAGGACCTGATTAACTGAACCATATTATATATACATACACTAGGTTGGTACATTAAGGTCCTAATGTGGACCCAATCCAATTGTAACCTTATAAAGGTCTTCCTTATTTATTAGTCGTTAGGATTGACTTACTTAAGATTACCTTTCATTCACCCTATCAGGTCCTTATCAATGTTAGGTGAAGCTGATCAAAATTTTCTAGTCGGGTACGTATACGTATATTTCATTTTTTACATTCGTTCACATTTTTGCACGGCAACCTTTCGCGCGGGGGACAATCGATCCGGTCGCGAATCAGCGCCACTTGAATCGGCCCGATGCGGTAAACTTTAGCTTCCATGGCAAAGTGCACTTCGCGTCCCCCATTCACCCCCATCTCCCGTCCCGTCCCGCTTAATTACTCATTCGGAAAGTTCGTGAAACTCCCTTTAAGCAAGTTCTCCTTCCGCAGCGCAGCGACTGGAAGAAGGAGCACGCCGGCGCATCGCCGTAATAGTCGATACGCGATTACGCGAAATAAACTCGCGCCGATCAAACACAAACTCGCGGGACATTCCGGCGGCACTTCGCCGAAGCGGTTCGACGACCGCTCCGCGCCCCCCACCTCACTCTTTAGGGTTGAAATTTCGCCTCTTTCCGCCGCGCGATCGCCCTTCTCCGAGTTTATCTTCATTTCATCCTCATTTTCAGACACGGAGAATCCCAAAGTCACCATGTGTCCCATGTCTTTCGAGGTGAGGCTCAGCCCGGGCGAGCGGAGCCGTTTGATCTTCTGGCAGGAACCAACGTTCACCGACAACGTCGGCGTCGAGCATGTTTACAAAACGAGGGTAAGCAACCAAGTTGGCGGCACATTGGTCGGACAGTTCGTCTGCGTTTCGATTGCAATTAACCGGCCGTTACAGTTGGAACTCGTGCACGCAGGCTGATGTTTTCCGCGCGAAGTAACGCGCTGCCTTTTTCGCCTTCGTTGTCCGTCACGCGACTTACTTTTCGTTTGCGCGACGACTCGGTCTTTTCTACCTCGCGTCAGCGAGGCTGACAGCAACACACGTACATCTCTCGGGCAATGATGACGAAAGTAATCGTAACTTCCTTCGTTACTTTGCGCATGCATTCTGCATGTGCATGGCGGGTACGCATAAAAAAGGTCTTAGAAACTTGGCGCAAAGAGAGTGATGAAAATTGCAACGCCTGAATACTTCTCGGGGGGCAAGGGTGAGGGTAACGTGCCACTTTTCAAAATGAACGACCGTGTAACCGGGTCGCTTTTACAGAGTAACCTTCCCAACTTTGTACAATGTTGGATCTTCGGGTGCGAAAAAGAGAGAGTGAGAAGGGCCAGGGGGAAGGGGCAAGAGACTACAGACAGGGTATCACGCGGGTATCACCTTCATTTTTCGCAGGCGATCGCAAATGCACGTGTCACGCGTGGGAGATTTCTTACCTCGGGAGAGCGGGTTAATTAAACGTTCGCGCCGATCGACAATCGAACGTGTCAAACGGCGAGTCTGCGCGAGGATCCCGTCCATTAATTATCTGGCGTTTCGCGCAAAAAAAAAAATGAGACCGCGAGGCAACGTCGCGATGCGGCGCGAGGATATCTGCGCTTTTCCGCGCGGGGGAAATGTATCCGCGGGAAGAACTAACCGGACGATTAATCATTGTCGGCCGACGCCCAACGATTTCTCTCTCTCTCTCTCTCTCTCCCTCTCTCTCTCTCTCCCTCCATCTCTCTCTCTCTCTCTCTCTCCCTCTCTCTTCTTTTCTTCTCTCTTTTTTCTTTTCTTCCCTTTTTTCCTTCTTTCTTTCTTTCTTCCTTCCTTTTTTTCTTATTTGCCCGGGGTGTGTGTTTTGCCGTGAAAAGGGTTGTACGTGTACTTTATTAACGTAATAACAGAGATTACTCTGTCCGCGCGATAACAGGCGCACGGATAATTGGTGGCCCGTGCTCTCGATAGCGCGGGTTATAAATGGTCTCGGGCATTATGCAGCCTGACGTTTAATCTGATTAGACAAATTGAAACGACTAAGTGGGAATCGCCCGGGCGATTGTTCGAAAAAAGAGGGAGCGAGAGAGAGGGAGGGAGGGAGGGAGGATGGAGGGAGAGAGAGAGAGAGAGAGAGAGAGAGAGAGAGAGAGAGAGAGAGAGAAAAAAGTACCGCTCATTGCGCTCGCACGATCCAATTTCGGCGACCGGAATTACTTTCGGATCTCGCTTTGGAAACGCGGCGGAAGCGGACGCAAAAAGTCAGCTTTCGCCGCTACCCGGTCTTACACGGCGGATATTTTCCACGAAGGCGATTTGCGTGCAATCGCATGAAAGATTAATTATCGTATATCTCGCATAGGGTCCCGGACACGAGATGCATCCCGGCGTTCACAGTGTGCGCTACGTCGCATCGGACGCAGCCGGAAATCGAGCCGAATGCCATTTCTCGATACACGTGAGAGGTAAATTTACGCTTTTGTGCGCCGTGGGACCGAGGAGATTTCGCGGCGGAACGCCAAACGGCGCGGCGGCAGCGCACAGCGGTGACGCTATGAATCTTTCGCGAGCGAAAAAATGGCCGCGCTTTTCGTATCTTTCTCTTTTTCCTCCTCCTCGGGTTTCTCGATCAGGGTAATACAGGCTGCGAACCGCTGCGAAACAATTGATCGGATTTTGGTCTTTCGTGTTGTTGCAGAAGCTGAGGATGGTCGTGATTCTGAGGTGAGCGTAAGTCCACCGAGTCGTCTCGCTTCCCTTTTCTTTCTCTCCTTCTTCTTCTTCTTCTTCTTCTTCTTCCTTCGCTGCTTCCTTTTGCTCTCGCGCCCTCTTTCGCCCTCTGTCGTCGTCGCGGCTCTTGACGAAATCTTCGTCGACCGTAGTCATAAATTCTCTCCTATTCGGCCGCATAAATCCGCTCTATTTCAACCGCCTGTATACATCGCGAGACGAGATCTCATCAATTCGCGGCCGAGAGAGCCGTGAGAGAGCGACGGCTCTCTCACGGCTCTCTCTCTCTCTCTCTCTCGCCGGAAATGCCGAGATATCAATATTTTTTTATACGTCGCGAGAGCGCAAGAGCGTTTAAGGAGAAACCGTTTTATCGCGGGCGCGCGCGAGTCTCGCAGAGGGGGAGCACAAAGGGATCCTCTTCCCGAGGATATAACCGTAGATTAAAGCGCGCGCGGGAAATTCGTGTGAGAGCGGGGCTCGATGTACTTATCTGCTCGTTTAGCCGAGATTCTACAGAAGAAAGATGCTGATGTGTCCCGGCAGACCGCCCCAGCCGGTGCCGGCTTCTTCTTACGGGGTGAGTAGACGAGAGTTTTCACGATTACGCGCGGACGCGAGGCTCCGGCCGAGAGACTTCGGCAAAGTGTCCTAACTCGATTTGCAGTGGCAAATACCGAGCGGCTGTTACCTGAGATACACCAGAATCTTCTCCGGCGCTTATCAGCGATACCCGGAACACCGGCGGAACGGTTATCAGGAGTCAGCCAGGGCGCCTTATCGCGAGACCGTACCGCCTATCCAAGAGACTCGCAATCCGGATATCGGCAGAGCGTACGACGTTGACGTTGACGATTGTAAGTGTTGCCTCGATCGCCGACCAACCGGCGCGAACCGGCGGTACAAATGAAAATATAACGTCTCCGCGGGGACTGAGGCGAAAAATCGCTCGTCACTCGCACATACAAAAGATGTATAGAGCGGTATATTTCGAAATCGTTACTCACGCGAGCAGCCGAATATGCATTTTTCGGCGACGCAACGGCGAGGCGTTCGCAGTTTCGGAGAGTCGTAAGTTTCAGTTACGGAAGTTCCAGCCACGACCCAGTTGCCCTTTTGTATTAATTACGACGGTCGAAAGTCCGCGATACTTTCGGCCGATTCGGTAGAAACGACCTGCTTCCCCCGTTGAGCCGTTGTTTGGAAGTCGTCGGGGTGTAAATAACATTTCGCGAAATCACTCCGAAAGTTGATTATCTCGTTTTTCGCTTATCACGTGACCCAATTAGCCCGTGCTATCAAAAGGTATATAGAACGCGCCGAGAGCCTCCTGCGGAGATACTCGATGTGTTTGCGTGTATACGTACGTACCTGTGCCCGCACACACACACACACACATCTGCGCATACACGCGCACACAAACGAGTGAAAAAACGACGGCGGTCGAAGCGGAGCGAAAACGTAAACCAACGTGACAACCATGAGCGACAATTTGACCGGGCGGCGATCCGAATAGAGCCGCGGGAGAAGGAGATCGGGGCGAAAAAAAAGGCGAAACGAAGCGAAAATATCAGCGATTGTTCCATTATGGAAGGCGCTCTTGACGGCAGCTCGCGACCCGACAGCGTCATCGATCGTCTGAAAGTCACGGCGGCCCACGATCGGCGGTCTAACATGCGGCGCGTGAACGGCGCGAGGCCGATTCGCAACATTACCACGGCATCGGCAAGCAAGTGATCGGAATGTTGGAGCTGCTAGCACCGGGGAATCTCGTCTTAACCTTGCAATCGAAGCCACCCTTCGTGGTGGAGAGCGCCTTCGCTTTGGCCGTGACGATCCTGTTAGCGGCGCCGTTGATCGCGCGCGTCTACCTCCTGCTCGTACGTATTCCCCGATAAATCGTCTTCTCTCTCTCTCGCCTTCGATCTCGAGCTCGACCAAGTAATAACCGAGCGCAAAGCGAGGCGGAGGAAGGAAATGCAGCGGCGGCCCGCCGCGACGTCACGAACGACGCGGGGAATTCCGGGAGAATCGAACACTTTGCTCGTACGACTGAAGCAATTGCGCGACGAACGATATAATATTCACTCGTGTTTCTCGGAACATTTCCCTCGGCAAACAACGAGAGAGCGAGAGAGCGAGAGAGAGAGAGAGAGAGAGAGAGAGAGAGAGAGAGAGAGAGAGAGCTCTCTCGCGCTTTTATATCGCGCGCACCGTACGCCGCATTGTCGATGCGTTATCTGGCAAAATGTTCGGTAGGTACGCTCTCTCTCTCTGAAATGGAGTAGCTATCGATAACTCTCCAGCTGTACGCGCTTTCGCGGTGTTTGAGCGGAAGCGCTGCTGGACTGTAAATTTTCCAATTTCTTTCGGCGCGCGGCCGTGATATAACGCTCGCGTTTATAACACAATGGCGGCGCTGCGGAACCGCGATTCCATTGAAAGCGGCATGAACGAGGGAAAGAGCGAGAGCGCGAGTGAGACAAAGAGGGAGGGGGGAGAGAGAGAGAGAGAGAGCCGCGCATCGGTTATGCATATTACAAAGTCGGAAGTGAGAAAATTCAGCCGCGATCGTGAGAATGCGCAAAGCGTCGCAGTCGCGAGGTAAATCCGCAGCACCGAGGCGAGCGGCGCTGAAACCCGGCTGAATTTTCTCCCGCCTCGGTGAGACCTGATCACACCCATCGTCACACCCATCGCTGGGACCTTATCGTTTACCCCGTAATTAGGACGAGCCGTTGAAAAACTTCGCCCAGAGACCCGCCTCGTCGTGCCATCGCCGTCGGCGCGACCGCGTCAGCGAGCCGCTGGTGATACGTTATCCAACCCGGAAGATCGCCGACGCCACCTCGAGTTCGTCCCTGCGCCTCGAGGCGACTCGCAACATCAGCTCCACGTCGGCGGTTGTGCGAGCTGACGGCGGCGATGGCGTCGCGCGGAGCTCGAGTCTACACGTCGACGACAACAGCAGAGTCGGGGCAAGCCGCGACTCGCGAGGACGGAGACGCTCCCCCCCGTCGCCGTCCGCGTCGCGCCGACTGATCGACGTCTCGGGTCTCGACTACAGGGCCTATCGTCACCGGCTGCTGGAGGCCAGCTTGCGCAGGCAGTACGACGACTATCAGCCGCCAGGCGACGTCGTGCTGAACTCGTTGCATCTCAACTCGGCCGACTCGCTGGCCGGCGTGCGCTTCAGCGACGGCTACGACCGCAGCCTGTTCGACTTCGTCGAGGAGTACTCCGACGGCAGCGAGGCGACGAGCCGGCGCTCCGCGGACTACCAGCTGCAGCATTTCTTGGTGAAAGGCGCCAAGAGACCGAAGACCGCCGAGAGGCAGACGGAGACGCTGCCCGACGACGATCCTGATCGCGAGTCCTCCGGTCGCGAAGGTGCCAGAGATCGCCCGGCGGCGCTTGCGGTCGATAGCGGTTTCCGGAGGCTCGTCTTGGATAATAACGGCAACCCTCGCGCACGGTTGTTGTCGCCATCGCCGCCACGGAGGGCTTCGATCGACGACAACGTCGTCGTCGCAGCGAGGAACGATCTGAAGCCGAGATTGGAGGCGTCGAGAGAAAAGACAATTCCGACGCAAAGCCGCGCGCTGGCAGAAGACAGCTCGAAGGAGGATCGTCGTACGAGGAGAGGGTCTCCTTGGGCGACGAAGGATCGATCGGCGAGCGCCTCGGCAGCGAGGACTCGCGCGTTATCTCAGACTGCCACGCTGCCGGAGGCAACGAAGGGGCTGATGAAATCACCGAGACGGAGAACGAGCGCGGCTCGTCGTCGCGGATCCGCGGAAAAATTGGGGGATCAGCCGGACGAGCAGCCGTCGTCGCGCAAACAGGCGGAGCAGCCGCCTGCGAATTCTCCGTCGCGCAGCTTCAGCGACCTCGTCAGCGTCTGCAGCGAGCACCGGGACGAGACATCTCGCCGTTCGCGGGAGTCATCCATCAGTCCGAAGAGTCGCGCCCGTCCGCCTTGGCTGTCGGCGGACCGCGGCAGCTCCTTCAACAGGAAATACGGCACTGTCGCGAAGAATCCCGCGAGAACCGGTCGACCGAGGACGCCGGCGCGTGGCAGCAGCTTGCCTCGGAAATTGGCGCTTCCGGGCGGAGGAGGACGCTCCTCGAAGGAGCCCACCTCCTCGCCGCCCTGGAGCCGCGATCCAACGTCGCTCGCGCCGAGAGCGGCGAGCTTTATCACGCCGCGGGAAAAAGAATTTATCAGACTGCCGGCTGAGGAGGAAGAGGAGAGGAGAGAGGAGAAGAATGAGGAGGAGGAGGAGGAGCGCGAGCTCACTGCGACGTTTCCGCGTCGACGAGCGCAGGAAGGCAACGGGAAGACGCGACTGCCGAGGAGGAGGAGACCGCCCGGCGAGGGGATATCCGCCGACAAGACGACGATCTCGGGATTCCCCGACAATGCGGCGTCGTCGAGGTGGCGGAGAACGCTGGCTTGCGCGGTCACAAGTCGCCCGCCGCAAACTTGCCCCGTCGACGCTGCCGGCACGGCAGCCTCGCGAGCTCCGTCGACGACGAGGAAGCCCGGGCCGAAGGGGAAGCAGGCGGAGCGGCGGGCGAAATGGAATCGCGACGAAAGGCAGGAGACCGCGGCGGCGAGTTCCGTCAAGGACGAGGCGCCGTGCGCCGCGAGAATCGAGTCATTCGGGTCGAAGTTCGCCGACGACACCGGCGACGAGCGCGAGATGGCCGTCGACCTCGCGGAACTCGCGTCTCGGGAGAACGCGGGCTCGACGAACGGCGGCGACGCCGTGGCACGGGTGGTCTCGGGTGCGAAGAGCACGGGGGCGGGGAACGGCGGGAGGTCTAATAACAGCGGCCGCTCGAGGATCTCCGAGATCGTTCCGCAGCGGCCGCAGGTACGGAGAGCGCGGCCGAGCAGCGCGAGCGGTCCCGTCGAGAGTCGACGAGCCCGAGTCGCCGGTGCGCGCTCGTCGACGGCACGGAGAAATGCAAATGCCGAGACGGGAAGCGGATTAAGCGGCGCGAAATTGAATGGGCGATCGGGCGCGGCGCTCGGCGAGATGAAACGCGACGACGACGACGACGACGACGATGGTATCGCCGACGGGACGAGCGCGCGCGAAATCGCGGCGATCTGCGGCGGTGAGGAGGAGCTGGAGCTTCCGCGGCACGACTCGAAAGTAGGACTCGCCATGAACTCCGCCCTGAGGAGATACATCAGGACGCTGAAGCGGGGTCTGCTGGATCGCGGTAATAAAGATGGCATCGCGCTGGCGTCGCTGAGCCTCACCGACGCCATATCTATCTTGTCCGAGCAAAAGGCACCTCTGTCCGCCGAGGAGATTCGTCAACTGCAGAGTGTGTTGAGCAAGGTGGAGCAGCACCCTGAATTGTTGCGCAAGGAGTCGCCTCCGAGCGCGGGGAACGTCGTGTGAAATTACGTCGAATACAATTACACCCTTGCCGCCCCTCGCCGCCGCCGATAACGAAGCGCCCCAACTCAACGTAATTGCCGAGTCTTTGTCATAAAACGATTTGCAATTAGAGTTTATTACACGCTGGACCGCGCGAGCGCGAGCGAATCGCGCGAATATAAACGCTGTGTGTACTCGCTAAAATCGATAAGACGTGCAATTAAAGCAAAAGCACCAAGGCCAAATAATAGACGAGCGAATGCGGCGTGCAAAGTTACGGTCGGTGTTTACCTCGCTCCGATGTCGCTAGTCGCTGCTATTGGGAAGAACGGAAGATCCGTGTGGCACGGCCTCATGCGCGTTTCATTCGGTGATTCATGATTGACGGCCAATTATATCGCCGGCGCGTTGAATCGTCGCTTCACCGCGCGCACAATCCGATTGCGAAGCGATGCTCGCCGCGATGTTCACACGCAGTGTTGTTAGCGAATGCGTTCAGCCAGGGGATGAAATCTGCGAGCTGCCGAGGGCATCGGCAGCGCAGAGGTTCTCAGTGGAGCGACCTACTTACCTACAACCGCAGCCAGCGGCAACAATCAACAACGGACCGCGGCTGAGTGACAATAGGCCGCGACGGCTAAGTGCCGCCGCCGGCGAGCAGCGCGAAACCGTTGATGAACGTCTCAAACAGCGGTCGTCCTTCTTCCTTCGCTCGCTCTCTCTCTCTCTCTCTCTCTCTCTCTCTCTCTCTCTCTCTCTCTCTCTCTCTCTCTCTCCCTCTCTCTCTCTCTCTCTCTCCTTCTTTCTCTCTCTCTCTCTCTCTCTCCTCGCTGCCGCTCGTCGTCGCTCTCTGAGCGACTGATTTATGTGCGCGAAGTCACTTCGCGGCCGCAAGAGCCGCCGTTTATTAATAAGACATAAAGGGAACAGGCGCACACAACGAGAGGTGAAGGAGCGCGAAAGTGTTTTCCGCGATGATGACAGACACTTCGCGCCGAGGAGACGAGGCCGATGCTACCCCCACGCTGCACCACGTGGACCGGCCGCGTGCCGCCGACTGAGCCGCGATCGATGCCCGCCCTCGCCCGTTTATATTCGTTGTTTTACCGCTCGCGTGTGCGTCGATGCGTGTTGCTGTCCCAGAGGCGTTAATCGACATTATGCAACATTTTCGCGAGTAATTGCAAAGGAAAATCGTGATGTATATAAATATATATATATATATATACACACATACACACACACACACACACCCTTTATTGTCACTTTGCTTCGCCGACGAGTACGATGGTGATAATGATACAATGACATTTGCGTTGATCGGCTGGTAATTAACGGTAACGACGCTAACGCAATCGCAGCTTTCGCGCCGGTGAGCGTCCGCCGTTGAACTTGAGCGTGTGTACGCGCGAATTTTCAGAATTAGCGAGTGTATATATATACATATTTATTATATAATATATACATAATAAGGGATGTATATTATTGTATAATATATTATATATACAGGGTATCAGAGTTTCCTTTTGGGAAGGAAAAATTGTGAAGATTAATCGGACCAAACTGGGAAGAAAAGTCAAATATCATTTTGCAAAAATCGCAAAAAGTTATTAAATTGTTTAATGATTGAAAAATAATTACTCTTTCAATTGATGATTGAAAATACTTGAAAATTTGCGTACTTATTGGAAAATGATTGAGAACTTTTTTGTTCAAAATGATCTAAGCCACAATTATATGACGACTGTTGTGCCCAGCGACAGGTTCAAGATTCAGGGTTCAAAGTTCAATATACTCATATCTATCGCTAGACCCGATAGCCCGATCGTATAATTGTAGGTTACGTCATTCTGAGCAAAAAAGTCCTTTACCATTCTGCAAATAACTACGCAAATTTTCAAATTATCAATTAGAAAAGCCTCTAGATATTATTTTCAATCGTGAATAACATAAAAATTGCGATTTTTGCACAATGATACACGACTCTTCTTCTTGATCCGATTAATCCTCACAATTTTTCGTTTCCAAAAGATCCCGGACACCTTGTATATATATTTTTCTTTCGCGACTACTTCGCGAGTAATTGGCGATGTTAGCGGGTCCCGCTTATTACGACGCCGTCGTGAGCGCGTAAAGCGCGAAAGTAGCAGCTTACATTTCTGTAAAGCAAACTTTAATCCTCCTTCGCGCAGTCTCTGATGATGCATCGGGCACTTTTCAATGTGCCTAATCAATCTTACTAATCTGACGTAAATTGACTTCGCATGATGAATGAGCGCGTGTCGGCGCCGAGTTTTTGCCGTTTTCACCACTTTTACTCTCTTATTCAGACGTCACTTTTTCGCGAGCGACCCCCGTGTATACGCGCAGGCATCCGCGAGACCGTTCCAGCGGCTCGGCGTGTGACGACATTCTGACCCATTTACCAGAAAGCCCACGTCAGTCAAGACGAGACATGCTCCAACAGCCGCCACTCGAAGCTTCTGATGCGCCCGTATAATAAGGAATAATATCCAAACTGGCTCTTTGTGCCGCCCTTTTCAACCTCTGACGGCTCGATAAATTTCAGGCGTCTCGCGGACTGAGCGCGCCAGCGCGCTCGTTTCACCCTCTTAAACCCGTAACCTCTAATTGACATTCAACACCGGCGAAACGAATTTAACAAGCGGACTCGAAGCGATCCGACGAGTTCGCGCGAGCGCGCACTCGACTTTGAGCCGACGAGAAGGAAATTATAAAAATGCAACGAGGGCGATGTATCTTCCACCCTCGACTCCCAACCGATACTTTTCGCTGCGATAATACGCAGGGTGCGTAATGGTAAACGTTACACGCGAAATTCAACGAGCACATGGAAACTCATCCCTCTCTCCCCCGCCCCCCTCCCCTCTCCGTCCGGGCTCCAATCGAAACCTAACGCAAACCTGTACGTAGCAAACGTCGAATAAGTCAGGGAGAGCAAACACCGCCGATCGGCGATCTCAATTCCCCGGTGACTTCCAGCTTCCGAGAGAACGGGACGCCTCTCTAAGGCCGATCATTTCTCCCCCGCGACACCTTTTCAGGCGACACCTCTCGACCCACGCCGAGATGATGTACGATGATAATGGCAGGGTATGTTCTCAGATCGACACTCGGCGCGACAACAATATCACCCCCGTCAGCAGCAGCAACCCCAGCAGCAGCAGCAGCAGCAGCAGCAGCAGCAGCAGCAGCAGCATCAGCAGCAGCGGCAGCAACAGCAGCAGCTGTTGCACAGGCAATATCGGCAACGCGCTATGAGGACCGATCACGTAGTTTCTCCGGCGACTCATTACGGCGCAGGCCGCGTCGAGACTAGAATATTGCCGCGGCATGAATGCTGCACGTAAGGGCCCGTCTGGCGGCCCGCGAACGACGTGTAATAAGCGAACGTAAGTTAACCCGAGGCTGTGGCGGGTGGCAAGGGGGAGGGGGGTGGTGGGGAGGGAGGGGGCGGGGGCGGAAAAGCTGTCGCGTAAATCCTGACGTAAAGCCGCGAACGAACAGGTGCGCGCGCGTGCAGGTTTTACGTCGGGAAAGTCTCGGCGCGGAACGGAGCGGCGCCCGGCCGCTGTTCCTCGATGGAGATTGATTGCTATAATTGACTCGGCGGGTCGCGCGCGCGCGCCTCGGGATGGCGATGGAGAAGCGGCGGGGATCCTTATTCGGCGAGTAACTTTCGGCGGGAGCGACGCTCGTTACTCACAGCGTTTCCGCGCGCAAGCCGAGGCGTAACGCAGGCGTATCTCTCTCGCGCGAGATTCTCTCCCTCGGCGAGGCGGTTCCACACAGCCCCGTCGTCGAGTTCCAGCTCTCGCCCGGAGCACTTTGGACACGCTTCCTCCTCGTGCTTTTTACTCGCGCACGCACGACACCGCGCTCGCGCGCAGGGACGAGTCGCGTCGACGTGCTTTCGGAGTGCCTTCTTAAGACTAAGCAGATGCATGGCTAGGGATGCAACGATCAATCGATAGTATCGAAATGTCGATATATCGAGAGACAAATATCGAGTATTTATCGATATTTCTTTGTCTCTGATAAAATATATCATGTCGATATATCGGTATGAATTTTACTGATATTTCGTATTTTTCAGTTACAGCTCTGGGGGCCTATTACGATTCTACGACCGAGATGAAAATTACAAAAGTGAGTAAATTCACTGGTATATATATATATATATATATATATATATATATATTATGTAATTGATCGATGTCTAGTAAATTCGCTCATTCTCGCATCATTTTCACCTCAATCGTGCAACCGTAATAAATCTCCCGCTCCACGTATGCGGTGATCTCCGGCAAACGACTGCGGTTTATTATATATTTTCTAATAAGAATATGACGATAAATTATACGAAGATAAAAATGTTTAAAAGATCTTTTTAAATTTTTCATGTATATACCCTTTATACGCATACCCCTATATATGTATACATTTTTTAATACAAATATCGATGTAAATATCGATATTTTTCAAGATTATCGATATTATCGTTATCGATGGTTCCGAATGACGATAATATATCGTTATCGATATTTTGAGAAATCGTTGCATCCCTATGCTACGGTGAGACGGAGAGAGGGAGGAGGAGAAAGAGAGGGAAGGGAAGAGGAAGAGAAAAAAGTCCACGCGAAGCGACGCGGCATTGCTTCGACGAGATCGCCACTGCGTCGTCGTCGTCGTCGTCGTCGTCGTCGTCGTCGACACCGATCGCGCGATGCGATCTGCCGCGACGCTGCGCGCCGATCATCTTTGTAATATATACATACGCCCATGTACGTATACACGTATATTTAATACATAAATTTTATACATCTATAATAATATATACGTACGACGTGAGATAATCGATCGTTACCGTTAACAATGATATGCGAGAGTGTGTGACGTAGAGGAGTTATCAATAAATAGTATAAACGGAAATGCGCGCAGAGACCTACGCTACCGCAAACCGACGTTAGATTGCACCGGCTGGGCGTCGAGAGAGGGTGGGCGCCCTTAGAGAGCAGCAGCGGGGGGGGGATGACGAGGGGGGAGATCCTCCACCGTAAAATCGGCGGGTGGAAGGACCGGTCGACGAATCGTCGCGATTTCTCCGCCTCGCGAGTCGAGTCAGCCTTCGTTCCGCGCGCGAGATTGCCAAGGCGCTCCCCCTTCCCCCCCTCATCCCCCCGCCCCACCCTCGCAGGCACCCTCCGGCGCTAATCTAAAGTTCATTTTACGGTAGTCTGTTTTCCTGTTCGCCCTTTGCACTTTACGCCACGTTATGTGTGTAGTCTCGCCTACCCGGCCGTTTAACGGAACGCAAAACCACATCGAAGACCGCGGTTATTAAACCGCGCCGCCGGTTGTTACCAGCGCGCTCGCGAGCGGGCATTATTAATTGATCGGTAACGCAAGTGGTGCGGGCGTTGTTGATTCGCGCGCGCGAGCGCGCATTAATGAGAAGGCGCCCGCAAAAACAAATTTCTCTCTGTTTCTCGCAGCAATCATGAGTGAGAGAAATAGTCGGGGGCGCGTGGAGATGGGGCGGAAGGGGGAAAGAAATGCTAGTTTCGCGCTCCGGAGCACGATGGTAACCGGCAATCGCGTTCGTGGACGAAAAGAACGACGCTGCGCGGAGCGTCGCGCTGGCTAGCTGCGTCGCGCAATTGGCGCACCTTAAATGTTAAGAAAATGGAACTTTGTAAATATACGTTTCCCGCAGTTACCGTCCGCCCGGCGGAATGATGTTTTAATTAGGCGGCGGTAATTATTCACCGCGTCAACTGTATGCTGTCCCATCGCAACCGTGTGAGAGAGAGAGAGAGAGAGAGAGAGAGGGGGGGGGAACAAATATCTTTCATTTCTCAGGAGCTCCCTCGAGAATCGTCGTTTAATATTTAATGTAAGGTCAAGTGCGATACTGAAAGGAGAAAAAAGATCCCGAGAGAGAAGAACTGCCGCAGGAGAATGAACGATACTTTCTAACGCGATGAAATTATCACACGTTAATAAATGATTCAGCTGTCTTGGTCGACAATGATGAGCGTTTGCCGTCGGTGGTGAAAGAATCGCGGCAAACGACCAATCGTCGAGAGAGAGAGAGAGAGAGAGAGAGAAAGAGAGAGAGAGAGAGCGTGGTATTCGCGAGCGACCTTAATCACGTCGCTCGATATGCGAAATTCCGACGCGAGACGCGAACGCGACATGGCCGCGCACGAGCGAGCGAGCGGCTAATAATTGATGATCGGTGTCGATTACGCGTGTTAAACGCGTTCGCGCATCTCTCGGCGACAAGAATTTGAATTTCGCAGTCGTGTGTCCGTTTAAGCGGGATATCGGTGCGTGAGACGTATCAGTAGCTCGTAAGACGCAATCCCGAGACCAAGCGCCGCTGTTAACACATTCGCGTTTCCCCTCTAATGCCGATATTATCGCTGTAAGCCGACGATGGTTTACGCGGCTTTAACGTCGCGCTGGATTATCCCGTCTAACTCGCACTTAGGGAACATCGGCGCTCGTGTGTGATTTTGACAGCGGCACACGTTGATCCTCCATTGTCTGAGCTCATCAACGGGCTCATTCGGCGTGAGTCTTATCCGGGAAAGGAATCTGCCAGAGACGCCGGGCACATTCAAGACAACCCCGTTAATTACCACAGACTATTCGGAGAGTGTTGTGTATCATATCAGTACGCAGGAGGATGGGAGGGGGAAGGGGAGGGAGAGAGAGAGAGAGAGAGAGAGAGAGTTACCGTTGAACTCCGGGCGACGTATTTAGCGACATAACGAGCGCCTAATTTCTGTTTGACGCGGTGCGCGAGTCGATAACGCAGAACGCTCTCGCTTCTCTCTCTCTCTCTCTCTCTCTCTCTCTCTCTCTCTCTCATTGGAGTACATATGCGTCGTGCGGTTACGCTTTACATGCGCATTAAACGTATACCGTTTCTGCGTTTATAATGAAAAATTACATTAACCCTTTGCACTCCGCGCGTTTTCTTATCACTGCCTACTCTGGCAACTCCCGCAGCATTTTTGCAGTGGAGCGTCTGGGAAAGAGAAATTTTACTTTGAACGGAACAAATTACAAATGCTTGTAATTTCAAAAAGCAACTGAAGGTATTGATGTTAATACTAGAATGTCTCCACAGCGGAGCCACCGGAGTTACGAAATAAATGATGGATGTCTCCACAGCGGAGCCAACGGAGCGTTAAGGGTTAACAGCGATCGAAGCAGGGAATGACGAGAGGTAGAAGGTAATGGTACATACGAATGAGAGGGAGAGAGAGAGAGAGAGAGAGAAACGAGGCTAGCGACATGCGTGAGATCGGGCGTTAATTAATTCCCGCCTCTGTCGGCCACACATTCGCCGCATCTGTAATTAAAAATTCACTCTTCTCGATGATAAGTAAGCGCAAATTATGTTAACTCCAAATTTAGAACTCTGTTTCCTCCTAAAGTGAGAAAAAAAGAAAGTGCTTGACCTTAATATTTTTCCAACGAGCTACAGTCAGAGCTCTCTGCTAAACACAGAGGAGAGAGAAAGAAACATAAGGCGGGAAACATAAGGCTGCAATCGATGTTTGAACGATTCACGAGTCCCGCGTCCCTCCACGCGCCCTTACCGCCCTCTCCCCCCCGCGCCCGCAAAAAGTAACGCTAAACATTGCGAAAGTCGCTTGCTCGAAAGTTACGTACGAATCGCACGTGACTCTACTTCGAGTGTCGTTTGCGCGTTACTCTCTCTCTCTCTCTCTCTCTCTCTCTCTCTCTCTCTCTCTCTCTCTCTCTCTCTCTCTCATTCTCTTTCTTTCTCTAAAGTGGCAGTCGACGACGAGTTCTCTCGTCATCTCGCGCCTCTCTATCGACCATATCCGTCGCGCTTCAAGCACGTGCGCGTGCATCTTATCCTCGAAAGCCTCAACAGCCTCTCCTACGCGTGTCGCCGCTTTGTCGCGCTTGTTTTTGGTAACACGGAGAGAAATAATGGGCGGAAGACGGGGATAGGAAGTAAGAAAGAGAGGCGTGCGAACGGATATCCGTATTTTCCCTTTTCCGCGCGTGTAACCTACCGGACAAAACGGAATCCATTACGGGCGTACACGTAAGGAGTGACGCGCGCGCCCGATCTCTCCCGGCATTTCCATTTATATTACCTTGTCGTTATTCTCTCTCTTTCTCTCTCTCTTTCTCTCTCTCTCTCTCTCTCTCTCTCTCCCGGGCTGCTTCCTCCTACTTTGGCTTGTCGTCTCGATTCTCTCTCTTTTTTTTCCCCCTCTTCCTCTCCCTCTTCCGCTGTCTTGTCACCCACTCGCTCGTACTCCACCCTCTCGCGTCGTATACCTGTGCTCTCTTTATCTCCCTGCCTCTCCTTCCCTTCCGCAGTCCCTCTCTCTCTCTCTCTCTCTCTCTCTCTCTCTCTCTTTCTCTCTCTCTCTCTCCGTCTCTCTCTTCTTCTGATCCTCTTCGAAGCTTATTGCTGATGTAGGACCACGGTGAAGACGCACTTGCTCGACCAGCCGGCCTCGTCGCCTACCTCGTACTCGATCCGGTGGCCGCCGACGTCGAAGCGACGACCCGGGCTCTGAAAAAGCGACAAGACGCGGAAAATATCGCCGGCGAGATCGGTGTCGCGGGGCGACGATAACAGCCGAGGAAATCGCCGCGCGCCGGGGGGCGGCTCGCTAACCCCCGCCGGCGAGCCGGGTAAGCGTCTCCGTGTCGAACTTTTGGCACGGACCCGCGGAATGCGGGTCCCCCTTCTTCTTCTCACTTCCGCCAGCAGCCGCTCCGGTATTCGCGCAGCGAAATCCACGCGTTCTCCGCGCGGCAAAGAGAGAATGAGAGAGAGAAAGAGGGAGAGAGAGAGAGAGAGATAAAATTATGCTTAACTAATTTTACGGCCACGGGGGTGCCGCGGGCTCGCGAACGAATCACCCCCTCCCTCGCCCGACCATCCAACCCGCAGCGCACCCGTTCCTGTAGCGAGAATCGCTTTTGCTCGCTCTACTTCCTCCTCTTCCTCTGTATATTTCGCCGCTCAACAAATTTACATAATTCATCAAAGCCGCGCGGCTTTGGTACGAATGACGGGGGGCTGGGGTATAATTCGGATAATAATTGATGCGCTTCGGCACAAATAAGCTAATTGTTGGGCCTCGGATATAATATACGTTGTATATAATAATTTCATACAGCGTGAGCACACGCTATAAAACGCGAGCGCGCCCGAGCGCGTGTTAATTAATTAATTATCGCCACGGTCGTCGCCCGCGACAGAACGGACGATTACAACGCGATGCGCGCCGCGCGCGTTAAAAAGCGTTGCGAGACGCGCGCGCGCGCGATTCGCGGTTCGTACGGGAGAGAAGCGCGAAAGGGCCGCGGTGCACATTCGAGCGGACATTTCTCCGCGCGATTATAAAATGACCATCGTGTCTATCTGGACGCTATGCGGGATAATATCGGACGCCGTTAATGAGTGAGTTTCCGCGTTTGTAAAATATTAATGATCGTGTTCCGCCCAATCGCGGCTCACGCGCTTGTTACGGCCGCGCGTGTAATGCGATACGTGCATCGCCGGAATGCGTGTATCGAACGCACACGCACGCACATGCCGAACGAACGGCACCTTTTCATTATGTATCATTGCGAAAACATTGCGCGCGTACTTAATTATCGAGATATCAACCAATTTTTATTCATAACACCGCGTCCAACACGGGGGAGATTAAAATCGCTCAAATCACGAGATTAATATCGTTCGTCAAATAATCGTGATGTAAACGCAGCGGCACACACATTGAAATACCGCTCGGTGTCCGTTATTATTCGCGCAGAGCATGGTCGAAATTTTTCCTTCGTCCACGAAAATGCAACGCGAGAACTCTCTTTTACGATTCGTACGAGAAAATACACACATCGCGATAAAAATGCACAGCCAAATTCTTGCTCGATCTTTTGCGTCACGCGGAAATATATGTTTAATATCATCTCGAAATCGATATGTATTATTTATTTGAAAACGTCGTTACGCACGTGGCGACTTTTTACGATATAAAATTCAAATTACGTATACAATATATATCTCTTGTCTGGTTTTCTTTTTTCTCGTTATTCATTATTTCCTTCGTAATAATTTGTACCGCAATAATATCGGTGCTGTGGTCGCCCGGCTTTACAAAAATACGGCAAAGAGAAATATCATTTGAACGCAATTTTTCATAAAATCACAAATCCCCCGTGTACCCCGGTTAGTCGAAAGAAATGTATCTGGTCTTACCTCGTTGTTGATGACTCGCGTCACTTTCACATTGTCCGTGAAGGTCGGCTCCGTCCATGTGATCGCCGTGCCGTTTTTCCCGACGACCTCGATGTCGTTGGGGCAGTCTTTGACTTTCGGTGCCTCGCCGCCTAGAGTTCGGGATTAGCAAATTGAAGTAATAGCGTCGGTCCCCTGCCGTGTGCTCGTTTTATCGTCGGCCGTCAAAGAATTGCAGTCCGCGAGAAAACTCGTCGAGTCGAATCGGAACGACGGCCCGTCAGGGGGAGTTCGATTTCCGCATTCGCCGCCGGAAGACGAGTCGCGGCGGCCCGGCAGTGGAGCGCGATGGCGAAACGAGCGCACCGGAGTCGGACGGAAATTTATACACAATTTCATGAGACACACACACACACACACACACACACGTCGCGTCTGGCGAATTAAGGCGCTCAACGACGAAACACAACTCGATTTTCCTTTTTCCCGTATTTTCTCAGCAAACACATCTCCTCGCGTTTGGAAATATATCCCCTCATTTGACTAAACGAAAACGGGCAGGCTGATGTTTTCACGTCGCCGCGAAAAAACACGATTCCGCAAAGAGAGTAAGAAGAGAAAGAGAGAGAGAGAGAGAGAAAGAGAGAGATATTTTTCGCCCCATTGTACATTCGTTTCCCCCGGGAGAGTTCATTCGCACGCTGCAAGTTCTCTCGCTAGTAATACGGGACAAGAAAAAAAAAAGAGTAATAGAGAAGAAGGAAGGAGACAGGGACACGGAGCAGGGAGAAGAGAGAGAGAGAAAGAGAGAGAGAGAGAGAGAGAGAGAGAGAAAGAGAGAGAGGTAATGTTTCAAGTTGCGCGCGGACTGTCCGCAAAATCAGGCTGACGTTTTCAGAGAAAACTCGTTGGCTCAAGTGCCAGTGATGAAGGCTCGGGTTATACGCGCGCGCGCTAAATTAGTTTCGTCAACTTACTTTCAGACACAAATGAGAGCTGCACTCTTACAAGATACGCGTAGCCTCGTAGCGCGCCAAACGCAATCCTCAAGTGCCACTCGTTTAAACGAAACGACCTTGCGCTCGCGCGAGAGCGCGAGGCACGTCGAATCGTTTAAGAAGAGAAACTTACTTCGACTCGCGCTCTCTCTCTCTCTCTCTCTCTCTCTCTCTCTCTCTCTCTCTCTCTCTCTCTCTCTTTCTCGCTCTCTTTGTCTCTCGACGTGTGCGACGCTTCGGGAGATATGAGGATTCCACCGAGGCAAAGCGCGGACTTCTCTCTCTCCCTCTCAGATGTTTCCATCAGCAGTTCTGTGTCTCTCGTCCTTTGCTGCCACATCCGCAACGTTATCGCCGCGAATTTTTCGGCGCGATACGGCGGCGAGGAAACGGCAGGAAGAATGGAGCCGCGCACGCACGGAGTTAAATCAGAATGACAAACAGCCGCGGCGGCGGAGCGAGGCGCTTCGGTTTCTCGTGCTGGGTTTTCGCGCATGTTAAGGTAATAATTTACCAGCTGCCAGCCAGCGGGAGTAAGTCGCGAGTTTACTCGGAATCATATAAGGATTTAACTTGCGATGCGACGAACTGCCGCCGCCGCCGTCGCCGTCCGTGTGCGCGCGTATTTCGCTCACGTCCCGGAAAGATGCATCATTGCAGACGGAGGCGGCACACGGAAACGTAATATTCTTAAGAAACGTAATATTCTTCGTATTTTAAAGGATCCCGACGGCGGCGTTAACAGGCGGCGCGGAAAACTTTTGATACGACGTCGGTTTATGGGACGACTCAGTAATTTGCCAACTCGCGCGACTGCGGCGGCGGCGACTGCTTCCTCTTCTTCGTTCATATCGAGCGAGCGCAACGTTTTCGACGGCTTTCACGCGGCGGAAAAGTGGTGCGAGTTATTCTACTCGAGGCGAGACTTATTCGTCCTACCGAGTAATCGCGACATTACTTTCTGCTATCCGACGGTGTATCATACATCTACACGCTTACAAGCGCTGCCATGAAACTCGATCGCGACATATCCTTGAGAGAACCATTGAAGCTGTTGAACTGAACCTTGCTCGATATATATTACGCCCGCAATTACAACGTCCCTCGGAGCGCGAGATTTCGAATCCCGTCGCCTCCCACGAAGAATGCGAGAGAACCGGCTGAACGGGCGCGCTCTTCGATCTCGCGGTGTTTAATCGTCGAGAAGTTTATAGCGCGGCTAAATGATGCACCAGCTCGTGGCTGCGCCCCGATCTGCTCAACATGTGTTCTTCCGATGGCATTAACCCCGACCCGCCCGCATTATCTTCCGTCCCCATCCGTTATTAATCAAGATTTTCGGGCTTCATCAAGAGACGTTTATCTCATGCCCCTCGCGTCTCGAGTGCAATCTCCGTAATCCGCTTTAATTAATGCGCCGGCGTATTTGCATCGCCGGCAAGTAATCGGCGCTAGAAAGATATCGCGCGCTCGCGTCCTCCTCTTCTTTCCGCCGGGGAAGCTCGTGTGTGCTCGATGTGCATGTTGATGCGGTCGCGAGCGTTAACCTTCGGCAGAGTCCGCGACGTTCCCGTGGCGCGTTTTTCCTTCTCTTTCCTTCTTCCCGCAGCGGCGGCCGGGACGAGCGCGAGCGCGCGTTAAGCCTTAAACACAATGCCAGGCAACAGGCAATAAGAATAAAAGTAGACCAATCACAATAGATTATTCTTGTAACAGTCGATTGTGATCGGTCTATTTTTATTCTTATTGCCTGTTGCCTGGCATTGTGTTTAGGGCTTTAACCTTCGGCAGAAGCAGCTCGTGGAAAAACGAGGAAAGTCGCGAGAACGGGCGAGAGAAGCGATAGATCGATATAATCCCGCTGACCGATATCGCCGGTGTGGCTCGATAATCGTGATTTAATATTGAGCGATTGTTAATTAACAACGCGCTTGTCGCAGGCGAGGGGCGTGCTATTGTCATTATCTCTCGGGCGGCCGATACGCGCGAGAGCGAGAATACGGCGCGGCTGGGCTTGTACGCGCGATACGTCCGCGTCGTTAACACGCATCTCTCGCTGATTAATTACCTTTGACGATGATGCGCAGCACACAGCTGGCCTGCTTCTTCGATACCGGGTGTCGCGCGAAGAAGGTGATCTCGTGCACGCCGGGCTTCAGGCTCGCCTCGAGCCGGGTGCCCCATGTCGGCTTCGATCGCACGTATCGAAACCAGTCGAGGTCCGTGGCCGGTTGGTCGAATGTCACAAACGCCTCGTCCCCGGCCGGAGGTAACTCGGCTACGACGTCCTTCGGACACTCCAATCGAGGCTTGTTGTATCCTGTCGCAGAGGATGCGCGCGATTTTCACTCGTCGACCTCCCTCTCTCTCTCTCTCTCTCTCTCTCTCTCTCTCTCGCTCTCTCTCGTGCGCGATTCTCCGCGCGAAGTCGTGAGAGAGGACGCGGACGGATAGATTTTGTCATCCTCGCTGTTGCTCAAGGACGAGAGAGGAAGAATAGATTGCCGCGCGCGCGAACGTCTTTCCCGTCGGGAATATTCATAGAGGCAACCCGCCGAGCGAGCTCCTATTCGCCGCTGAACCTTTATCGCAGATTCGTTTAGCGCGGCGATATTTATATATCACGTGTCAAATTATACGAAGATGCCTTTCGCGATCCGAGTCCGAGTCGCGCGCGAGACGAGATCGAGGGGGACAGAAGAGCGTCATTTGCGTCACTTGGGGGCTCCTCCGCTCGCCGCTCGCAGCGGGGGAGGGGGGGGGGGGGAGAACTCTGACGGACGAGGAGGATACTCACTGATGCATTTCCCATACTTCGGTCCGTCCCAGGTGCCGTCGGAGCGACAGGTCAGCTCGTACTCACCGCGCAGCTGGTAACCATGGGGGCACTTGAGGAAGCACCTCGTGCCGGGCCGATTGGGCACTTTTCGCCTGTCGCGCCACAGCTTGGACGTGGCCGATCGCGAGCATATCAGGTAACCGCGACTGACCGAGCTCAGCGGTAGGCACGAGATGGTGTTTATGTCTGGAACGAGCGAGCCGAGCAACAAATAACGAAGCGGCCGTAACAGCGCGGCGACAATTGACGCCTGTCTACGCGCGCGCATCTGCTTTCTGCGAAGAAACGTCTCACAGAACGTCTCAGAGAACGACGATATTTATCCGGGTCGAAGGCGCGGACGGGTTTGGCTTCGCGTCGTCGTTCGGTTTTCTCGCACGGAGCCGTGCGAACGCGATTCGCGATTCGCAGCAGCGCGCGTTACTCGAGCGACGAAGCTCTTTCTCCGACAACAACGGGATCGGGACGATTCCGTTTAATGGAGCGAGAAAGATGGGAAAGGAAGGAAGGAAGGCGGGCGGGGGGGAGCTAGAGACAGCGCTTCCTCTCCGGCTCGGGATGATCTCGCGAGCGCGAGCGCGGGCTGAAAATACGGGTTTAGCGGTTGTACACCGGCATAACGCGTCGCAGTTACTCATTGTGCTTATGCACGGGGTGTACACCTGTCCTAAGCTAACAACCTACGACGAGCGGCTGGGGCTCGCGCGAATTCACGGGGTATGGCCTCGTAAAGCTCGCGCACGCTCCTAATCTATGTGCGCTAGCTCAAAAGCGGGATTCTCCACATCGACGGCGGCGGCGGCGGCGGCGGCGGCGGCGGCGGCGGCGGCGGCGGCGGCATTATGTCAGCCGCGTCGCAGCAAGCGTCACGCAGCAAATTCTACGCAGCAGATACGATATGTACACACAAGGCAGGAATTACAAATGCAGCCTGATGGCAAGCGACGAGTGGGTCGGGAGGACTATCTAGGCTGCGGCGGCGCATCCGTGGAAGCCGCTCCTGCGTGACAACTTTGCATAATGCCGCGATCGCGGATGCGACGTGGCGCCGTTAATGCCGAGCTTTTCTCACGTTTACACGGCTGCGAGGCCGCAGAGTCGACCAAAGGGTCGCGACACAAAGGGTGACGTTGCGTAAAAATTTCCCCGGAGACCTCGGCGAGTCTATTCCTCGCCTCGCCTCGGCTCGATCGAGAAAGTCGCGGCGGACCCGAGTCGAGGTCGAGCGCCGCGCGAATGGCAGCCCGCGTTACGTCCGCCGCTGACTCGTTCAATCATCGGCTTGCCGCGCTTGTCGTGTTGACGCGCCGCGGCCGTAGCGTCGTCACTTGGCGCGCCCGCGCACTCGCGGAAAGTGATTTGTCAAGGAACACGTACCCACGCAGGATTTCCCATCGGATGACAGGGCTTTCTCGTCGCCGTCGCACGCGCAGAAAAAGCTTCCATCTGTATTCTCGCACACCTCCGTGCAGCCGCCGTTATCAACCGTGCACTCGTTGATATCTGGATGGGACGAGAGATCTCGAAGTGAACCTCGGCGAGCGAGACTTTTAGGCTGATGACTCTCGGCAAGTTCCGACTAAACTAATCGATAAGTCCCCGTTGGAGCTGCCAAGTGCACTCTTCAGCGGCTTGTAATTTCTCGGTGCCAGTCGTTAACTCGGGAAATTGACGATTCTGTTTGCGTTAGCGGGATAGAGCAGGCAGCGCTTGACTGATGTTTTGCTCCGCGGATACATGTGTTTGCGAGGAGAGAAGAAGAGAACTCTCTTGCTCGTTTCAACGACAGATTGCTTCTCGCTTCTCATCTTGGCAGCTGCGCAGCCGGCCGGAGTCGGCCCCGTTGATTAGTTGAATCGGAATTTGGCCAAAGTCATTCTTATTAGTATATTTTTACTGTGCTAAATGAAGAGAGACTATGCTAAATAAAGAGAGAGCGTCTCGTTGCGACGCCTCGTACAAAAGAAGAGGAAAACGCGCGACGACGCGAAACAGTTTCGCGATCTCAGCGATGAATTTATCGGCCTCTCTCGCTCTCCTTCCTTATGCTCTCCTCTCGCACGCAGCCGAATACAAAGTGACTACATCAGTAGCAGTCGATTTGCAGGCTATGAATAATTTTCAACAGTATCGCGGCTTATCTCTGATCCGAGATTAGCTTGATGCGCGTGACGCGCGAGTCCCGGAGTAATCGCGAGCTTCGCCGCTGTCGCGGGCGAGAACCGTCTCTGCGAATCGGTCCGATCGTTTGCAGTTGTGTATCGCATCGAACGTCATACAAAGCTTCTTTCACTCGCTCGTAATGACTCCTTCACCGACGCGATCTCGCGTTCTTTGGCCCCCGATCTGTCTTTCAATCGTCAGCAAGATTACGTTAAATTGACCGAAGTGGTCAGATTGCCATTGCCCTGAGTACTCTCAATGATAGCCGAGAGCACTCAACTTTCGTTGCTTTCACGGCGTATAAATCTGCACGGCAGTCTACAGGGTGTCACGAAGCCTTAATCTCAGGCATTGAACCTCTCTCGAGCGGTTCGGAAAGTGGCTCTTTTCTCTGGACACGCTCTGCCTTTTCGTCGAAACTCTCTGTTGAGATTAAGATTGATGTCTATTTATGGGCGGCCGATGGCGCCCTTCATATTCACCGAGCCGAGTGACGTGCATAGAGTAACATTGCTCAAACGTTCGCCGCACTTCGCGAAAGAAAATTCTGCCACTTCGTTCCTGCTTCAATATCACGCTCCACTTTGATATCCCTATTTTAATATCGCGCCCATTTTGTGATAAATCCTGCGACGCGAATTCCCTTGTGGAAGTGGAAGCGTATAAAACGCCAAGTTTATTTATTCGTCTGGGAGAAATCTTACTATCGCGCGAGAATTCTTCGCGTCGCCTCGAGAAAATCGGCTGTTTCGCAAACGCGATTCGCGTGCGCGCGTGAGAGGCAGACGGAGAGATAGAGAGAGAGAGAGAGAGATAGAGAGAGAGAGAGAAAGAAAGAAAGAGAGAATGCGAGGGAGAGCCGGGCAAGAAATTCTTTCACCGACGCTCTAGTTTTCCCAGAAATCTGCTCCACTGCAACCTTTCAGCCAACACCTCGGCGGTTCTTTTCAAGTTTCCCGCACGCCGAAGATTGTAAGGTCATCGCGATAGTCCACTTGGCGAAAACGGGACAAAACGCGAAGCGCACGCGGCTCTCGCTTTCGCGAGAGAGATTACAATTTCCCTTTGACGGGCGGGAATCACGGGGATTTTCATAAACGTCACGAGTTTCTCGCAAAGCCCAGCCGCCCAGGGCCGTGCTTTCTTCATTACGTCTTTTCATTTCTCGCGCGAGCGCGCGCTGACGACGAGCAGCGCGGAAGCGCGGACGTGAAGATGACGTCGAGATCGCGCACTGGTCGCCGGCGCGGCGGATCGCGAGGAAAGGCCCCATCATATTCTCGTCCGTCTAATTGATCACCACGCGACGAAATGAGATCACGCGCAACTCGCGAATAACCGATGCGTTTTCGCATCTTACAGGCGCACGCGCGCGCGTGTGTGTGTGTGTGTGTGTGTGTATGTGTGCTCGAATACAGCGCAGCTCGCGCGCTTCCGCCTCGCTACGTACTCGCAATGCGAATTATCGCGGAATTCCGTTCACGTAACACTTCGTCGCTATTTAACTGTCTGGGTTTTGTGAGAAAAAGGTATAGTCGGAAATGGATTAAATTTCCGTAGAATAAGACTCGCAGGCATTCGCGAAGGCACGAGCGAGTGAACGTGCGAGCGGCGAACGCCCGGAACGCCGTATCAACCGAGCTGTAATGCTCTTGTCGGTATTCACTACCGCATCAATTGTAATTGAAGGATTTACGCCCCACGAAATTGGATTGTCAGTTACGAGCTACGGAGTGTCTGCGCAGCCGTATCGGATAAGGTGCGGCTGGCGGGTGATCTCTTTCTTAAATTTCCGTCCTTCTCTGCCGAGTGTTCTTCTCTCGCCGAGAAGACCGGGAGAAACGCGCCCGCGAGTGTATCGTTTCGGAAACGATGACCCCGCCTATATCCATTTCTCCGCGAAGGTGGCTCGCTAAAAAGTAACGCGGACGTTACTCCTCCGAACGCGAATCGCGCGCGAACACACACACACACACACACACACACACATGAGGATTATCAAAAATCGCTGGGAGCACCGCTGAGAATCACGCGCGCGCTCACGCATCGCGCGATAAATACGCGCAGATAAGCAAGAGCCGCGAAAGCGTGCCGTATAAAATTTCGATAAGAGCAGCCGCGTTTCCGATCGCGTCTGCGCGCATCGGCAAAACGGATTGCAGCGGGGGCTGCACTTGCAAGCGCCGCGGAGTCCTCGAGATATTTGAGGGTATTGGGGAAACTCAGGAGGCTCCTAAGAAGGTTACTCTCCCGAGGAATGCACGATTGGCGAAAAAGAAAAGGCTCTCACATTCTCCCTTCCTCCCAACCACTCTATCGCGCGCGCGCTCTCTCTCTCTTTCTCTCTCTCTCTCTCTCTCTCTCTCTCTCTCTCTCTCTCTCTCTCTCTCTCTCTCTCTCTCTCTCTCTCTCTCTCTCTCTCTCTCTCTCTCTCTCTCTCTCTCTCTCTCTCTCTCTCTCTCTCTCTCTCTCTCTCTCTCTCTCTCTCTCTCTCTCTCTCTTCTCCTCTCTCTCTCTCTCTCTCTCTCTCTCTCTCTCTCTCTCTCCTTTCTTCCTACCTCTCTCTATCTCTGTCCGAAAGCAACCGATGGTGATATAGGTAGGTATCACCCTTGCGAGGCCATGAGGCGCGATTCGACGAACCTCGCTTACCGCCACGGAAAACGCGAGCAAGAGGCAACTCCGCGGATTTCCTGAAGGAAATACTAAAACTGCGCCAAGTGCTCCCTCTCTCTCTTTCTTTTTCTTTCCCCCTTTCTCGTCAAGATCGTACGGCAGAATTGTCCGAGATGTTCGTGATCGAGGACTTGGACCGTGCGGAGAGTCGGCGCGTAGTTTCGCGGGCTTTTCGGGGCGCATCGCGCTCGTGGAAAAATATTAAGGGCCATCGTTATCGATTCGTCGACCGAACGGCCGCGGCAGGGGAGAGGGGAAAGCGGCCCGTGTGCTTGTGCTTCGCAGAGACGAGTGAAAGGACAGTGAAAAAGGGAAAAAGGACGAAGAGAGTCGGAAACGAAGAATGAAGAACGCAAGAAATACAATGTAGAGAGAGAGAGAGAGAGAGAGAGAGAGAGAGAGAGAGAGAGAGAGAGAGAGAGAGGGAGAGAGGGAGAGAGAGAGAGAGAGAGAGAGAGAGAGAGAGAGGGAAGGAGGGAGAGAGAGAGAGAGAGAGAGAGAGAGAGAGAGAGAGAGAGGGAGAGAGAGAGAGAGAGAGAGAAGGGAAGTTTATGCAAATGATGTGGTGAAATTCGAGAGAAATGTCGCGACGAGCTCTGTGCGGGCAAAAATAACGCTCTGTGCGCGCGGCAATAGAACTTACAATACAATACTCATTCGCTGACTCTCTCTCTCTCTCTCTCTCTCTCTCTCTCTCTTTCGTTACACCCATCGCAGAAGATTGCATCTCCATTCTTAACGGTAACACGATGTTCCGGGCTTATTAACAAGAAGCGTATTAGCTTAACTTGCCTTAAGCAGCCGTACTAACACACGCAAATTTACCGGGTGTATTCACCTGCATGCTAATTCAAGTGCATACATCAGCGTCGTCCAAGTTTCGGGATACAATGCAATATCCGCTGGCGTAGTGTATAGTATTTCGCCCGTAATATAATCTCGACAGTTTTAATAAGACTTCTTAACGAGCACGGCGGGAGACAAAACGAGTTCGCCGTCGCGGTCACACCGGGCTGCTGTGCTTTCGGCGAGAACAGACGAGACGTAGAAATGAGTTCTCAACTACCGGTCATCGAACGTGATACGTTCCATTAGGAACTGCTGCTAATTAATATACGAGCTAACGAGTTCTACGTGGGGAGCGGAGGGAGAGGCGGGGGAGAGACGGGGACGATCGGCGGAAAAAGTTCCGCTGAAACTTCCACTCCCGAGATCTCGGCGGACAGGGATGACAGGGCTGGGTAGGTGGGTGAGGGGAGGGGAAAATACGCTCTATATATACATTATCCGATGGCGACTCACCGATGCACGTCCCATGGGAGGTCTGTTCGTAACCCGGCAAGCAGGTAATGGACAGGCTGTCCAGGACCGGTTGATCCTTCAGCTCCATAGGTAGCGCGCACCGGTAGGAGCCCGGCGTGTTAATGCATCCATAACGGCACAACTCCGTCTGAAGATCCGGCACCGAGCATTCATCCACATCTGCGGGAAATGACTGTCGTTTGTCAAACGTCTCGATGTCTCCCTCCGCCGCGCCGCGTGCGGAAACCTCGCGAGGAGCGAGCTCGCTACGCGCGAGCATTCCCGGGAGCCGCGCGTGCGAAAATACGCTGCGAAAATCTGACGATTTGAGAATTCTCAGCCGTAGGCCCGCGTGAGCCGCGGAAATACGAGATACGCAGCGGATCGGCCGCGACGGATAATAATTGCGTGCGGGAAAGGAGGACGAAGAGGGGAGAGATAAAGGCTCGAATTAATGAATAACGAAGGCGCGCGCGCGCGCGTAAGAGAGAGATGAATCGATCGGTCTCTCGGACGTCGGAGCTTCGGCTCTAATCGAATTGCTCGCCTTGACAAGTCTTCCAGTCGTCCTCCAGCATGAAACCGTCCGGGCACAAGCAAAACACCCGACCCATCGTCGAGAGACACGTGTGGGAGCATCCCGCGTTATTGACGCTGCACGGGCCAGTGTGCTCGCACGTGTGATTGTCGGCAGCCAGCGATGTGTCCTGCAGACCGTCGCAGGAACACTCGTACCCGCCGATGAGATTTCGACAGGTGTCCTGGCAAGGACCGTGACCGTTGTTCAATAAACACTCGTTGATGTCTACACAGCAAACGACGCATAGGTTTATTCGCCGCTGCTAATGGCGATTTAACCCCCGCACAAGTGTGATTAACCCCCGCGACTACTACGCTGTTGTTTGGATAAAGTAATTACTACGGGACGGGGGATCGATTTAACCCGTACGAGTGAGCAGAAAGGATTAATACAGAAAGAGAGAGAGAGAGAGAGAGAGAGAGAGAGAGAGAGAGAGAGAGAGAGAGAGAGGGAGAGAGAGAGATGCAGAAGACTCAGAGATATACGCAGGAATTAAACTAAAATTAATTCAATTTCTAGATAATATGCGGAAACCGTGTTAAAATTAACATGATAAAAGGCAGCGACTATTGTTTCACTGCACATGTAACAAATAGAAATTAATTATTCCGTTTATTTGGTATTAAATGAAAGGAACGGTTTCGCGAATGTGAAAACGCGCAAGTGCATCGAAAAAAGTTTAAAAATTCGCAATATTTTGAGGCAACTTTATCACCCACCCGTGCATGTGAATTTGTCCTTTCCTTGTTTCATACCACTCGGACACTCGCATTGAAAGGATCCGGGTGTGTTCACGCATTTGTATTCACATCCAGCGTTTCCCGTGTCGCACTCATTCACATCTGCGCGTACGGGCAAAATGATACAAAATAAACAATCAAAATAATAGCGGGCGTGTGTGTGTGTTACGAGTGTCGTGTTCAATCAAATTTAAATGAGCTTTACATTTTCGGTATCGCGACTCGCGAAAATATCGCCGGGTAATGTCGAATAATAGAGGAGCCCGACACACAGAGGGCTCCGTGTCCGAATGTTGTCGCGGGATCCTTCGTTAAGTTGCAATAGTTATCGGAAGAAGGATCGGCGATAATTGAGCGAAAATCGAGAACGGCACGCGGGACAGAAGATCCGGAGGATAAAAATTCGACACTGTCGATACGTCTCGTCGGACGTCACGTCCCGCTGGGGCCGCGGAAGCTGACGGACGTCAGAAGCGCAGGGGGCTTCACTCGATAATAACTAGGACCCTAACAACACGGCTGGAAAATTGTGCTCACCGGCGCATTTGTGGCCATCCAATCTGAATCCCTTGTAGCAGGAACAGACGGGACGCCCGTTAATTTCGCTGCAAACATGCTCGCAGGATGCCTCGGCACACACCCCGTTCGGGTTTTGCTTGATCTCGCACTTTGGCACCTGTCCGACCCACTGACGACTTCTGCAGACTAATCGGCTCGTGGGGGATGCCATATGGAAACCTGGCACACACTCGTAATCGGCTTCCAAATACTCGTGGCCCGGGGTCGAGGACCTTCATAATCGTCACATGAACGCGGAAGAAACGTTATTTTCACGACACAGCCACTTTCGCAGGTCTAGCATCGGGCGTTGGAGCGGACAGAAACGCGCGCAGAAACAAAAAGAAGGACAAAAAAGACATATTAACGTCCGATGGAACCGCGGGGGAAAAATGCTTCAGCGGCATTCCTCGGATCATCGCGCAGCCAAAAACCCACCCTTGACGCACGCACGCATGCGCGCGCGCGCGAGCTTTTTTACCAATTTTCCTCCGCTCTACAACAAAGATCACGGTAATTACGAGCGTGTGTTAACAATTTCGGCCAGCGAATTCCGGCTGGCGAAACCGCTGGTTTCATCGCGCGCGACCGTCCAAATTCCTCGTCCAAAATCCCCGACTCTCAACCGCTTTTCGAAGTCACCGGAGGATCAATGTTCGAAATCCGAGCTCTACCTGGCTTCTGATCAAATTAACGTCACGCACGTCGCGCGAGACGCGGCGCCTCGAAAATCCTTGTTTCCCGAATTATCCCGAGTATTGAATTATGGATAAGCGGAGGGTAGAAGAGCACTTACTTTACATATTTGATCAGCGCGTGACGAGATAGAGGCGCCGGCAGGAAAGTCCCGTTTATGCAGGATAAGTCTCCCCTCGTGTTGTCGTCTCGCGTCGTTTTCGTCACGCTCGCGCCTCCCTCGGGCTCCTCGTCGTTCTCCTCCGAATTAATTATCGGCTTTCTCGGGGGGTGTGAGCCGGCGGTGCGACGATTCGACGGCTCGTCGTAGCGCGGCAGCGACACCAGCTTCAGACTCGACGTCATGTACGCGTTGTAATCCTTCAGGGTCCTCGCGAGCACCTCGTTCTCCAGATCGAGGATCGGCAGGTCCTCCTCGGTCCTCGTGTAGCCCAGCATCTTCTCGGCGTCGTAGCGCGAGCTGCCGAAGCGAGCGACCTTGCCGTCGGCCGAGTGCAAGGCGACGTTCTTGTCCGCGCCATCGCTACCGGATTTCTTCGGTGAGCGGTCGAATATGTCGTCCTCCAGGAACGAGGAGTCCTTCATCGCACCGCGGGAGATCTCCATCTCGAGGTGCCTCGAAAATTCTCGCTCCACCGTGTCGGCGTAAATTCCACGCCGGGGTGTCGTCCCAGCTGGCTTCCTCGCCGCGTCCAACGTTGGCTGATGCAGGAGACTCGACGACATCGTCGTGTCGACGACAGTGGCCTCGCTGCTTCTCGCTGTTGTTGTCGTCGTCGTCGTCGTCGTCATCGTCGTCGACGACGGCGTCGTTGCCGTTGTCTTTGTCATCGTGGAAGCGTAGTCGACGGTTGTGGCGTACGACGATTTGTCGATCGCGTACTCGGACGCGTTGATGGTCTTGGCGGAGTCGAGTTTGCCGATCGGAAGCCTCCCGGAGCCGTCGTGCGTCCTTCTTTTGTATTTCGATGCGCGACGAGCCGCTACGTTCTGCCGCTTGTCGTCCTGCTGCGAGCCCTTGGCGCCGCCTCTCTTTCGCTCCTTCCTGCCGCGGTCCTTCTTCCTTCGTCTGCGCCGCTCCGCGCGGGATTTCCGCGCCTCGCGATTCCTCGCCCTCGACTTCGACGGCGGATTGCTCCTCTTCTGCGACGATTGACCCCGCGCGCCTCTTATCTCGTTCTCACGACTGTCCTCGACGATCTCGTGTACGTGGCTCTTGAGACCGGCAGGATTCTTAGCCTCCGCACCCCTGCGACGCTTCTTGCGCGTCCTACTTCCAAAGTTGCCCTCTTGCTGCTTGCTCGACGCCGCTGTCGCTGAGGGAAGATAGCGAAGAGATAGATCCTCGGTGAAAAGATCGTTCTCGGCTGAAACGACGAGCTCGCGAGCGTTCGTGCGTGCGTGTGTGTGTGTGCGCGCGCGCGCGCGCGCGTGTGTGTGTGTGTGTATGTGTGTGTGTGTGTACATATTCGCCATTAAAGTAATCGGCAAAACTTCTGCTGCGAGAGAAATTATTAAGTCCGCAGAGCCAAGCACTGTACGCGCCGTCTAAACAAGGATGCACGATCTATCGAAATAACATTGCCGGCGAAGTCGACGTGAGAGATTTTCCGGCCAACGTAATTCGCTCAGAGAGAAAGTTGGAAAGGGAGACAGAGAGAGGGTGAGGGAGAGATGGAGGGAGTAACGGACGTGTCGTAACGTCACTCTGAATAGCGGAGGTATTTTCGTTTCCGGCCGCGATTTAACTGGCCCGAGTGTGTGTTTCCTATATTAGGAGGAAAGCGCGTTTCTACTCACTGACATTTACGTTTCGCCATGGCGGAGCTCCCGCGCCGTATCCCGGCAAAAAGAGATGTTTGTCCCCGCGGCGTTCGTCGCCACCGCCGCGGCCCTCCTCCGCCTTCGCTTCCGCTTCCGCAGCCTCCGGCTCCTCGACGGCGCCTCGCGACGGGAGTGTCCTTCTGTTTTCCTCGAGCACCTCCTCTCCCGCGGAAGATGTGTCCCGGCTGATAGATAACAATAGCTGTAACCATCTTCGCTCCCTTTCTCTCCCTCCCTCCCTCCCTCCCTCTCTCTCTCTCTCTCTCTCTCTCTCTCTCTCTCTCTCTCTCTCTCGTGAAAAACAAGAGTTCAACCGAGCCGCACCGCTCTCTCGCCGTGCCGCTAAATAAATCATCAAAGGGCGAGCGGTAGGAGCGCGCACGTCGTGAAATTTTAATAGCCTAAAAAGCTAAAGGACCGTTTCAACATGGTGAAAAATGCACTCGACGAAGAGGTGGAGGGAGTGCTTTTGAAAAAACAGGAGAAAAAGAAGGGGGCGAAAGTAACAAAAATGAGACGTGTGCTTTGAGTTTATTTGTACGCGTGACTCGGCCGTCTCAACGATGCACGACGCGACGCGCGACGGCTTGCTTGAGGAAAAATGATAAAATATCAGATTTCAAAAACGTCGGGGCGGTGCAGTTAGAGGCGAGAAGCGCGGCATTAGCGCGAGTACGGCTCGCAAAGTGCACGTAAAACACGTAATCTCATCAACAATGCAGAGGGGGTTTCTTTTTCCACGCGCACCGTGTAATTAACGACGAGTCGGCCGATGTTATTTTCAAACGCGCGCGCGCGCTCGCTTGACGTTAACATTGAGACGAACCTTTGACTCTAAGCTAAGTTGCATAATTAAAATCCAATTCTAGACCAATGGAGAGCGTGTTGATCTTTCCGACCGGCGAATTACGATACGCGAGACACGAATCCGAATCGCGCGCCGAAAGAATCTCGCCATCGCCGTGTCGAGGAGGTCGGAAGAGGAGACGACGTGACGAGGTCTCCTCGCTAGCGACGGCTTTCGATCGAATAACGATACTTTACCCCTGTTGCTCGTGGATTGCCGGCGTATACGACTCGTCGTCGTCCCCGGCAAGGTCCGGCTTGTCGACGAGCATGCTGCCGTCTTCGAGCGCGCCTCGCGCGCGCGGCTCGGCATTCTGACAGAATCCTGCAAACCAATGGATTCGATCTGTGAGCTGATCGGCCGGCCGATAGGCGGAGAATAAGGGCTCGACGAACGGCAAAAAGGGTCACGAAGGGCCCGCCCGACTGCATCTCCGCGGGCGATGCAGCGAGGCGAAAACGCGGAAGTTCGTCTATTCCGAGAGTTTGCCGGAGTCGCACTTGGGACTCACGAGTGGGGCGAAACTTCGGCGGTGTTACTACAATGAGGAGTTCCTCCGGAACTCCGGAAGTCATCGTTCGATCGGCGCGACCGTCATCTCGCTTCGTCGAGCGTTCCGCGAGTGCTCGCGTCAACGCAATCGCTGCTATGGAAATTCTTTAATGCATGCGGATGGCGGTAAAATCGAGTCCAGCGATGAGGAATGGAAACGTAGAGAGGAAAAAAGTAGAGAGAGAGAGAGAGAGAGGAAAAGACAGAATACACGGTGAAGCGAAGAGCATTTTTGCAGGACGACCGAAGGATATCTTAATCTCTCGGATGTTCCCTTAGATGCCTTGAAGACATCCTTTAAACTTTTATAATGTTGAAGACGCAACGGAGAGAGCAGCACTCGCGTGAATGGCAGACGACCTCGCGGAAACGGTAGTACGAGTCGGGAAATAATCTCAATAGTAAATACACTATGCTTCATTTTTGGAATATAAATTCCCATCTTTGTCTCTCCCTATTTTCACCCCCCCGCCCTCTCTCTCTCTCTCTCTCTCTCTCTCTCTCTCTCTCTCTCTCTCTCTCTCTCTCTCTCTCTCTCTCTCTCTGTTCCTCCCATCGTCTGGACAAACTTGTGATTTTTTCCTACTCTCGCAGACGATAATATGAATTGGCATGCTCCAACAAAAGGATGTCTATCTCCCGGAAAAGTTTCACGGCGGATTATACTCGAAAGTTTCGCGCAACTTCCAGTTCGGAAAGGAGCGAGACTGCGAGTGTTTTCCCCCCGTCTTCGTCGGGGAGAGACGCCCATCGAGGGAAGTATTTTCGGCTAATCTAGGCGATATCAGTGGCAGTCGGTATAATCCAGCGATAATCGACTCTCGCCGTTGTTACCGCTGCATCTGAAACCGTTAACGAACACCGGAGTGCAGCTAAGTGCTTCGTATATAAGAACCAAAGAGATATCTTAAGGAAGGGGGGATTATACCGCAGAACCGCATCGGCGCCAAGTTTATACTCGGCGGCGACAATTTATATTGAAATAGACGACAAGTATTTCCTCTGAAAGATTAGTGGACTTCGAAGAGCCCGGGCGGCGTGATTAATTAAATCGATAATCCGTTTGGCGGATATATAAATATCGTCCATTTCGTTACTCGGACTGTCGTGACCGATCGTCAATTTGATAATAAGCAATAACCGACCTAATGAGATTGAGTCGACTGAGAGAAAGAGACAGAGGGAGAAGGGAGGAGAGGGAGGACCGGAAGACGACTCTGGGAGATCCGTATTTCCCCAAGAGGAAACATCCGAGAAAGGCACAAATGTATTTTTCTCCTCTTCTTACGAGGACGCGCGCATCTGCCGTAATTGCGATGTATTTTAATACACTCTCTCCGGAAGAAGTGTTTGTTATTTCGTACTGGTATTACTTTCAGAGGCACCATTCATAAATCGGTTGTTTCTTCGTGCGCCAGTTTAGCGGAAATATAAAGAAACGGAACAAAACGACGGACGGGCGGGCGGCCCGGGAGAAAAGAAGACTGTTCCCGGAGCGGAAGCAATTAAAGCGAACAACTAAGCTCCGCCGTAGGCAATAGGGAGTAATTCGTTCGTTTCTCTATCGCGATATAACAGTCGAACGGGGGTGGTGATTTTGTCGCGAAAGTTTAATTAAATTCAACCGTCAGTATAAAGGGCGTGTAATATTCCATTCAAGGTAAACCGCCGAGGTAAATCGTTTTTAATCATCGATGATCTCTCTCTCTCTCTCTCTCTCTCTCTCTCTCTCTCTCTCGTTCTCTCCCTTTCTTTTTTTCTCTCGTTTCTCGACTCTTCGTTTTTCCGCCCGCTGATTAATGCGAATGCGTGGAGAATCGCCGGGCTAATCCGTCCCCGTCAAATTTACGCGCATTTACATATTCATGCTGTTGACAAAGCAAAGTAGTCCCCCGGCGTGTTGCCGTCTCTGAAAGCGGCCGTCGTTTAAATCGCCGATCAGGACGCCTCAATATTTCACGCGCTTATTTCCGCGCTGTCTCGATGAAAAAGTAACGCGTTGCGTGACACATTATACCAGCGTCGCGTGAATAAATGGCTGAATTTCGGCGGGAGCGCCGTCGTCGCGCGCGGCTTTGAGCGCGTGTGTGTGTATGCGTGTGTAGGAACACATATATATGTGCACGCACGCTCCGCGCCACGGTAATTTTTCATTCGACGTATATAGCGGCCGCGTTCCCGGCGCGATGTACCGCGTCTGTAATATTTACGGGTCATCACCTTTAAATTTGCATTCGAATTTTCGCCGAAACGTCAACGTCCAGGCGAGCCCGCGCGCGGCTGCTCCACGGCGAAGTGGAGCTGTGCGACTAGAATCGCTTCAAGAACGCGTCCGAATTTCCGACGTATGCCCGAATACACTCGAATCGCACATTCTCGGCCATAATTCATCTGCCGATGCGGCAAAAAGGAGCAATTTTCAAGCGAGCCCGATCGAGAGAGCGGCGAGAACGCTTTGAATAATTTCGATCGAGTGCGCGGCTACGTCTGTGTGAGTGTGTCTGTGTGGCAGTGTGACGCGCACTTTAGGAGCGCTGTTAGGAATTTCCCGCGACACCCTGGCGAGCCTCTTATCCTTCAGCTTCGAGTGTGATAAGCCCGACAACGCGGGGGAATTTCTCCATCAACTTGTATCACTCTGATGCGCGCGCGCGCGCTGCGGAGCCTCTCGTTGATCCCTTGTCAATTTTCGCTACGATATACGACGCTGGGGAGATAAGATTACCTTCGGTAATGTTGCATCGCCAATCGAACATAATGAATTTCCGCCAACGAGGCTCCTGCAAAAGGACCTCGCCGTCCTCGTCCTCCTCTTCCTCCTTATCTTGCCCCGCGGAGCAAGTAATGGATATAAAGCGTGTCCCTTCCCGAAGGATATCTCTCACGACGCTGAGCGATCGATGAAAAACCACGACAGTGAATTTCCCGTCGTAATTATTCCGCGCTAAGTGCTAATCTTACCCGCTGCGGGAGAATTTATTAATTAGCAACTTGCCTCCGCGAGTCGCGCGGAGATCCGAAGAGAATCGATTTCAGATTGTTGTAAGCCGCGGCGCTCGAGCGAATCGTGAATTATGCATTCGATTGTTTACGAGTACACGCGCGCGCGACGAATGTGTTTTTCAGCGTTATCTTTTAGCGTTCCAATCGGCGAGTCTGATTACAAATTAGGTGATCTACTGCGTAAAAAGTGTGAATTGAAAGCATTTGCATGAAAAGTGCGCAAAGAACGTGAAGAATATCGATCGAGCTATCGTTTAATTGGATCCAACTACGAGCGACGAATCAAGTGCTTTCAGAAACGACACGAAAGTTTGGCCGCGCGTCTCCGAGAGGCTGGAAGCTTTTCAAGTCCTACTGGAATGCACTCTCGCGCGCACGCATTGTCCACATACAGCGGACAAGTCTCGCCTCGCTCGAGCCGCGGAACAGGACGCGTTAAACGACGTAAAAAGTGCGCTCAGCAACAGGATACGTGCTCCGTCCTGCGAATCCGGCGTCATTTTATTAATTCCGCTCCTCGCGCTCCGGAGAATATGCAACGACGTAATTACGCGCCAAATGCGTCAACGGAGCGCGAACAACCGCATAAATCGTAAACGAGTTAAGTGGTGAAGTTAGATTGCCTGGCGCGCTCATTGTTTTTTCGTTGTTAAGCTCACGAGAGAGAGAGAGAGAGAGAGAGAGAGAGAGAGAGAGAGAGTCCGGCGCGCGCGTCCCGCTTAATGTTAATTCGCAAATCCGTTAATACGCTCGGCGACAAAACTAATTACATCTGCTATAGAAAGACGTCGAGGCGAGGACAAGAGTGAGGAACAGAGCGAGAGCGAGAGAAAGAGAGAGTGAGAGAGAGAGAGAGAGAAAGAGAGAGAGAGAGAAGGGGGTGAGCCAGAGCCGTTATTTCATTGTGATTGCACGGTCCACAATACGCCGTGAAAATTAACAGACCACCGTGCTGCAAGTCGCTCGCGGTACGAAGCGGGGTAGCTCTGCGGTCGCGGCAATGAAGTTTCGCGTCGCGCTCTCGGCGATGAGAGAATTCTCCTCCTCCCTCCACATTCTCGCTCTCGCTCTCGCTCTATCTCTCTCTCTCTCTCTCTCTCTCTCTCTCTCTCTCTCTCTCTCTCTCTAAAAGATGTAACGGACGCTATTTTTTACCTTTCACAGTACGAGCCTTCGAGCGACGGAGCGGTAACGTAAGATATTTCTCGCGACGCAAGTGGAAAAGAATGTAATTCAAAATAGCTGTTTTATCATGCTATCCGTTTTCTATTATTCTATAATAGGGCAGAAATGGGGCGTGTAGGGGGAGGGCGGCAAGTAGAGAAAGACCGGAGCTCTGCGCTCACGCTCGAGCGGTCAGGCGTTACACGGCGCGGAATGTATGATTTATCATTGACTCGTACCACTGACCGCCGCGCTCACTGGCGATCGTCTGACAGGGAGAAAGGGAGAGACTTTAATTGGATAATAATTCTCGCGCTGGCGCGCGCGCGCGTGTATTTTCTACGCGACGATGATAATGCGCAGCGCGACGAAACAATTGGAGCTGCGGGCTGTCTCGCGAGCGGCCAATTCCCGGCAAGATTCCGTGTGCCTTGCTTAAAAACCATGAGAATGGAATTTGCATGTTATTACGGTTTGAGCGTTCTTTATTCATAAGCCCGCCTCTCTTCGTTAAGCGTAAACAAACATGTCGTTTCGACCTTTGGTCCCTACCTCTGACGCGGCGGTCTTTTACTCTCTATTTTTTCTGGGCGCATTGTGTAAATTAAAATGCGGATACACGCGGAAACGGGAGCGAGCGAATTAAGTAGTTTCACATATTAACGACCGACTGTTTAAAAGAGAAAAAGCAGAGAAAAACGCAATAAATTATCGCTTTGTGATTAAACGTACCTTTATGAGAATCTCGGATATTATATCGCATATTATATTTTTCTCTCTTCTCTCTCTCTCTCTCTCTCTCTCTCTCTCTCCCCCTCTCTTTTTCTCAAATTCATTATTGTTTAATTGGCGAATAACTTGCAATATCATTAAATATATCCATTTCATTAACGTTATTCATTACTGTAACATTTTTTAACAAATCAATGCCGACACAAAGAACATCGTGCAAAGCTTGAGCGACGAATATTAAAACAATGGGACCGTCGAACGACACTTGATCAGCGTCAACGTATCACACAGACATTTACGAGTGATTATTCTCTATCAGTGACGGCGGCGACATTTCTCCCGGCTGTCGGCAAGAAGTAAAAATCTAGTCAATTCGACGCACTAGCGACATGTTCCTCGTTCAGCGACATTCCCGTTCACCGATTATCCGCGACTTAAAGAAATCGCACTCACCGATCGGCAGAGCAATTCCCACGAGAAGAAACAGGACGACACAAGCGAGCCCCGCGTGGCTCGAACGTTTCTCGATGCACATAACGCGACGCGTTCGCACCGGCATTCAAACGCTCGTACCGCGTCGCGCGGCCGCTCGCGTGGCTCTGAACGTTCCTCGTTAGATTTCGAGTTTGAACGCTCTTCTCCTCTCCTCTCTTCCTCTATCACTCTCTCTCTCTCTCTCTCTCTCTCTCTCTCTCTCTCTCTCTCTCTCTCTCTCTCTCCCTTGCACACTTCCTCTCCTCCTCGTCGCTCCAATTTCATCTCGCGTCGCGCGACTGGCCGGTGGCGGCGCGCAGCTCCCGGATGCTGCGAGCGATTCAGCGAGAGAGGCGCCTGCTTCATGACAACCCGTTATACGATGTCGCAAGCCGGCTACAGTGGGCGCCACTAATCTGGGGCATCGAAGAAGATCCACGTAGGATTCGTGACGGTGCGGTGGAGCGAGCGGCGAGCAAGCCGCGCTTTTCTCTTACCATGGGAACACTATTTTACAGATTCCTGCTTCTCCGTTGCTCCATCCGCGAAACTCGATCAACTGATTATTAAGCGGAGAAATTGCTCGGCGAAATCGCCGAATCGGTAAATTCAACGTCCGGATTATTATCAGGTGAGGAATAACCTCGCGGGATTCGGTCTCAGTCTGCGGACAAGAAAATTATCCCCTATGTCCATATTCCTTCGTCGCATATATCGTCACTTTCGTTACTCCGTCCAACCGTGTGTACTCTCTTCTATTTCCATAGAATTATCTTAATAATTCGGAGCTTGTATTTTGCCGAGAGGCGAATCCTCCCTGACGTTTCCCCGGAGTGTCGATTTTCCATCCTCGCGGTCTTTGCACGGCGAAGCTGTCGGTGCACACGATATCTGTAAATAATTGTAAATTGCGCTCGAAGTACGATCTTAACTTATTAGTCTGACTTGATTTGTCATCGGTGAAATTCAAGCGTCACTCTGGACGTCATAACCTGCGTGACATCGACGTTGCGCCAATGCATCCGTCAGTGTGTCCATAGAGACACGCAAGCGTGATGACGCGTTGAGTCGTGAATGAAACGCAGGGACTAACGAAAGGTGCGTTCTCCGCGCCATCGAAACCTTGACCTCACCCGAAATTAAACCGATTCGACCGGTTACTCCGTCTCGCCTTCATACCGGAGTTTCGCCTGAGGAAGAGACGCGTGCGCCTCCGTGCGACCGTAGGCGCCATTGTCCGCTGTAGGCTCGACCTAGCTCCTGTAACTCGCACGACGGATATCGATCCTACGGCACGTTCGCGCGCTCCGAACGGTGTACGCAAGTCCGACGAGTCGAGCGACGAAGAGAGGCTATCCTGGTGTAGCTAGTTTATGCCCGCGCGCGCGCGCCCCCTTGTACCTCTGTTGCACCTCCTCCTCTCTCACTCTCTCTTCTCTCTCTCTCTCTCTCTCTCTCTCTCTCCTTCTTTCTTTCTCACGTTCTCCTCCTCCTCGTCCTCCTTCGTCCCTTTCGTCCTCCTCCTCGCGAACAGCACGGCAATCGGGAGAGATGAGCGACCAGGAGGACCTGGATTATTACATCATGTTCCCGCCGTTCCCGCCGTCTTCGAAGGATCCGACGCTGACGACGACCGGGCAAGATCAACGGGAAGAGTTTGTGTTCGTGTACGAGGAGGATAAGCGACCGGTGGTTGTCCTACTAGGATGGGCCGGCTGTCAAGACCGATACCTGGCCAAATACAGCGCGATCTACGAGGAGAAGAGGTATTTCCGCCCATGTAGGCCGCTTTCTTACGCGAGTTCGCGAGTATGAGTGGGAAGACGAGAGAGAGAGAGAGAGAGAGAGAGAGAGAGAGAGAGAGAGAGAGAGAGAGAGAGAGAGAGCCGAGACGGCACCAGACGAAGCAGAAGAGCACCCCTCGCGTGCTGGACGCGATTCCGACCTCGGAGGCAACGCGATCTGACTTCCGGCTTTCTCTCTCTCTCTCTCTCTCTCTCTCTCCCTCCGTCGATGCATTATTCGCGAGATCGATCGCAAGCGAAGTCCTGCTCGGTGAAACCGCTCGAGTTGGGTTCGGCGCGCGTCCGCTTCATTGGGGACAAACCGGTCGGATAAACAATGATCGATGCTGCATGCTCGGCGCGTGACGCCCGAGCGATTGCGAATCGCTCGTTAATTCCAGCTGCATCCACTGTATCGTTGTGCTCATCTTCGCAGTTGCATCACGCTGCGTTATACCGCGCCGGTGGAGTGTCTGTTTTGGCGCAGGAATAAGATGCCTTATATCGGCAAGCGGCTGCTGCAGGTGATCACCGACAAGCGGCTGGACGAGCACCCGATATTCTTCCACGTCTTCAGCAACGGCGGCGCCATCCTCTACCAGCACGTCAGTCTCGCCATGCAAAAGGCCAATACGCCGTTCAAGGTAGGCAGCGGGGAGCTCACGGGAGTTCGAAGCTGAACTTTCACGCTGCCGCTTTCACATCGGCCTTCGACTGTGGGTCTTTTGGAAAATCGATCTTCGGGAATTCGGTGGGGAGCCAGTGAACGTCGAGCAACGGTAACGTTACTCGTCGATGTTATTATTATTCGCCGCTCGACAATGTGCTTGTCACGTACGACTTGGGTTACACTTGGCGTTCACGTCGTCGAGTATGAAGCGGTAACATTGATGAAATGTGTACGTTGTGGTGCTGTGGGATTCAGCCGAGGTGAAGAGGGTGTACCAACCAGTTCGCGAATTTTACAACAGTCGCAAGGCTTCCTCTGCTGAACGCAACGGCTATAGCTTGATGTTTACTGACAAATTGTCGTACGACGAGACCCGACAGTCTTCAACGTCTCGACGAGTCTGTTGAGATCCGGCGGAAATTCGAAGCGGAGTGAGGCAACGCGAAAGCATGTGTGGTCAGCCGCGAATTATCGGCGACACACTCGACGGCTGCGTTAATATTTAACGCGTGATGGCGGCCCGCTTTGCATAAGAACAGTTTCGGCCGTGATGTACGACTGACTCATCTCCGGCTTTGCCGAAATTGCAGGTCAGAGGAGTGATATTCGACAGCGCGCCCGGCGAGAGAAGATTAACGGCACTCTTCAAGGCGATCAGCGCGATCATCGGCGGCAATCCCCTCACGAACTTGCCGATGTCCTTCGTCATCACGTTCTTCATCTCCGTGCTGTGGTTCTTCGAGGTAAACGTACTACGTCTTTCCGTTTGCCGCGGTTCAGAATCGCTCTTTTGTCTTTCCTTAATCACGACGTTCGTTGTATTCTTGTCGCTTCCGATTCTGCGATGGCAGACTTGCTTGCTCGGCAAAATCAGTTGCCTCATCGTGGAGCATCGTGAAGCTGCGTTAAAGTGAGCGAAAACCTCAAGTCTTCAGCATCGTCTTTTGTCGATCATCTCGATCCGCCGATTGCCATCGACAGGCACGAGATGATTTATCAGTTTCTATCAATCTCCGGATACACTTTGCACGTTCTCGTCATGGTTGTTGATGAGTTGCATCGCTCACTAAAACAGAGCGCTTCAGCTTTGCAGCAATGCTACCAGCTGATGAGCCGATTCATTTTTGTTCAGGTGATCGCGCAGGCCTTCAGCAGAACTCCCATCCAAACGAACCCGATCGCCCTCGCCGAGGAAGCGTACTCTTGGCCTCAACTGTTCTTGTACTCCAACAGCGACACTCTGATCCCAGCGTCCGTGAGTTCCTTTCGCGTTGCGTGATCACAGCCTCGCAGCGACGAGCACGTCTCTCATAGTCTCAGATTTCCGCCGGACGCGCTTCCTCACTTTTCACGAATGAGAAAGAGAGAGAGAGAGAGAGAGAGAGAGAGGAGAGAGAGAGAGAGAGAGAGAGAGAGAGAGACGTGCGTCGTCGTTGACTCGCTCTTCAAGATCGCACCGGTCCGAAGTGCGAGCGGGTCCTCCCACGCGGAGAAAGTGACCGCGCTAGGACTAACTCAGTTCCTGAAATCTGTCCAGGACGTCGAGAAATTCGCCAGTCGCCGAGCCGAGCACGGCGTGCGAGTACAGCTGGTGCTGTTCACCAACTCGCCGCACGTCAAGCACTACGCGACCTACCGCGACGTCTACGTCAACACGGTGTGCAGCTTTGTCCACGAATGCCTGACCTCGCCGAACGCGTCCAGAAGCCTGCTGTCGTCCCTGGACCGCGGCGACGAGCGCGGTTCGCAGAGCTACGACGCGCCGCCCGGGCTCATCAAGCGCGTCGTGCTGCCGCACGAGGCCACGAAGCAGCAGAATTAGAGCGCTGGGCGGAGGTTTAATAGGTAGAATAGAGTGCGAGCAGCCTGCTGGGACCCCAGCCGAGAGACCCCGAGCAGCTGCGAAGGGAGAGAGGATTGTTCGCATCCCCGTATCGTATCGCGTATACGCACAGAAACCACCGCGGAGAAGCAGACAAGCTTGAAAAGCGAGCCTCGTAGAATTCATTCGGCGAGTTTCCTGGTCCCAAGCCGCGCTGGGGGAACAAAATTCCTGCTTCTTCGTTATTTATTTTTTATTTATTTTTTCCACTTTACTCTTATTTATTTATTTATTTTCTCTTACTGCAACGTTCCCTTCCGCTCGTTGTGTTCTCGTCGCTCCAACTGCCGTTTGTGATTCTGTCTGATGGGACGGTTGTGTTACTAGGATGTCAGAGAGTACCTCAGAAACCCGCAGAAAGTTGAGTCGCGCTGAGGCGTATCGCCTATCGGATAATGACCACAGTTGGCGGGAAAAGAACCCTCAGAATGAATTTGCCGACCGGCAGGGATCAGGGAGTCGACCTTGCGGCTTTTGTGAATTTACCAGGATCCTTTTCGATCCACTCGTTCGGCGCAGGGAGACGATGTTCGAGATGCTGGAAACGGTGCTACGTTCGTCGAGCTATTTTATACGAAGGTGCTTATCTCATTCCGCCGAGCGAAGAAGTCACTTCTCGAATCACACACGCTTGGCGCACCGAGCGAGAACGCACACACACACACACACACACACACACACGGTGGCGTAAGATCTTCCAGAAAAGGAGGGAAAACCAAAGAAAAAAATGCCACCGCGCGCTCGGAGCGCGAAAATTCGCGCACATTCTTCCAGCCGCCATCCGACTCCTGCGAGCACGAGCGGCTTGCGGAACGTCGTGCGTTCGCGCGCAATTGACTTCTCGCCAACGATTCCCGAGGCCTATTTCGCTTCGACGGCAGCGACGACGGTGTCCTCGAAGAGTCAAAGCCGAGATCACCCCGGACGAGCTCGCACTGTTCGCGGCATCGTGAGCCTCGTCAGAGAATTCGCCGCGACCATCGCGAAGACAGCGGGGAACAGCCGGATATCTCACGTCCTCTCTCTCCTTCGCCTTCGTCCCTTCCTGCCCACCCCCTATACGTTGTCCCTGTGTCAGCTTGATTCTTCGTTCGTATCTTCCGTTCCGACCTCTTCCGCCACCGATATGCCCGAGCGACCACGCGGATCCCTTTAGAAGCTTCGCAAGTACTCGTAGTCTCACGGACGCGCTCGTCCTTCACGCGGCTCTCTCGCCCGCGCAGGACCCAACGACTCTCTCGTTGGCCGGACGTCGAGGCGCGACAATGTAGGGTGTAACGGTCAACTCGCGCTAATTTCTAGGACGAGATCTCTATAGGAAAGTCGTACGTAATGAATAATATCGCGCAGTGTTGTTGCTTTCACACTCTTTACATCTCTCTCTCTCTCTCTCTCTCTCTCTCCCCCTCTTTATACTACGTGAGAAGAACCCGCACAAAAGGATCAAGCTGGACTTGATTTGAGCTTTCGCAACTCACGGCCCGATTGCATGGCATTTAATATCGACTAAGAAACTACGAGCGCAAAACATTTTCCTTGTATCTCAAATTATATCAGTGATAAACGAGGCCCGGCGCGATCCCGTCGCCTGGGGGTTTAGCTGTATCGGATGTCGTCGTAAAGGACGACATCTATACATATATAAATATAAATATATATAAAAATAATATAATATATTTTGATCTGTCGATTAGTTACACGAATAAAGACTGATAAATATCTGCGACGTTCTGTTCTTCTGATTTCAAATTCGACTTGCGACCATTCCTACATTCGCTCTTCCCTGCTCCCCTCCCCCCTTTCCAGTGTTCTTCTCTTGTTAAATCGAGTCTTGACGTCGCTCGCTCGCGATCATCGTGCCGGGAAGGTTGTCATCGATGACCGCCGCGCAATCCACGGGCCTTCTCTTCCCGTGCGAGCCTGGTCGCTTGGAGCTCGAAAGGCTCGCTGAAAAGTGGAAGATACAATCCCATCGAGTGTAACTTGAAGAAAGTTCCGAAAAGGGGAGAACTGTCCGCTTAGACAGTTTCCTTCATCCTCGAGACGTCATCGAGGCGATCCGACGCCTCATCGCGCGTCGACACCCTTCGGATCGCGACGAGTCAGATCGCGGCCCGCGCCAAGGAGCAAAATCGCGAGGAGTACAACAGAATTAACGCCTTGACAGTTTTCCTGCAGGACGCAGAGCGAGAAGCGCCGTCGGGGCCGGCGGCTCAATCCGACGGACGATTGCCCGCGCTCTCAGCGACGAGGTGAGCACCCAAATTGCACGCTCGTGCGGCGGTTGCACGCGCATGGAATGACGGGACCACAGACTTCTATATTATATACTAAACCAGTATTTTTCAACCTTTTTTATCTCACGGCACACTTAAACCTATAGTTGAACTTCCGCGGCACACTTAAATTATGACGATCAAAAGAAGAATATATCTTTTTTGATTTATCTATTACTACACGAACAAAATGCACCATCACGGCCAAAAAATGAAAACAAAACAATTTATTATAATTTGTAATAAAAAGATGACAATTAAAATTCTTAAAAATTTTCACGGCACACCTTGGATCCTCTCACGACACATCGGTTAAAAATCGCTGCACCAGACCGATAACTGGTCCTCTTTTACATGTCCCCTAACAATGTGTATTAAAATTTCGCACGTGCGCGTTGCAAGGTCCCGAAAGGCACGTATCTGCACCGTACAGGCATAGAGTCTCTTGTTCACCTCCGTGGCGGTTGGATGTGGTTCCTGTAACTAGACATATTTTTTGATCGTGGAGACTGCGTACGCGTCGTCCCTGTTTTTCTTTTACCTTCATACCACTGGAAAATGGCGTATGGACAAAACTGAATGCAGTCCGGAGCCATATATTGAACTGAACCGAACTGAACCGTACAGGCATTTTTACTCCAGAAAATGTCAATATTTATCCAATATTTAATATTCCCTCTTGCAATGTCGCATTCAATAACACATTCAATGTTCACATAAATATTAAATATTGGATAAATATTAACATTTTCTAGAATACAAATGCCTGTGTGGTGCAGTTACATTCCTTTCGGGACCTTGCAATACGCATACACGCATGATTCTATGTTTTACGTAAGGGATGCTTTTATACATGAAAACTAATGGAAGTTCTCAGTCTAGCTTATATATAGAAGTCTGTGGAACGCGAATTTCCAGGCACTTGCGGAAATCGCGGCGCGCTGCTCGAAAGCCGGCTAAAGGAACGACGGAATCACAGTATTCCGCGCAGGACAACAAAGGCGGAGACGAACGGCGCTGCGAAGGCTCCGAGCGCACAAATGTTTGCACAAGGTAAAGGCCGTGCTTCTTTTTTCGTTGATAATCGCGATTCAGTGCACGCTGGTCGCTACGCGTTCGAACAATTTCAAGACGACCAAGTAAAGTTGCGACTCCACCAATTGCAGAGCGCGTCTGGCTAACGTCGAGCGGCAGCAATCGTCAAAATCCTCGTGGGCTCCCAAGGCGCACAGCGATCCCGCTGGCAATCTGGATCCGCGAAAGGATCGGTCGAGTAACGACATCAATGGCAGTCCACGACTCGACACGGTTCCAAATTTAATCCAGACGAAGCGGTCCAGGAAGGGGTTTCGTGCAGCTAAAGCTGGGCGCGACATTGTACGCTCAATCGGTGCTTCTGTTCTTTTTAATTAAACGCGTGGCCTTTAATTAATCCCACTCCCCCCCTCTCTCTTTCTCTCTAGAAATTGTACGCGTAGTACGCGTGCTGTAGTTAAAAATTTCGTTGAGATCGCAGCGAGATCTCTTTTCCCGTTACGAGAGCGGCTCATTATCGACGTTAATGAGAAAACTCTCCGAAACAGATAGCGGAGAATATAACAAAGCAGGGCAAAAAAGTGCGCCCGAGTCGCGTGAGAGTCCCGGCAACAAGGAATCTCGTCTACGAATTTCGCCTGTCCGACCGCGCCGAGCGCACGAATTCATTAACGCCGCACGTCCGCTCGCTGCCGTCCGCGCGCAACCCGGGTCAAGGGTCAGCTCTTGCGAAAACAGGTGTCGAGTAGAAATCATACTATACCATTTTACTCGTACGTTAAAATATACGCTGAACACCGTATACAACGTTGATCGAGCGTGAACGAGCAGGACGATTTTCTTATGTCATCTCCGACGTACCTTCCAACTGTTTGGAAGTGTACAAGGATGAAGAATACGATGAGAGGAAAGCTCTGCTTTACAGGGTGAGTCTTTTTAATTTTAACAAGCAAATATTTCGAAAATGTACAACTTTACAAAAAGATGTTTCAAATGAGATGTTTCAAATGTTGTATGGTTTAAAGGGGGACAATTATCGACTTTTATCGACTTATCGACTTTTGGAAATTTCAAAATCACCAAATTAACAAAAGTCAGGACGCTATTCTAACAATATATTCTTGAAATCAAGTAGAATAAAAAAGTCAAGTACTATTTTTTTTTCAGACAAATAGCGAGATATCGAAAGTTAAATATTGAAAAAATTATCAAATTTTGCTTAAATATAATAAAATATAATAAAAATAGTCAAATAAAAAAATATTTCAGACAAAAGTTGTTAAAATTAATTGGTAGAAAAAGAAGATATAATAAAAAATTAAGATTTCCATTTGGAAAAATTAAGATGATCTTTATTTGACCCTAAATACACGTTTCAAGGTCAAATCAAGGGCACTATTGTACGTCTGCCTTTAAACCATGCAACTTTTATATATATATGTTCGGGTTAGAACGTCTTAAGACGTCCGATTCCTAACTTTTATTTGAAACATTTGTTTTGTAAAATTGCACATTTTCGAAATATTTGCCTATATTAAGATTTAGAGATTATTAAAAAGACTCTAACCCTATATATTCTAACCCGCGGGAATTAATATCCGTTGACTGTATATGTAGCTCCTACGTTGACCAAGTCTGTATTGAATCGTAACGCGGCCCTTGTGAGACGGGAAACGTCAGTCCTGCCGGAATTAAATTCGCGCGTTGACTTCATAACGGATAATCCAGACTCAACAGGTCCTGATCGGGACGCCTGCCTGCCGGAACTCGACAAGGAGGGCCGGAGGACTGGAACAGCGAGCAAAAGACTGAATGCCGGACGTGAGTCTCTTTGTTTTGGCCATTTTCCTGCTCGCTTTTTCTCCTTTAAAGAATTCCCCCAATCGCGATTGTATCCAGACCTGCACAAAGAAAGAACAATAATCATTCACACTCCAGATAAGCAAAGCGACATAAACCGCGAGGTAGAATACGTAAAGTCGGCTTGGCGAGCGTTGCAGCAGGGCCAGAATTGGACGAAGGAGAAGGCCGACGTCTGCACGAGCAAGGGGCGCGCGATAATCGGCGAGATGACGCGTGACATGGACAGACTTCAGAAGCGGCACCTGAGACCCGGTGCGAACCGTTACCTGCGCAAAAGCGCGACCGACGTCTTACAAGCGGCAGCGAGCAGGCCGAGCTTGGAGAGGGACGTCGAAATCGCGAGAAGGATCATTTTTCCCAAGCGAAGAGCAAGGTTCGAATCGGCAGGTTACGACCATCCGAGCAACCTCGATTTAATCGACGAAGACACGACACCTGCGCTATTCGGCGGAGCCGCGAGTACGTCAGCGGATGAACGTTCGAGCGGCGACAACTTGTCGCCGGGGCTTGTTGCCGCGAAGACGCGATCTGTGCATACGAATGCACACGCGCGTGGTATCGTTGATGGTGTCAGATGGTGCGAAAAGCAAGATACGGGCATGACGTTTAAAGGCGACGGCGCACAGAGAACGAGCGTCAGAGCTTCTATCGAGAAGTATTTGCAAGATTACATCGGCAGGACTCGCAAGTTGCCCGATGTCGAGGCGGACGAGCGTTTACGAGACGCGAAAGTAGCGAGCGATATAGCAGGTACACTCGCGAGCCTCGATATCGGGTCGCCTTGCTTTTACGGGAAATGCGAAAACACCTGCGGTGATACGGAGAGAAGCGCGAGAGAGGACATCGAGGAAAATCGCTGTTCGGACACGTCCGCCGATGTCGTTGGACGGAGCAAGGACACGTTCTCGCCTGAGAATAACTTGGAGCTCGTCGACGCGAAACTCGCTGGTACTTGGAAACAATCGAATGCGACTGCTTGCGAAGATCACGCTTTTATTAAAACAGGATTGGACATTCTGAACAAAAGTGTACTCACAAATAAATTGTCGCAGATATTGCGGTCGGAATACTTAAGAAAGGACCTGCTCTTGTAAACCATATAATATAATGTCAGTCGCGTCTGATGGCCGCATAAAAGCATCGTCTTGCTTCTTAGAATCAGCTCGCTTTGTGTTACTGTTAACCATTTGTAAATTTTAAGGTCATGTAAACCTTGCTGTTTTGCCGACTTCCCCGCGACACACCGATCAATCGTGTCTCTCTTGCTCCTCTTCTCTTTCTTCGATGTTTTAAATTACTTAAAAATATATATATATATATAAACGTGAAAGTTCAAATTTCTTTTATATACAGTCTTACGCGTTATATATAGAATATACACTTCGTGTCCTATATAACTCTGGTTAAATTAAAATCTGATATATCAGAACATATCACAAAATGTTTTCCGCATTAATTCACTATGTGTATATATATATATATATATATATAATATGTGTGTATATATATATATATACATATAATATAAATTAAAGCGCATAATAAATTTCGCAAACACGTCCTCGGTTAATCCTTTAAGCCAATCTCGTCCTGTACATCCATGCTATATAAATAGAGACTATGGCACTATTTCTGAAAATCACATTCAACTAATTCAATGATGATCACTCAATTAAAATATAAATACAGCAACTTGATATGTTATCGACTGGCCGATGCGTAATGAATCGAACGCGCCGCATAAATGTGTACGAATGTATATGTATATATGCGTGTAGTGTTTGTGGTGTGTAACTTTCGCGGGTATTCACAGTTAAAACTAGAAAATCGCTCATAACAGACTCAATGCAAATATGCATCTCTGCATGGTCTTCAACGGACACTCAAACGCTCCCTTCTCTTCGGTGATGCGCAACCGTTGCCCGAAGGATAGAACATATCACAATACTGGAAGCGCCGAGCTGTGGTTTTGGTATATTATAGCCCCAGTGAAATTAATTGCGGCCGCTAACACAAACACCGGCATCCATCAGCCGTGCGAGGCAGTCACTAGCTCGGCCGTCAGCGGGCCGCATAGAATTCCAGGTACTTTCGCCTAAGAATGGACCACGTGACATATTAATCAATGCTACACTGTGATATGTAGATGTATACTTCAAAAGTATCCTTACAATCGTATTTGAAACTGCGAATGTAACTCCCCCCATGATTCGGAGCTATATCCGCGTGATTGCTGAGATGCCCGGCAGAATTGCACGCACAGAGGCCCATGGATATCGAAACGAAGCTGCAAAATTGCAATTCGCGTGTGATTCATGCAAAATCCCATTATCATGAAAGCAAAACAAACGATAGTGCAAATGTATAGTGATATAGAGATTGTTGCACATACATGACTGCCGCGAGGAGATTATCAACGGCACAGAAAGCCAATAGGAATGCACCTGGTCCTACTAGGCCTATATTTGTCATTAATCTTCTCACGGACAATACCGACCACCTCTTTTGTATCAAGCTATCAGCACTATGACCAGCAACTGCGATAAAACAAACAAGAAAAATGTTTTTCCAGACACATTTTAATAAAATTGGAAGATTGCAATTTGCTATTGTGCTCACTCACCAATACCAATAAGAGAGTTAACAATGTAAGGGAGAGCCGTCAAGCTGATGCTTCTCTTATCCGCGGACAGATTTCTTGCCAAGTAAGTTGGCAGCCATTGCATTATTATATAATTAGTCCAGTTCATTGCAAAATGCGCTATGTACAAAGCCCAGAGGCCAATGAACAATAAATTCGGTCCATCGCAAGTTTCTATTTTGAGTTACCTATCAAATATTCAGAAATGCGTGTTGTATCTATCGCACAGTAATCAAATGTAAATAACAACCTAGAAATTCACCTTAGGAACAAATAACGGTATTTCGTCCTGAGAGTTAGTTTCCTGATACAGTATCAGCCACAACAAAGTCCACAAAATACCTGTAGTCTCAAATAGGTAAAATCCACTTTGCCATGCCAAGCGTGGGCATATCTGGAAAAGAGAGTACAGTGGAGAACATAAGTATTTACCTGTAACTTGTAAAATACGATCTTCCGTATGATTAAACTTACAACAGATGCGACCACTCGGCCGACAGAGCCGGCAGCTATCAAATAACCAAAAGCACGTGATCTTTCCTCCATAGAAACATTATGGGCAAATAAGTGAAATAACACTGGTAGGCCTGTGGAGAAAGAACAACCTATTGACTGTTATATCACACAATATAATAATATAATAATCAACAATATAATAAATCGTAATCCTACCACTGGATGTCCTACCATTACTTCAAACTTACCTAATCCTTCACAGAGTCCTAAAACTACCCTGCAAACTATCAACAATGGCAAAGACTGTACTAGCAACGGAGTGACCACTGTACTAATTGACCATAACAGAACTGCTAGCATGAGTACTGTCTTGCAACCAAAGCGACTCGCTGTACTAGCACCGATAATCTTAAAGAAGAAACAAAACAACACATTGATACAAATATACATGTTTACATAACAATGATACATAAGTAGTTTGTTACTTCACCTGACTGGTAAAGTATCCGAAAGCGAAGGCAGAGAGTATCCAGCCTTGCAAGTACAGGTTCCACTTAAACTCATCGGTCATTGGCACGATCGCGATCGGCATGATGACTCGGTCTGCAGCGTTGATGAAATTCGCGGCGGAGCAGAGCGCTACGATTTGCGATGTACGGGGCAGCATCCTGAATCTCGGCATCTTCGGCCTCTGTGCTCGCGAGTTAACCTCTTTCGTTCACAAACGGTCAAACAGTAGTCACATCGCACAGTCTGAGCAGATTTCTCGCGACGTGCTCTCGCCTTTTCTCTTCACTTTCTTGCGTGATTTCACGCAAATCGTGTACATGCCCGTATTTCGTGCGGAAGGGAAAGATAGTGAACGTAAGAGTGAAACTAGAACAGAAGCCTAACCTCAACACTACTGTGAAAAGCGAAATGCTTTACAACGAAGTATCGCGAGAGTTTATCAGTAAAATAACCAAAATCATCGGGAACGCGCTGACCTGTTCGTGTTGTAGCGATAAATGCGTTGTCTTGGTGTTAGAAATTACGATTAAATGCCATAATGACGTGAGGAAACCCGGAGCGGAGCGCAAGTATGCGTATTGTAAAATTGTCTTTCTTTCCCTCTCTCGCTCTCTTAATTCTGACTCCAAACGTCTAATCAGACAATTTCCCAATGCCATTGTTCGGTGAATATTATTAAAGTTTGGTTAAGCGTCATTGTTCGATTCGGAGGTTGGAATTGGATTCCGTATTGTAAAATTGACAATTTGACGTGTCAACACGGAGTACGTTCCACTTGGCGATCGCGTCAGCCGCGAACGTTCTATCCTTATTTCTTGCTGAATGCTAAACAGAAACAAAATGATAACCTGCTCGGACGCAATCACCAAATGGAACTTACCCGAAAAGAACGATGTTCGATCGATGAATCGATGTTCGATTCTACTTTCCTTTGAGGAAAGCCTACAGGCCTGGGTCTGGCACCAAAATAAAGTCCTCTCAAAACCCTACATTTTCGACTACATGGACGACTCTCTACTCCCAGTAGAAGCGGAGATATCAACGGAGAAAGGTTGGAAAACTTTAATCTTCGATATCTCCTAAACGGTTAGAGATACAGGCCTGGTTCTGGCAACAAAATAAAGTCCTCTCAAAACCCTACATTTTCGACTACATGGACGACTCTCTACTCCCAGTAGAAGCGGAGATATCAACGGAAAAAGGTTGGAAAACTTTAATCTTCTATATCTCCTAAACGGTTAGAGATACAGGCCTGGTTCTGGCACCAAAATAAAGTCCTCTCAAAACCCTACATTTTCGACTACATTGACGACTCTCTACTCCCAGTAGAAGCGGAGATATCAACGGAGAAAGGTTGGAAAACTTTAACATAAAACTTTATTTAAACAATAAATGTTTAAATAAGATATCAACGGAGAAAGGTTGGAAAACTTTGACTATAACTTTATTTAAACAATAAATGTTCCCCGGGGGGAAGTCCCCCGGAGTAAATACAGTATTATTATAAGCATAGGCCCGACGCCATTTCTATATAGTTTATTGTCGGGGGACAGTTCGCCCCCCCCGACAGTGGGCATAGAATAAATTTTATAGTATATATTATACTGCCTGGGGACATTATGCCCCCCTCGACGATGGGCAACACGACGCATATTACCTATATGCACGTAGGAGTAATAGTATAATTGCCCAAGCTAGCAGACTTGGGCAATGTGCTTCATCCTCCACGTGCTCCATTTATCATATTTTTATAGTATTTTTTCTGTAGGATCACCCGCTCTGTGTCCCGCGCGCCCAGGAAGCAGACTTCTCTGCTATAGAGACGCCGGCCCTTCAACCAATCTGTTAAATACGCGACATCCACACTCAATTATCCTCGCGATCCACACTCAGTTATCGAACTCTGAATGGAATGTCGGATTTCCGAAAAAATCTTTCGATCCGAGGGACATGGAAATATTCGACTCGAGGGACAAAAATCGGCGACAACTCTTTCAATTTTGGTTTTAGCGTTCCGAGTGTTAATAATAATCTTCAGAACTCGTGAGGGGCTAACCAGAACTCTGAATGAAACATCGAATTTCCGAAAAAAAATTTTACGTGTTTAATAAACAATCAATTTTTTTGAAAATCCAATGTTTTATTCAGAGTTCTGGTTAGCCCCTCACGAGTTCTAAAGATTATTATTAACACGCGACGCGCTAAAACCAAAATTGGTAGAGTTCTTGCCATTTTTCGTTTTCTAATTCGAGAATTTTAAATATAATTTTTCTTATTGTTTTAAACAGAACTGTTTTTAAAACTTATCTAGAACTATAGAACTTAAAAATCTATCTAGAACTCTAAAAAAATTGTCATTTTTTACATAATGAGGGGCGTCGTGAAGTTGGCCCTCCGATTTTTAAAATGGTACTTTCTCTACTTTAAATAACGGAACTCTTTCTATAAAGGATTGCAAACTCCAGAACTCTGCGAGGAGCATTCAGAACTCTAATAATTTTTTTCAAATTTGAAGAATGAAGGGCCATCTTCACAGAGGTGATGGAGCGAACACATTCTCTGTCTCTCTTTTGCTTGGCTCGTTGAAACAAGTCGAGCGGAGGGCGGGGTCTCAGAGGAAGTGTCATCGACGAAACGTGCAATGCTTGCGATGCCCGTGTGTTGTATGCAATACGTGCATTTTCTTAAAAAATGAAAAAAAATTTATTGTGATACACGTATGTTGTATGCAACACGTGCATTTTCCTAAAAAACGAAAAAAAAATGATTGGCGAAAAAGGACAACGCCGACCGCCAAGGAGATGCGAACCACCGACCTCAACCCCGCGAATCCAGCGTACTTCCACCAAGTCACACGCTCTTTGAGAAGCTCGCTCTTTCATTTGTTTCATGAAGCATTTGCGATTTTCAATCACGACTTTCTTGTAAACGCTTCAATGCTACGCCGTATCTTTAAGTGCAATGTTAATTTGTCATGCAAATCTATCGACACAACGAGTTTAGTCGAAATCGATTGCTATTGATCATCTCGTTGGATTCACGCCGAGAGTGAAACGTCAGTCTCGGCCGTGTGTCGGGAAGCACAATCTCGGCAACGTTGCGAATCAGAGCGAGATGGAGCGAACACATTCCCTCTCTCTCTCTCTCTCTTTCGCTTGGCTCGTCAAAACACATCGAGCGGAGGGCGGGACTTCAGACGGATAGACGGGAGCAGTTTCTCTGTGTGTGTGCCGACTTCATTGTTACATAGAAACGTACGGCAATTGAAAATATTTAAGCATATACCCTGAGATTCTATCTATTGCGTATGACACGTGTGTGTGTGTGTGTATGTGTGTGTGTGTGTGTGGGTGAGTGCGTATATGCACACGTACGTCACGCACACTTTCAATGCAACACATGCACACGGACACAACTGCGCTAAAAAACGCCTGCCGGAGTATAAATAAGTACTAACGTAACGCTGAAATATTTTGGAAAAATAATTTTGGGTACACACGAAATATTATCTTATTATCATATATTTATATATCGATATAAATCGTATATAATCTTCATGATATTAATCATATACAATCTCAATTCTTATTTTTTTTATGCATGTTAACATGTTAATTCATGTTACAAATGCATAACAATGCGCGAGACCGTGCTTGTCAAGTACGCTATTATGGTTGTAGCACGGACATAAACCGCCTGAAAGTGGATGTAGCACGGACAGCCACCAGATGCAGGTTTTACCGTCGAGACCTAAAAATGGATGTAGCATCGTAGTTCCCTTCTCAAAATGGATGCAGATAGCGCCCATTCCCAGTGCGAAAAATCGGTGTCGCCGAAAACGCCGTGTTGGCCGCTCTCAGCTTCCTCTCTGATATAAGGGAGTTAGCAATCTAGTTATACCATAGAAGCTGTGGAGAGGACTTGACTGTGTTCCGTTCCTCTATTTACGGACCTTGAGAGCGGTCATTGGACCGGATTCCAAAGAATGCATTTTTCAAAATACGTCTTCTGAGAAAATACATGTGAACTACGCATGTACGATTCTCTTCATCGCACAATAAAAATCTTTTCATTGGATAAAATTCACTATAAAAAAAAGTTGAAATTAATCGATTATCATCGATGGCTTCAAGTTTCATCGGTTATAAAAAATTCATGCATTTTTTAATTGATTGTTTGTAAATTAATCATATGGCGAAAGAAGTATTTAACATCAACTGTTTATGCATACTAGCAGAGTGGGTCTTTTTTCTTTCAAAGGATTTCTGAATTAATGTAATAAGTAAAACTAATGTAATAAGTTGGAGTGAAACAGATATATATTTTCTCTTATTCTAACTTATTGCAGTAGTTCAAAAGTTCCTCGAAAAAGAACAGACTCAGTAATAAATCTTCATATTATATAACACACACCATTTTTAAAATATCTCCACATATATTATAAATGTATGACTCATATACATTATTTACAGATTTTATATTTATTAAAAATTATACAGCAACTATTATCACAGGAATATACCCTAAAGTACAACGCGGTTTCTCGCACTAAACAGGATTGCAAAAATTAGCTAATAAAAATGCAAGACCGCGATAGAAAATGAAACAGAAAAAGAAAATTCTCAAGAACAGATTCTTTTCTTTTGTAGAAACATATACCTTCCACAAGCGTTGATTAAAAAAATTCCCCTATAATTGATATTCGTTGCAGAAATGGTTGAGCCTGACAGGACAGTGTTTGGTAGTTCTGTCTCGCGGTAATGTTGGTCGGATACAAATTGCCGTGTCTGATGTTCTCCAGCAGTATCTGCGGCTCGAATCTGATCTTGATCGGACTCGGTGTGGCGTTCGGCAGATTATTATGTACGCCAGCAGAATTTGAATATTGTCCGTTGGATGAGAGCGGCGGCTCCAAGCTGTCGGAAACTTCACTGTCGTCAGCTTTGTAGATTGTCGACGAGGGGCCGAGAATTTGCGCCGTCGTAGGCAGCTGACTGTCTGGATTCGCGCTCCGATTTGACCTTTCGGACTCCTCGACTTGGGCATCTTCACGCACAGCTGGGTTCGCCAGTGTGCTCGTCGCCGAAACGTTTGTCAGCGAGCTCTCGTTGAAAACTGACTCTCTCTTGTTCGCAGGATGATGTCTAATCTCGGACAGCTTTGCGATCGTGATCGGCGACAGATCCGAATTTTTGCCGGTGACTTTGTCCTCGTGATAATGATTATTCGACGCGAAGATATCCATCGACAGTTCCTGCACCGGCAGGAATCTTTTCAGCATCGGCTTCTTATCTGGGAAGATCTCTTGCGCCGGATGACAGCAGTACAGGGCACCGGGGTCGATCGGGTGAGCCTCAGTGTTGAAAATGTATCCGCCGGCGTCCACCACACACTGACCCCATTGTGTGTCGATGATCTCTCCCTCGGAACCAGTGTTGTGGATGAAGTTGTCAGTGTCAAACAGAAGATACAGATACTTAGTGGTTTCCGCCAAGAAGAAGGACTCCATTCGATCGGCTTTGCGATGATCCCGTACGTCGTTGATTGTCGCATAGCCACACGCTGTTCTGGCGCTGTGCTGCAAGCTCCTGAGTATATCCACTCCCACTTGGATCAAATAAGGATCCTTGGTTGCTCTGTAAAGATACATAACGGATTCAATAAGCTCTGGTCTCAAAGGGTAACCTTCCCTGTTGGTGCCTGCCTCGGCCTGCGGTATGTTGTAGAACTCTGGAGTGAAGCCAAACTGCTTCCACACACGGTGATAATTGTGCAGCGACTTCATCGCGTCACCAATCTCGCCGAATAGGCTCAGCACACCAGGCCAGTACGCATCTAGAGACTGGAACACTGGCAAGGTAACTTGACCCTTAGTCATGGAAACCCACAAATGCCAATCTTCCCGACGAATGTACTTCTCTATGGCGTTCCTGTGCTCTTGAAATATTGAAGCCAGTAAGGGATCTTGGAACAGTAAGGTGCCTTTTGCCAAATACTCAAAGTAAGAATCCACTCCAGCGCCGATACCGGAATCCTGAGCGGTCCAGTGACCAGTCAGCACGTCTATGTGATTACCAACCAGGCCGATATTGGATTTATAGTAGTGCAGAGCCTTTATGGCATTTATAGCTACCTCCTCGTATAGTGGGTCACCTGTCAACCTGGAGAGAGTACCAAACTCCAGAATGAACGTACCAATGCCAGCTGTGCAAGTGATGCTGGTTTCACCTTCTGGTACTCCATATTTGAGATTTACTGTGCCATAAGGCATCCCAGTAGGTGTGTCGAATGCGGCAATCAGTCTTTTGGCCATGTCCTCGGCGAGACGCAGCAGTGGGCCGTTGCAAGGCCAGCCTGGCTCCAGCTTGACGCCAGCCTTGCGTGACAGCAGATGGGCGCTCAGTAGACCACCTATCACCCGAATATTTGTCTCAAATACGGAGACATTGATGTTGGCTTCAAAATTGGCTCGCGCGCTGATTATCTCAGCGACGCGACGGAACTCGGTAAAATTGCCCATGACCGCGAGCGTATCCAAAGCATCAATTAACGTCAGGGAGAAACTGCCCCAGGTATCGAAGCCGTCGCAGCTGAGTGAACGTAGTTCGTCATATGGATAAGCGTAGGTCAGGTAGCTGGAGTAGGCGTAATCGAACATGGTGCGTACCTCCTCACGCAGAGCGAGCAGGTCCTTCTTCTCGTACTCTCGGAACCCGCTGACTAGGATCAAGAGGCCCAAAATTGAACCAGCTCTAAACAGGATCATTGTTGCCTATTAATGTCGCTTCGGTGTGCGGCTTCTTAATCTATCATCACCGTTGCATGTCGCTTGTCTATCTTGAATCTTCAAAAGTGAAATTCATGAATCTTCAAACGGCCACGTATTCAAAACAATCTTGTTATCCCCCACGAACATATCGCGTCTCGCTATATGTGCTACCTAACCTATATCACGATTCATATCGTACGTGGAATTTAAACGTGCGCGCGCGCGATGCAAATCTAATTTCCCGACCATATCGGGCCCGTTTCCACCGCGAAGACGAAGAAAAGGCGATTATGTGATTATCAACCGATTCTAGTGTGACGTCTCAGATTAATCCTGTCACACGACCTTCGAGCTAATTGTGATCGATCCTAACCAAGGCAATGTGGATACAGCTACACTAAGGACGTAGGGTTGGGTGTATATAACGAATGTTTACAAGAATAATGGAATTCAAGATACGGCTGCAACATTGCGCTTCAATGTATAAATGTAAGTACATATTTTTTAGAAAGTCTATATAATTTTAGTAAAATATTGTCTTGTGATTTACACTCTTTTCTGAGCATGTAAACAGAAATCTCCATGTGTTGTGTTTTATTGTGCAGCGGATGAAAATTCTATGAAGAATGAAAAAAGAGAGGATGAACACTTTCAGAAAATATATGAGCAGTGCAAAGGTGTGAAAGCTAAAGACAATGATTCTACTTACAGAGTTATACCAAAATTTTATTTCAAGGTGACATTTGTACTTTGTATATTGGACCTATAATGTAAAAAAATTGTTGTTCCTATATATTAATCTCATGTTTCAGCTGCCAAAAGAAGATGAGATTTTACCACAGAAATTACGTGAAGAAACACGTGCTTTATTTCTGCAAAGACGTTCTAGACAATTGCTTGATAATAATGAGTTAAAGGCATTATGGGTTCTATTGGATAAACATCACAGCCCACCTTTGTCAGGGGATGAGCAATTGATTAATTATGAGGATTTTAAGAAAGTTGGCAAACTGGCAGGAGCAAAATGTAGTCCATATTTTACTGCTGTCGTGTTTGCTAAGTTACAACAAGGAGATCCTCACGGCAGAATTAGTATTATGGCACTGTTCAACTATGTCATGAGAAAAGTATGGTTACATCAGACCAGAATTGGCTTATCTTTATATGACGTTACAGGACAAGGATATCTCAGAGAATCTGTAAATTTTTATAATTCTATACCTAAAAATAAAACTTTAATTTATTATTTACATTATGTAGCATTTCCTTATTTGAAAATTATGGACGTGTTTACAGGATCTGGAAAATTATATCTTAGAGCTGATACCAACACTGCCACAACTTGAAGGTCTTGAAAAGTCCTTTCATTCTTTCTATGTGTGCACTGCTGTTAGAAAATTTTTATTCTTTTTGGATCCTCTTCGTATTGGGCGTGTTCGTATCCAGGATATCTTAGCATGTAGTTTTTTGGATGATCTCCTGGAGTTACGTGATGAAGATTTGCCCAAAGATTTACAAGAGGCAAACTGGTTTTCTGCACCTTCGGCTCTCAAAGTATATGGCCAGTACCTCAATCTTGACAGAGATCATAATGGGATGTTGAATAAGGAAGAACTTGCTGGGTAATTGGCTTGACAATCTTTGAATGTATTGTATGTTTGAAAAAAAAGTTGTAAAGACTTTTATTACTTAATTTTTCGATCATTTCTTTGCTACTATATTTTAAGTTGTAATATACGTTTTTAAGTAAATATTGTTCTCGTTAACAGGTACGGTACTGGCACTCTAACTGGTGTCTTTCTTGAAAGAGTGTTTCAAGAATGCCTTACTTATGAAGGGGAGATGGACTACAAAACATATTTAGATTTTGTCTTGGCGTTAGAAAATCGACACGAACCTCAAAGCCTTCATTATCTGTTTCGGATTTTAGACATCAACAATCGCGGTTACTTAGATACTTTTTGTCTTAATTATTTCTTTAGAGTAAGACGCCTTTCTTTCTTTCAATTCAACACTTATTTTTATAACAATTTCTAATAAATAATTTTTTGTTAGGCTATACAAGAGCAGATGACGATGCATGGCCAAGAACCTGTTAGCTTTGAAGATGTTAAAGACGAAATATTCGATATGGTAAAACCGGTAGATTCATGCAAAATTAGGCTACAAGACTTACTATCTTGGTGAGAAAATCTTGCATATACATAATATAATTTGATGATATATAAGATGATTTGATTTAAAATTGTTAACTAATATTATCTGATTTGTACAGTGGACAAGGCGACACAATGGTCAGTATTTTAATCGAGTTTCATGGCTTCTGGGCGTATGAAAATCGCGAGGCAATGGCAGCTGATACCGGCGATGAATCGTCACATGTATGACGAATGACTATTCCAAAACATGAGATAATTATTTCATCAGGATAAGTAAAGATATCAATATTTGAACATGTACTTGATCCTGGACATTCTTATTGTTTAGGTCTTAAAATACGAATATTTAAACTTTCAATACAGTTTAAATATTAATAAATAAAGATCAAAACAATAAGAATGTTCAGAGTAGGTACATGTCCAGAAAGCGGTATTTTTACTTTAATTTTGTTGTGTTTAATACAATATTAATTTATATCTTAACATATTTAATATAATAATATAAATGACATATTGTTTGTACTTGAGATACAAACGATATTAGTACTGAATATGATTTGTTGTAGACAGTACAATTTTTCCTAATTTATGAGGATAAATTTGATATCAATAACTATGTAAAACTATATATATATAACTTTTGCACAGAATTATAGTTATTTTATACTTATTCCAGTATCTTCTTATTATAGAAAACTTATATAAGTACACAACATATACACACACAGACATACACATATTAATTAAATAACAATGCCTTTTGGAATAATCCATATTCTCTAAATTTATCTTATTATGCATTTAACATATTAAAATTATTACACTGAAATAGATATTGCATCTATAAGAAAACAAAGAAACTCATTTACAATATGTATATTTCATCTTTTTGTATACATAATTGATAGTATAATCAATGATGTCAGGAAGTTCATGATAATTCAGCTGCTATAAGATACCTTTATCTCAACGTTATGCGAGAGAGAGAGAGAGAGAGAGAGAGAGAGAGAGAGAGAGAGAGAGAGAGAGAGAGAGAGAGAGAGAGAGAGAGAGAAAGAGAAAGAGAGAGAGACTAGAAGTAAAAAATGGTAAAATATATAGACAATGGCTTTTTCAGTAGAGAAAACTGCTTTGCAACTGTTGTAAAATAATTTTTTCTGCTGAATGTAACTATTGTAAGAATAGACTGAGCATAAAATTTGAAACCTGAGAGTCAGGTATAAATAGCTGAACATTAGGTGCTGTATATCCTTCTTTCTTTGACAAGAAGGGCTGGGGAGAAAGTGAGATGTGAAAAAGAATGGAGAGAAAGTTAAGCGTAGCTGAATAACGTTATACTCACCATGCCGTAAGAGAGAATTGGTATTTTTAAATATTTTAAAATATTTTGAATAACTTAACGTTTCATGCATGTCATATATTGGCTGCGTTCCGATATTCACTGCCAGTACTGAAAATATATAGTTTATGTCACATATACTATAGATTTTCAGGGCTGGCAGTGAATATTGGAACGCACCCATTGTACATCTGTATCTTACCGCGCATGCGTGAACAGATAAAGAAAGCTACACAGCACCAGCTTCTTGTCCTTTTCTACCTAATTTTCAGTTTAACTTGATTTTCGCAAAAATCTTTGCACAATGCCAGGCAACAGATAATAGGAACAGGTAATAGAAATAAAGAATAGGAACGAAGAATTCCAATATATCAACTGTGTGTCAATGCAGAATGAACTGTGACACAAACAATAGATAAAGAATTTCCGTCACGTTTGAAGGTCATTCTACAATACGTGTCGTAAGTTGTAAGCCGTAAGAATTGGCGAATCACAATCAATTATTATAAAAATAATCGGCCATAATTGCTCAGTTCCTACGGCTTACAACTTACGACACGTATTGTAGAATGACCTTAAAATTCTATTCCTATTGCCTATTACCAACCAATCACAGTGTTCAAATTATCAGGTTAAATTTATAAATTGCAATGTACAATGGGTTGGCTACTTGCATTGCATAGAGAAAGAATATCATGTTTTCGTCATCCATAGCTAATGACGAAAGATGTCAATGAAAATTTTATTATACTAATAAAACCATATAGTATAATATAGTATATCCTTATATATACATTTTTTTAGATGTTACTGATTTACTTTGTTCACACACACAACAAAAACTTTAAAACATATTAATATTTAACTCATAGCATGAATCTGAAATACAGAAAAACTTAGAGTCATGTTACTTTTGGATTATGTTTGATTAGATCAGTTATGAACACTACGAGGCATTCGAAACAATTCGAATGTTCCAATTAAGTAGTAAAGTAAGGCTAAGGTTTTTATCGCCATAGCAATATTGTGTATCGATGCCGATAATTTCTTATTCCTTATTTTTATTGCCTGTTCCTGTTGTCTGACATTGTGCAAGAATCTTTAGAGAACACGCTCAGTTTGTTCTTACTATATCTATGGTAAAATATATAATTAAACAGAGGAATGAATTGTTAAGTAAGAAGAGATTCCGTTATTCCGCCGTTGTTCTAATGAGATTAATATAATTTATTATTATTTATTGCATACGATACATAATATCGCAGTGCATAAAAAAGTCAGTGGGAAATTTTAAATTTTCAAATATTTGTACTTTAGTACGAAATTCTGCCACTAGATGTCAACCATTTTAGGCAGCAGGTACATAAGTTGAGTCAGTCGAGCTTCTGCTGCAGTTGCATAGTGTCTTCTTTGGTATCTTTGTTGTGTTGCAGAGGTAAGTATAAGTTTCTACATGGATTGACGCTTTAGAATTGTGATATTTTTATACGTTTATCTTGCTATTTCTCTAAAGATTTTTAGTATAATCAATTAGAAAAATCAATTACGCGGCAATTTTGCTTCGATAAATTTCGAAATGCTTATACATTGTAAGGACGTGAAATATGTTTCAAATACGTGCTGCGTATTAAAAATCAGTGGAAAATTTAAATTATTCGCTTATTCAATCGCATAAAGTGCTTGAGCATATCGATTGTGTTTGTATTTAATATGTAAAAAATATGATAAAACATTTAGCAAAATGAGGCGGTTTGTAATTAACTTGTGGTTCGCGAATTTTAGCCAGTGCGTATTTTTAAATTTAACCAATCAGATTCACGAATCCATCACGAAGTGTTTTATGCCGTCGAGTGACGACCATGATTTTTATATTAAACTCCTGATTGGCGGATTTGATAACAACTACAATTTATACGACTATTCAGATTTCACGGTGTTTCGAAGTTAGTTGAAAAAAAGTTTGCATTCGTCCTGTACTTCTGCACTTATTCGTCTTTCTATCCGTTTGTTCCTTTCTCTTCGTATGCTTGTAATATGTATAGTGTGGTGTATAAATTTACTATACTGTGCAAAACAGTATATCGTTTCTCGAGTGCAGAAAGAGTAACGTATTGCTAAAACGATCGCATCTTTTGGTGAGGACGATTCACGCACGCGTGTTTATTCGTCGAATTAAAAAATTTTCGTTTCGCGAGATGTAGTATGCGGCAAGCAGAAAAACGTCAGTGCGTCGCATTTCGTGAATTAAAAGATTATATCGCGAGCGTTCGTTCGTTGCCCGCGTGAGATATCGTAACGAATAATCGTCCAACGGAGAACTGTCATTCCGTCCCTTCCCTTCCTTTCCCCCCATTCTGTGATCAGTATGGCGCCCATGTTTAAATCCAACGGTCAGAATTAAGGATACTCCCCTTGCGCTGTGACGCGAACTACGTTTCTCATTCATTCGGTGTCCTTTCAAGAATTCTTATGCGTGCTCTTGGACGTGAAGAAAGTGAATATCCTTGAAGAAATTTCGGCTGAAAAGAGAAAATTACCATCATATACGAATGCAGCAAACAATGGAGCCCTTCGTTCAGGTAAAAATATCTTTTTGTCTCTTACCTAGAGTAGACTCTGAACAAGAGAGAGAGCACAATATACACAGCATGCTACGCGGTAGAATTGTATTTACGAATAGACATTAGACGCATTTTCGTCTCCCATCATCTATTTTCTATGACAATTGTTAAGAATTTTTCGGTATCCTTTTCGAAAAAGGAGATGTGAATGGGAAATTGTGACAAATAACGTCGCATCATCAATAACTTTTTCGTTACTGCTATTATGAAATTTTCTATATTATTTGAATCATATAAATCAATTGGAAAGAATACATAAATATATAAATCATAATAAAAATAAATATCAAAGTACTATTTGAAATTGTTTTTTATTGTATTCTATTATATGTATTTTACTGTATCATATTTTATTGTTTATGCTACATTATATTCTATTTTGATATTGATAAACAGCGTATGTTGGAACGTGCTAAAGCAAGGAGAGAAAGATTAGACACACAATTATCAAGTGTGGGACATGATGTTAAAAAGCGCAGTCCTTTAAAAGATGCAAATGTTATTCTGGCTCAAGTAGCAGGTAATTTTCTTTTCTTTGCTAAGTTTAAATCAACTGTCTGACTAAGGATACTTGTTAAAATTAATTTAAAATAAGATCCTTGTAGTTAACTATTTCATAGTTATCTTGTATAATTCTTATACTAAAAAAGAGATATATATTGCAGCAACAGCAAATATAAACTCAACTAAATCATCACCACCTAAGTCATCAAGTAAAGTAACGATAGATAAAAGTCCAGTTAAACCACCACGAAAATCTCCTCCAGCTAAAAATGACATATGTGAAAATTTTGAAAAAGTTGACAAAGAGAATGGAGATTTTGAGAGTTGCAACGTTAGATCCAAGTTGCAAAGACTTGGGAAATTATATTCTGGTAAGCAATATTGAAATTAAAACATAAAAAGTTTTCAGATGGGATATTCATTCCAAATATAGATAGTATGATAAAATATATATGAAGAATATAATAATAAAGAAAATTTAATAAAATTACATATTTTTATTTTGTAATGATAACATAATGGAAAACTGATAAAATTTACTGAATGGATATTGAAATCTCTTAGGTAATGAAATCTTGAATCCTTGTTGAACCTTTCTATTTGGTTACTCTCATACGAACCATGCATTCAGCTACTCCCACACAAGTTGCTTGAAACTTGTTTCTGATACTGTATGAGTGTACACTATATGAGTGTGCGCATGAGTATATACATGAGTATGCTTTCATATATCTAAATTATTTCATGCAGGAGATATATGTATCTATAACTATACACTATATATAGTGTGATATGACTATATATTTTCTCTTTGTATTCTTCATTGCTTTTTAAAGAGTTATATTTCCTAAAAATATTATCCAACTGTTTCTTATACAAATGAAACAATTTATATGAAAGTATAATTTTTTTATATTTTTATCTATAACTTGAAATGTATAGTAAGTTATCATATACAATCTAGATTCCCTACAAACAAAAAGAATAATTAATATATAATTTTCTTGACAGATGATAATACCCATGAGTTGAGCTCCCCTATACATAGAACTGAAGAAAAATTCAGTGCAGAAGATTACGTAGATCATAAACCAGTGAAGCGAGGTGCTAGACTTGATAAATTAGCAGCTTTAGCTTCAACGATCAACAGTTGGGAGGATGATTTATCTCATCCAAAATTGGTACATGTATAAACTAATTTAAATCTATTTTAAGACAATGATAACATAATATTTATATGTATTTATAATATATATATATATAATAATTTAATAGACCAAACCAATGGATAATAAAGCAGAAAGGATACAAGCAAAGTTTAATGAACAAGCCAAAAACAGATCAGAGCCCCAACCAAGTACAAGTGGACATAACAAATTAGCAAACAATAATGAGAGGAAAAGTAAACATGGAAGTCCAGTTAAGCAATTGAACTGGGATAGAAGTATATTAGATTGTTTGGTAAGATATTTAGTATATACCTGATGAAATAAATTTTATTCTAAAGGTGAAGGACTAAAGCTTCGTGTAGTTTTTCTGTGGTTCTCTCCTGTTAATTAACCCACTAACATTTTATTCTATCATATCACGTAGCGTACTTTCATATCTAAGAAAACAGTTGTCAATTAAATAATACTTGGATAGCAAAAACGCTATTTACAGGAGGCGCAAGGCTTTAGTCGTACAAAAAGCAATTCTCGCCTCGTGTATGACTATAAGGATTGTTCTCAGGAATCAAACACGGTTTCAAGTCATATTTCGCAAAACAAGGAGGAGAGGAAGAGAGTTTCACCCTATAAATCGGATGGATCATCGAAAGGAAAAGCAGATGGTGACATTAGTGTTTCCGAGAGCCCAGGTGGTTCCCCTTTCAAAATCAACGGCAACAAAGGTTCCAATACTCCTGAGAAAATTGTCAAAAATGCAAATACTACTAGCAGCTCGCGATTACCAAGATTGGGATTTAATGGTTCGCCGAAGGATTTAGTACAACCATCAGGTTCAGTGTTGAGCAAAGCGTCGATGTTCGAAGCTAAGAATATGGACGTAAAAGCAAAGGATCCAGCTCAAATGACTCTCGCAGAAAGAATGGCTCTCTTCGAGCGAAATAAGGGAGGGGCTCCTTTGATACCGAAAGCACCGCTCACAATGTCGATACCACCAAAGAAGCTGCAGGAGAAGGATAAGCCTAGTGTACAATCAGGATCCAGCGTAGGCATGTATAATATATATTGAGACATCCCGAGTTTTTAAAATTAATTTTTGTATTCAATCTTAATTTTTGTTAAATGCTTACATAACTTTTGTTAAACATTTACATAAAGTGTATTTTAATTTTTTCTCAAGTACTAGCATTTTGAGCAATGTACTTTATCCTATTATCTATGTTTGATGCAAGATTTTTTTAACGAAATTTCCTCTTTTCAGATTCATCTACCAGTAACCGAAATGATGGTCCAAGCAAATCGGTCAGCGCGCAACGTGCAATATTTGAACAAAATAAGCACAAAATAGATGAAATGGAAAATCAGATTTTACAAGCTACCCAAGCTGAGAGACGACGTGAGTTAGATATGCTACGTTCGCGTTTCAACGAGAATAAGGAGTTTGCTCGTGGCGGCTCTACCGTTAGGTGCGGTATTCGTACGAGTGAAAGCAGTGAAGGAGGTGGCAAATCTTCATCGCCGAAAAGTTCACCCGTTTGCCCGGTGAAGCCGACTCCTGCTCCGGTAATTGATAAATTATTGCAATATAGAAATCGATGAAATTGTGTCGTAATCTGTGTCAAAAAAAAAATGTAAACATTTTTTGACACTTGATGAAAATTATTTATTTTTTATTCGTTAAATGTAGGATCATACTGTCGTACCACCACCACCACCGCCGCCGTTACCACAGTCGTTACAACAGTCGTTACAACAGCCTCAAATTGTATCGTATATCACTAAATCTTCTCCGGTAAAAAGACAAGGTATGCATAAAAGTACAATTGTACACTTCAGCTTGTGTTATAACGCAAATGCAATAGAGGTATTCTCATTTATTCTTTAACTCTGATATTTTTTGTAGTCGTTGGAAGCCCACCCAAAGTTCAACATATGAATGCGATGCCCGATATTAAACGCATTCGTGTTGCTCCTCCGAAACAAGGATCGCTTTATCCCAATTTAGAAAATGTCGAGTCTACATCTACCACGGAAAGTGATACCGAGTCATATGACACAAGCGAACCTGTAACAGCCACGCTTGACGAGAAAAGTGAATCTGACTGTAGTGATTGCGACGATCAAGTAAGATAATTCAGATGATCATGTATATTATGAAAATATATAATTTATATATTTTCCATCCTTTTACGCACGTGTTCATATATGTGTGTAGGATGAGGAATGTACTACTGAAAGTGAACAGACTAACAATCAAGCGAACACAAGTTTTGGGCGCAGTATTTTGCACGAGTTAGACGAACGTTCATTGTTTAGTAAAACTCATAAAAAGGTTAAATGCGAACTTATAAAAGAATTCTGTAAATATGTTGTAACTGATCGTTGGATGTTCATCTTTCTCAATATTGCGATTACAGAGATCCATAGAACCAGATCCAGATAGTACTATGTCAGATCTCTCAGTGCTCAATGAGATGGATCAATATTTGGAAGAATGTCTTGAAGCGGAAGAGCCACATAACGATATGAATTTGAGAGAAGAAGGTCCAACGCCACCGAAAATAAATAAAGGCAAGAAGAGTCTGTCGCGGGCATCCACCAGTTTCAATTATCACTCGTACGTTTTAACTTTTATGAGCTTTTTTCCGATTTATTCAGTCTTTTCTGAAAGACGTTATTTTTTTTAAATGATAAAACTTCCAAATATATATATGCACATGTTTTCTGAAGATATATCTTTATATTATTGATTTTTAATATTATAGGTTCCGTTCACCTTTGAAGGTGGTTTCACCGACGAATAAAACAAAGGCGTATATAGACGAAGGTGGTAATCGAGTGCCACTAATGCGAACTGTTAGTGCGTATAGACGACAACAATCCGAGGTAATTTGTTTAACGTCTTTTAACTCCTGTCAAATTAAAGAAATGTATCTCTAGAGGCAATTTTGTCATTTTAGTTGACCAAGACACCTCAACGCGTAGCTGCAAAATTAACAGAATCAGATGTACCTTCTGGCGCGGAAAGAACGGAACGTGTAAATGAGGCGAAACTGGTGGAAAATAAAGTGAAAGAATTGTTGGACGAAGTTTGCACGCAGCAGAAGAAAATCGAAGGGGCCAGTAAAGCATTAAACTTGTGTCAGTCAACTATTGAGTTCAATGGGTCTAGTGAACATGTTGGTGGAGAATGGGCCCTGCTTGTTGCGAGTAAGTTTTTAAGTTGCACAGAAGCACGAGAGATAAGTCACTTCATATTTAATATTATCGTTTTTTTTTTTTTTTTTATATAAAATCTTTATAAAAAATGTATAAAATTTTAAGCTCATAAGCGATTAGCCGCATTGAACGAAGTGCAAAGACTGAAGCGTGAAGGGACATTGAGACCTGTTAAAGCAGGCTCACCAGAAATACAAGGAAGTGGGTCTTTAACCATTTCGGCTATCACGTTACCATTGAAGACAGAATTTTTCCGGAATATGGGCAATAGTGAGTGCAACATGAAATCAAGTTACATTTTCATACGACGTAGAAATATAATGAATTAAATATACCTAAATTGTTACAGATTCGTATTTGCATTGTGTTTGCTTGATGCGACATTTGGGAGAAGTAGTCGCTACCCAAACAGCTACCGCCGCTGAACCTGACGATTCGTGTCTTCGTTTCCCTTCGACGTTAAAGTTCGATGATTTATATAGCGACTTCACGATTGTCGTAGAGGTATATTCTCTTCAGACGCAACCGAAGTATTTGCCACATGAAAGAAAATATCATATCAATCATACAGGCATAAAGGTAAGATTTTTCTTTTTTCTTCATAACGAATCATGGATAATAAGAACTGTAAAAATGTTAAAAGTATATGAGGAATACAACAAAATAGCATCAATTCCTGTATCTATTTATAGACTGCGAATAAGACCCCGAAGAAGAAGAGCCAATTTGTAATGCCGAGCGTACAGAGCCCAGCAGGACCAGGAGCAGTCAGATCGCCTGCTTTCCAATTATGTGGCACTGTTACTATCACCCTGAAGGATATATATCGCAAGCAATTTAGCTTACTCGGAGTACGTATTTTCCAGAGTAACTGAAATTCATAAAAATAACGTATAAACTCTTGCGCGTATGATCTTAATTTTCTTCCATTCGTTTAGGTCTCGTCGCTGTCTCCTTTGGAGGGATATCTACGAATGCACATGTCGCATAAAATCTCGGTATCAGTAGAACATCGCGGATTTTTAACAGTCTTCGAAGATATCTCGGGACTTGGTGCATGGGATCGAAGATGGTGCTTGCTCAAAAACGCCAAACTCTTCTTCTGGGTGCATCCTGAAGATGAACACAAGAAAAGTCCCATAGGCAGTCTCGACTTGGAAGGTGGTATTATTTGAACTGTTTCCACTTAATTTCGCAATTTCATTGTAGACATGCTAATATATTATACATTTTACACATGCCCACAGGTATATTTACGAAAAATATACAATTTGTGAATCGAGAGAAATGCGCGCGTCCTTTCACGTTTCTACTCGAGGCAATTAGACCCGCGCAACCTGGCGACGCTGATAACCTCATTATGAAGACCGATGGAATTGAAACTGTAATAGAGTAAGTGTCGTTGCTTTATATCCGCTATTTTAACGTGGAATACGTTTGTCTCAATGTTACGTGTTTGCAGGCATTTCATGTTAGCTGACACAAGAGAGGAAGGACTACAATGGCTGTCGAAATTGAACAAGACTCTGAACTTAATCAGAGCTTGGGGACCACGTAGAAGTTAGCAAGAAGCTAAAATTATACATATGTATATCATGTAACGTACTGAGGTACGTTTCAATACAATATTTTTTGAATTAGGGATTGTGCATTACGCACAAATATTTTATAACGCAATATATACCAAAATGCTTCGATTAACATACCTAGCGAATAAAGTCCGATCGATTTAATTGTGTCATCAAAACGTAATTATTTACATCTAATTGTATATGATCAATAATATTAGTGTTTGTACGGAATGTTAACCAAATTTTCACTGGCAATGCATTTAACATTTTTTGAAACTATAATGAATTATCTACTAACATGAGTAATTTGATTTGATCTTTAATTGTATGCAGAAGTAATATGTGAATAATAAACTTCAAATTTATTCATTAATTATTTGCTGGCAGTCAAAATTTACGACAATACAGATGTACAATTTTTTTTAATATTTTTACGCTATTCATTTACAAATTATTTTTATCGAAATACTTCATATACGTATACAGGTATATGCGTATCAAATTCAAGACTCTTTATAATTTTTGAATCATAGCTGGTGAAGAAATGATTAATAGCACTTGTTGGATCGAAGAAAAATATTTAATATTGTATAAATAATTTTCTATTCGTATGATTAAAAGATAACCGTAAATGCGGTATTTTGCTTCAACGCGATCAATTTCCCACGAATACTTGTTCATACATATTTGTTGGGTAATCACGCGTGTTTCAATACTAGAGACTACTTCAAAGTAGTATTATAGATTAAAAAAAAGATTAAAGAGATTGTAAATATAGAATAAAAAAGTAGATCAGTTTTTACTAATTATCAAGAGATATTTATACACATATATACATATGTAGAACTTTCTTTCAAGTTCTCACGGATCAATACGTGGTATATAATCGGTACATATGTATTCATCGATATTTTGTCAGCGTCTAATTGTAAGTTTAATAACCATAACTTTTTGTATTGTATTAAACGAGACGTTTGTACTGTGACAGATGATTTATATTCCCATTCATATATGTGTTTACTATACAGAAATATTCTGTAATTTTCATTATATATATATATATATATATAAGTTTTACACACGCGCACACACACACACACACACACACACACATATAACAAGTTTTAAAAAAAGATATGTAGCACTGTTGATTGTTGTAGCGAGCGGGGGGTGTTGATCAATGAATAACAACGGAGACTTCAGTATGTATACAAGTTTATTTGTATGAGCTGCATTCTGTTATAGATACATATATATATAGACGTGTATAAAAAAATTGCGCCTTCGAACACTGGTATCGCGGCGCAGCAATGAATGTTGCACCGTCTCGCCTCGCTGAGATAGAGTTGCAAATGAAAACCCCTGACGTCTCTCGTTCAAGTTGTGTTTGCTGGCAGTTTCGAGAAACTGAATGGTATATATCGCCGGCTGCGAGCGGGCACGCGTTTCACTCTTCGAGACACGTGAATGCATGCAGACGTGCCGCGGCTTGTTAGCACATATTGCGTAACGCGTGCGGATGCTCCTTGCGCGAACGCAAGTCGATAAAGAATTGCACAGCGAAAGAATTTCGACTCTGTACTGCCGGCTATGTATTTTATTACTGTATTCGACGCCGTGTTGAGATCTCGTATATTTGCTGCGACGCACCGTTTCGCTCGTGAAATCGTTGCCGGTTTCGGAGCGCGAACGATCCTGGGACGCGGTGCACCGGCGAGTCCGATTGCAAAATTCTCAATGATTTCGAGCAACGTCTGCGCGCTGCATCGCGTGCATGCATTTCGCAATGCCCCCGTCGGCAAAATAACGCGATCAATTCCGCCGAGTTCGCCGAAACGAATCGGCCAACCGCGCGCGGAAGATCGATCGTTCTCCGTCGATCGACGGCGGTTCGCATCGGTGAATCGCGTGTCTCGCAGTATACAAGTACAAAGTACATCCTAATGCGCGTGTCTAATTACATGTAGTTGTGTACATGTGTATGTATGCGTGTACGTCTGTGTGTGTGTGTGTGTATGTGTGCGTGTCGACGACCGCAGAGTCCTAGGTAATGTAACTCAGTCCTCGAGCCCTATTACTTTGAGACGAGATTGATGGTAGGGTGGAATCCAGTCTCGTCCGCGGTATACTCGACCCTGCAATCAGAAACGACGATTGAAGACGGACAAAAGCCGACAACATAGAGAAAGTCAAAGGATGTTGCAGAAGAAGAAGAAGGTCCTTTGATCTTTTGCTCCTTCTCCGTGGGCCGTTTTTTCGCAGAAGCTTGTCCATCCTTAGTGATCCCAACGCTGTGCGTACCTGTACGTGTGTCCATCCGGTGCGATGAAACTGAAGCTACCGACAACGCTCATCGCCTCGTTGTCGGTGCCTTCGTTCTTCAGTTCGGCCGTCTCCTCTCTCTTCTGGCCATCGCTCTGCTCATAGCTGAAGTGATATCCACCTACTCCGATGTTGTTGACTTCCTCCTGCTTCACAACCGTGATCTCGTTCGGGTTCTGCGGCGCAGCGAGGACACCGGCTACAAGCGCCCAGATGACGAGGATCTATGAAGAAGAAGAGCGGCAACGCATTAAGATCAGTTCGCCCGCCCGACAGACCGCGCCGACATCTTATTTATATAATAATCTTATCTTATTTAAAATAACTGCGATATTATTTTGTATTTTATCATATGTTTCAGCGACGTATGGTTGAGCTGTCGCGAACGTATAAGATACATTTGCATTTATGTTTATTACGAATGCGTAGATAGGTATATTTGTTGTGCGGAGATGACGGATATCTCATGAATGTAAATCGACGGCGAAGCTGACACGAAGGCTAAGCCCGAGGTTATTATCGTAAAATTCGATCCTTTCTTGGAATCCTACCCGGCCTTCGACGACCGGTATTAGATTATTGCATCATCAAATTAAGCCCAAATCTCGTAATCGGTCCCTTGTCAAGTGGGGTGACTTCTTCGGTAGTCGACGACGTCCCAGACCCGAATTTCAATGTTGTGCGCGCGCGCCTATGTGTGTATGTATATTGGCTACATGGTTTTTTGCCCAGGCAATTTAGAAATTATATTTCGAGAAATGAGGTATCAAGGCGCCTAAGTGTCTCGCGTGTAGTAGCAAGCGAAGAGCTCTCGTGAATGAAACGATACTTCTGCGACGCGATTGATCACACTCGAATCCGTATAGATTTACAATCGCCGCGAGAGATTTGACATCGAAAGAGCGTCACCGTGGTGTCCTGCGTGTTCTCAAGGAAAAATCGAAAAATCTAAATTATCGTCGTATCGTGCGTCGGCCGTTAGAATCGCGGACGAGGTTCCGCGAGACATCTCGTACATATCCTCGTCGCGCGATTCTCTCTGCGTATCACGCGCGAAAAGCGTGCGTAATCTCTCTCTCTCTCTCTCTCTCTCTCTCTCCCTCCGTTGCGCGCGCGTACGCACAAATGTCACAAATCCTCTTCACTTTCACTGTTGCGCAAAAATCGGGAGGCTGCGCTTCGGGCCCGGCCCCCGAAAACCGATGCCCTCCTCCCCCCCCCCGCGCCCGGAATTCGGCCCGGTTATCGGCTAAAGGAGCGCTCGCGGCGATGAATTGCGTCCTGGTGTGTCAGAGATCAGTCCTCTGGACCTCTGCTGAGGACCCACCGTCTTCATCTCCGCGGCGACTTTCTTTGTCTCTCTGTCTGTATTTCGTGGTGCGAGCGGTCCCAAGGCGGCCCTTTACCCTTAAACGACAACGACGACCGATACGTGATACCAAGAATCCCCGGTGCATCTGCCTTTATATAGGCGGAAAATCGCAACGCCGATGCACATCCCCCCACCTGCATTCAGCAGCAGCCCCGACAGATTCGCGGATGAGTCTCCCGCGCTCGCGGGCCAGGATGCATCCGCGATGCGACCGATGATGCAGCAGCCACCGCGCCGCGCTATTAGACGCTGCATGCCGCGGCGGCGACGTCTGCGGATGCACGGCTGCTCGCGCACGGCGGTTTTGCTCGCCGACCGAGTCACTCGTCTCATAGGGTCCTACCTCGAAACACGCACTCAAAAAAAAAATATTCTATTTGTAAAGTGATTTTCCCATAGTCTCATATTCTAAGCGAAGCCTCTTACGGGAAAAAGATTCCTCTCTCGATAAAGCGATTAAAGTGAAGCATTCATCTAAAATTTACTAGATATTATTCTAACTGTTTTACTCTTATTTCAACAGGATTTCCTCTTGTCTCAACCAATTTTCCTCTTATATGAGGAACAATATGTTGATTCGGATATCCCCTTCTTTTGTTCAGTTACACTAGGAAAAAATTGTATTAAAATTAAACAAATATTTGTTCGAATACATTTACATAAATTAAGCAATTATTAAGCAAAATTCAAGAAAAAAGTTTACATTCAAAGAGAGAGAGAGAGAGAGAGAGAGAGAGAGAATCTCTGTATTTCATTTTAGAAATTAGTCGCTTAATTTGAATAAATATATTCACAGTCGTATTCGAACAAATATTTGTTTAATTTTAATACAATTTTTTCTCAGTGTATGCTCTACCCTCAAACATAAACGAAAAGATAACTTCATGTGTTCATACGCTCATGGGTCAGAATATTTGGAACGCTTTTTAAAAAATATTTGGAACGCTTTTTAAAAAAGGTATGTTGCTGTAACATATAACGAAGATAATTTAGTTATATTTGGTCAAATGCAGTTTATAATCTATTGCAAGAAATTGAATAATATATTCTTTCTTTTAACTATGTTCCATATAATTGATTATGATGAATATCTTTGTAGCTATGAAATCCATAACAAAACTGATTGGAAATTTACTTGTTATGATAATCTCATTTCATTTATGTCTATTTATTGTAGAACTGGAGCTAGAAGTGCATCTATATATATTACTTTTTGCTATATACATTATAATAATTTTTTCAAATTAACCGGTAAGAATAAAGTACAGTAAGAATAAATAATAATCCTCTTAAAAAAAGATTAAATAATCTGTGTATAAGAGGAAATTTATATTAAAATCAATAAGATTTGCATTATACATATAACACATATAATTCCTCTAACTTTAAGAATAATGTGTTTATAATATTTTCCTCTTAATTTCAGAGAAATCCTCTTGAGGCCATATATAAGAGTAAAATCCTCTAAAATTTAGATGCTTCCGCTTGTTCTGAAATTACTTTTTTTCGGGTGTACGCCTTAGCGCCTTACACCTTATAGTAGTCCTAATCGTGAACGGTGTTTTTCCGATATTTCTTCGTCAGACGCGTCTGTAAAGCTATATTGCGAACGTCACTGTAAAAGTGACCAGGAATCAGGTGTTATGAAAGAGTGCTTCCGTACGAATGTTTTGATGTCGATCGTATTGTGGCTTTCATGAAGAGGAAAGAAACGGAGCAGGTTCCTGAGGATTCTGTTTTATAAAAATCCATAGTAGCGCCCCGTCACGCTGAGCGGCGATCCGGCTGGAAATTACGCTGCGAATTGATCGAGCTTCGAGGCGCGTATTTTTGCGTGTATGTAAATTTAGTAGCAATCGGCGATATAATTACAGGCGGTCTTCGCCGAGCGAAGACAGCGGGCGAAGGCAGGTTTCCGAGGCGCTCGCGTGCCTGCGATCAATATTATTCTCGCGTAATCGTTACCGAGAATTCCGGTAACGGCTTGTCGCAGGTAAATAAGTTAAACAAATGCAATTGAAAGTAATGGGATTATTATATAAGCCGTTACAGGCGTTCTCCACGCACGAGCAAAAATGTCATTCGCTGTGCGCGCTCGCCGCGAGCGTACCGAAGACGTGTGACGGAGCTTAACGACGTGTCCCGCAGCTTTGCCACGTGTAACATTAGCGATATTTATCGACGCGAACAATTATTGCTCGAGAAGCAAGAGAAGTGCTGTTGACTCTGCGTTTGCGCGTATCCATATTGCGCGTATCCACATTGCGCGTCTCACGATATGCGTATGTACTCACGGACGACGGCGTTGCGCATAAAATTGCCTTTGCAATTAGAGATCGACATCGGTGTCTGGCTTGCACGCGCGCCATTTTCATTTCGTACTGGCGCTTTGACGTAACATCGTTCCAAAACCCAAGCGGCTTCGCACGCATACATACACCTGCGAGATCGGCGAGCGCGCATCAGCTCATCCGTCGTGTTCATTCAGGCGTGGCGAAATGACGCTTTGAAACATTTTCCGCGGCAGGAATCCATGAATCATTGTCAAGGACGACTCGTCTGCACAAAGGCGATTGTTCTCGTTTGCCGTGTTATTATTACTACCACTACGCGCCGTTACTTCAATCGACGCGCTTGATCTTCGCGCTCGCGATCAGAATCGGACGATTCTGCGAAGTCGATCGATCGTTCGTTCGTTGACGAAGAAACGGTCGTTGGACTCGGCGTCCGGATGAATTTCTTGTAGCGTATCTTGAAGCGCGCCTTGAAGCATACGCGGCACGCCACGCCATTAGGTTCAACAGCGCGAATGTCGTTATTAGCGATTTTGCAACGGCAGGTATTCGCAAGCAGATGCTCGGCAGACCGCTCATATCTCGGAGATACCTAATAAATCTTCGGTCCTCTCGGTCGGGAACGTTCGCTCGACTTTCTCGGCCTCTCCCGGACGGCGATTTTCCGCCGTCCTGTTTTTCCGAACGACCCAAGGCCACGGTCGCGTGTGGGTTCCCTCGACGCGATGCCCCGGTGGATCCGCCGTCCCGGTATCCGGGCGTTTTCGACGCCGATCCAAGCGGGAATGTGAAAGCCGAAACTCTCGCACCGCGGATTCCTACGTCGCGGTTTCATCTCCGTGGCCAGCGGCGATGTTATACGCGGTCGTACGTCCTTGGTCATTGTGACATTTGGTTTTCTCGAAGTTATACGCGCCGAGGAAAGTTGATGACGTAACACTACCACCGGTGACCTTGCCATTTCAGAAGATACGACGACGGCGACTATGAATACTTTGTAGTAAAAAAAAAAAAAAGAAAAAATCCGTTTAGTGCGTCTGATATGTCTCGTGCTTTGCGCTGACAGTTAATCCCGTCTGCTTTTCCCTGGACGAGCGGTAATAATGTCACTTTGACGTCACGTGAATTATTAACCCGTAACTGCTAAAACATTTGCGCTCGTACAGCGGGCCGTTCTACCGTTCTAATGTTGAAACGCCTCCCATCTTTTCGTCTTTATGTTTTTTGCACGTGAGAAAGTCAGTGCTCGTCACGATTCGCGGTCGTAAACGCAGACTCCAATGATTATACATCGATTATGCAAAGATCACGAAGAAGACGTCCCTCTTTCTCTTTCCCTCTCTCTCTCTCTCTCTCTCTCTCTCTCTCTCTCTCTCTCTCTCTCCCTCTATCTCTATCTCGTTCTCCTTCTTTTTATCCTGCTGTGAACCCCGTCGAATTGCACGATACGTTTCGGGTAATTGGATTACGTCCGATCGGTCGGTATGAGAAATTTGCGTTTGTGTGCCGATGCAGAGGCTCGCGTTCCGTACCATTTTATTTCGTAAGAATCTCGTAACAATTCATTAATAATTATTTCCTTCTGAGACAAGGCTATTCGAATTTAGGTGATAACTTTCACAGTCGCGCCATTAAAAATGCGGGTTTCTCAATGTGTCAGTGTGCATCGCATTCATTTGAATATTCAGTCTCGCGCATTCGCGGACGACTTTTAGAGAAATGAACAAGCTTGCAACCGTGCGCGGTGCCGCGGCGTCTTGATGGACATTCGGTTTAACAAGTAATTATGTCGTTAACGTACGCAGTGTGGCTGAATCAGCTGCGCGAACGCAAGAAGCCGCTTTATTTTACTTCACCGAGAAATTACATTCGATTCCTCATGTCACACATCGCAGGCATTACAACGACTATTACAAGGCGACAGACTTTGGTATTAATTAATCGTCGGGAGAAAGAAGTCAAGGTTGCACTTCGTGAATCTTATCGACACGCGACAGTCGTGATTAATGAAGCAATACGACGAGAGATTCAACAGAATCTTTTTTTATTTCTTTAATTAAGACATTGTCTATAAAATGAGACGGACGTGTGTGTATATAAAATGAGACGGATGTGTGTATACAGGGTGATCACAGACCACCCGTACTACCCGATCTTTTTGTAAACCGCGCCGCATTTTAGAAAAAAATTAATTTGATTTTGAAATTTCCAAAAATCGATAAGTTAACAAAAGTTAGGGCGCTATTGTAACAATATATTCTTGAGACCAAGTAGAGTAAGAAAGTCTAGTACCACTTTTTCTTCCGACAAACAGTTAGCGAGATATCGTAAGTTAAATATTGAAAGAGTTACCGGGTTTTCCTGAAATATCTCAAAAAATATTAGGCAAATAGAAAAATGTTTCAGACAAAAGTTGTTCAAATTAATTGATAGAGAAAGATGATTTAATAAAAAATTGATTGATTTCCATTTGAGAAAAATAATGATCAGTGAATATTTCGAAAGTAACATCATCTGTAAACAAACTGATATAATTTTCTTTCTTATCCTGTCCCCCTTGAAACCATACAACTTTTGTCTGAAACATTTGTTTCTACAATCAAACGTAAGAAAGTTATTGCGGTGGGTAACACTTAAAATGACTCACCCCTGTATACGTGTGTATTTCGTCTGGGACTCGAATGTCCCAAAGCTTGCGCAAGCAAAGCTTATTAAATCATCGGAGGAAAAAGGGAAACGCGATCGGCACATTTGCACCAGCCGCGTGTCGCGCTTTCGCGAAAGGTTAAACCGCACGACGAAGTTTCGTTAACTCTGGTACAATGTAGTGTACATAGAATGAGACAGGGCAGAGAAGAGAGCGAAATTGGTACGAAAGAGTTACACGTAGCGCATACACCGAAATGTCAACCGCAGGCGTCGCGATTTTCGACGAAAGGCAGTAAGAAGGACGAATTTGCGTTTCACCCTCTTCTCTCTCTCTCTCTCTCTCTCTCTCTCTCTCTCTCTCTCTCTCTCTCTCTCTTCCTCCGCGGTCGGCAGTCAGCGATGGATGATTTATGAGTGGGCGGCAATGTGTGCGCCCACAGATAAATGATAGTATCTGCGCGCGTATGTATACACAGAGCTGAGAGGATCGTGCAATGGAGGACCTTTTCTGCGCTTCGCGCGGCGAGCGTTGCGCGGGGTTACAACCTGAAATTCCAAGTAAGGACGCGTGCTGTTAAATTCCATGCAAAAACCTGTCCGTCGAAATGTCCGATGTAATATAGCGACTTGGAAATTATGCAACCGGTTGCGGCCGACTTCGGCCTGTGAAGACGGTGAAGACGACGTGGTCGCGCGCCGAGAGCTCTGATTCTACGTTAAATCAAGCCGTTGCTCCAACTCCCGGACGTAAAATCCAACGGAGTAATGCGAGTAACACGCGGCGGTCGCCGCGTGCTGTGATCTCTGCTGATTATTTCAATGCTCAACTCACAGCTTGGAATCACCGAGGATTTTCAGCGAATAAGCACGAGTCGCGTCTATTCGCGTTAGGTCATTTGACTGACTTCTTACGGCTTGTATGTTTCACTCTATTCTACGCAATTGCTTGTGTTTTATAATGTGGATTACGCGGGCACAGTTGCCCGAGTAAACCTTGCTGGCGAACGTGTTAATTGACTCGATCCTCCACGTGGAAAGCACGTGTGACGTGAGAGACCAGCCGGAGATCCGTCTGTAACTCAGCCGCTGATCGAGCAGCAGTCGCCCACGGCGATCCGACAGAATTCATGAATATGCATGTAAAGACGAAGAGCCGTTTGCCTTTAATGGACCCCAGCGAAGTCCTTTTACGATTTTATAATCGCGCGGATGTCGCGCGATTCTAATGACGATCGCACACTAAAGCAAGGCCGCGGGTGATTCCACAGCATCAAGTCTGCAAATTGTTTCGCCGCTTTCAGCTTTGTTCTATCTCGGCCGGGGACGAGCGGGGTGTAACTTTGCAAAACTGCGATCATTTTGCATTCTCAGCTGGAAGAGCCGAGAGAGAGCTCCGTCGTTCTCGACGAAGCCGCTGCGACTCATGAAATGCGCATTGAGTCTCACCAAAGATTTTGCGAGGGACTGATTTGATTTCAGCGACCGGCCACGTGAACCGGCCGACCTTAGGAGTTTCAGAACGAGGAAGTCCACTTGAAGAGAGCATACTCGAGCAGGCACTTGGCGGGACGAGCTTGCTTGTCGCGCGCATCTCGGGAGTCGCCCGACGAGCGATTTCTGTTCGATTACATCAACTCGTCGGGAGAGAGAAAGAGAGAAAGAGAAAGAGAGAGAGAGAGAGAGAGAGAGAGAGAGAGAGAGAGTCAAAAGCAAGTAAATGAGTAAATATTCAATAATATATCCACCGGGGGCAGAACCTGTCGTGTACTATTTGCATACACGTTGAGCGTGTCGCTGCCTGCGATTAAATGCTTGGGATCAATTTAGCGGGATGATTTAACGAGATGCCGCAGTTTCGCGCACCGGTGAACCCGCTCTCAAGGACGTACGTCGGCAATAATTGCATAGCCCGGCGTTTACATTGATGCGCCGGTGACATCGCGAAAAAGTCGCGAAAGCGACTAAATGTCAACGAGTTGGCCGCGTCTCTCTCTCTCTCGCTCTTGCTCTCTCTCCCTCCCCCTCTTTCTTTCTCTTTCTCTCCCTGCCTCCTCCTCCGTCGTTTCTTCTCGTAATCCACGCTCTCGCTCATGCATCATCCACCGTACGCTGGCAATATGTTCGCGGCAGATGCGCGAGTACGTGTGTCTCGCGATATAGTTACGATATGGGTTACGATGACGCACGATGACGCTTTGCGTCTCCGAGCTACCCTTGCTCTCTCCGTCTCTCGGGTGTCTTTTCTTTTCATCGCGATTTTTTCCCGGGATTGTACCCTGAGTCCCTGCGCATTTTCGAAATTCTCCTTTCGTAACAAGTGGTACCAGACTTTTTTACTCCATTTAGTCTCAAGAATATATATTGTTCCAACACCCTAACTTGTGTTAATGATGGATGATTTTGAGATTTCCAATGGCCGACAAGTTGACAAAAGTTAGGGT